CAACCATGCGCTGAAAAAGGAACCACTGGTCTGCGCCCGACCACGGACAGAAGAAGAGGTCACACTTGGTTCAATTTTGCACCGAACAAAAGATCCCCTTTGCTGTTCGCTCAGGCGGTCACGACTTCTTTGGCCGCTCCGTAGTCCACAGGGGGATTCTGATCGACATGCGCGACATGGACACGGTCAGTGTCGCATCGGACCGAGCTAGCGCACGCGTTGGTGATGGAGTGATTGCCGGCCATCGGCCATCTGTAGAAAACCCTCAATTCTTACAGTCTGTTTACCCCTACCGGACAGGCAAAGTCTGTGGGCTATGTCTGTTGGGTATGTGGCGGAGAATACAGTTTCTATATTGGAATATATAGATTTGGGATTGATCAAATATTTGGGATTCGAGTGGTTTTGGCTGGAGACTGTGGTTGACATCAATATAGATTTAGAATTACTATAGACACTCTACAGTGCTGGGGCTGATATATTTGGCATTATCATGGAGTTTTGCGTGAAAATATATTCAGTGCCCAAAAACATACTGGTTTCCTAGTTTTTCTTTTGGCCAAAGCTGTAACTGTTATAGATAAGATTGAAAATTTTTTAGATAATGATTTCTCTAATGAATTCACCAGAGATACTATTGCTGTAAATCCTGAAATTACTCTAATTATACCCGTGACTAATCGCCCTGACGGGGATGCTCACCCACGGTTAGATAACAAAACGGCATAATAACAAAAAAAAATTTTTTTTTACATGCAACGCGTTAACAACACCACCACAAGGAAATGAGTGAAAGATTCCATTTATTCATTATTTTCGACCAGGCTGTACTCAGATTTCTGAGACAACCAATTAGTTGGTTTAATCACCAGCTGGAAGTTTGCTTGCCCGTTGACACTCATAAGCTAGTCGATAATTTTCCGTTTATCTACTGACATGTGTCGTGGAAAGCAACGTTAAGTCAACTCCCAAGTAACTTGCATTTTATCGTTTATCAACGTCATTTCTCTCTTCAAACAGTGTCTACACGATATTTTTGACCAGTTAACCACCTCTTCCTTCTGTTGCCCGCACTTATAGCCCGCATTTTAAATTGTATTCCTGATATTGATTACCCATTCCAGATCCCACATTTTATGTCACGAGACCCTCCCGTTCCTGGGATCATATTCGACCCCACGATCCATGGCATGGTTCCCAGGCAGGCCATTGATTGCTCCCAGGAGTAAGAATCATAGTTCCCAGAGGACCTACAGCTCCCGGGGTGAACTGTATAGCTCCGGGGAACGTGAGGTGGCACCCTAGGAGTTTTGGTTACTATTTCTGGGAGCAATCAATAGCGTGCCTGAGAGCATGGAACCAGATATCACCCGTTTTCTTGCATTGGTTGCATCATGTAGCTTTTTAGTCGGTGTAGGTCGCAAGCCGCAACAATTAATCTCGAAGACGAAGTCAAGCACAGACGCGCTCGAAATCAGTTTCACTTCTGTACTCTCTTTGATTCTCTCTCGAAAACTATCTTGCATGACGTTATATCTCTTATGCTTAGTATACTGCCGACCCAGTATCTTCATACGGTAATTAAAACGTTATAAAGATAGCTATCGTAACATGGCTGTATGGCCTTGCCATTCGGTCAGTTGTCGGGTCGGCGCCTCTGCCCTGATCATCGCATAACATGACTGCTACAAACATAGCTGATTTAGATCCAAATAAGTCTGGCGCGCGCCTGATATCCCACTATCTGATTCCCGTGTGTCTAAATTGCCGACATCTTGAATTTCTGGCGTTCGTCGAGGTTCGCACAATCCAGAGCCTGCAGTGAGAACCAAATCCATCTCAGCTAACGATGCACCGTTGCGGATTGCTCTGACAATTCTATCGGCTTCCGATTGATCATGGGTGCGAAGACTTTCCATCAAGCGCATAAGCAAAGCGCGGTCATGTTCTAGTGAAGCAATTCTTCGTTTGTACGAGAGTTTTCGCCGACCGTCGCTCTCTTCATTCATGATACAAGGTGCACCGTCTCGGTTACACGACACGCAGGGTATCCCTCCATAGCACTATTTTTTTGAGGAGGGGGCGGCTGTGAGTCAATACTCTCCATCTGGGGAAAGGGTACCTACTTTGGCTTTCCGTCTTCGACATCCAAAACAAGCTGTACTAGCCTTTGAAGGCCTCTTCGAGACATGAGGGACATGACTTGGACGGTGGGTTTTTGATTTGGGTGCCAAGCTTTTAGTTGGAGTTTGCGGTGCCATTCTACCTTGAGACCCGAGGAGTAATGTGGGTGATCATGATTGTTTCTTCGGCTGGTTCTGTTTTTACCCCTCTATTGATCACTACGTCATATTTACTTTCTTCCGCACAATAATTGGCCTGAAACGGCGGAGAATTAGTCCGATATCCAGTTCCCAGCTTCCTTAAGTACGACTGGAGTAATACTCAGAGTTCCTAGAGGACCTACAGCTTGTGGGAGTGAATGGTGTAGCTCTGGGGAACGATATCGGTGCCGGTGGGCAATCAGGAGACCCTCACGTTCCTGAGATCATATTTAAATCCAGGATCCATAGGCATGGTCTAGGCACGCTCTTCGTCGCTCCCAGGAGTTGGTCCTCTGGTGACACGGGCCGAAGCGGTTGCAGCCGCCGAGGTGGGGAAAGCGGACGCCCAGAGAAGGGCAACATCTGATGCTATTGATGGAACATTGTCGTCAAGTTCTAAGCATAGCCTTCACCAGGTCTCCTTACGTCTGAGACTTACGGCTGTGCGGGTCTCAAAATCGTAGGGGGCGCTAGTGGGCGGTCTATTGGCCTGGCAGGTCTTGAGACCATGGTCTTGGAATCTGCTGGGTCTCTGACTCTGTGTCTACCGCCCTTGGCTCGGTGTTACCGAGCCCTAGTACGTAGTCTCATATGTGCAGACTTCAGTTTTAGGTTACATGTCAACAGGCTTCAGCTACAGTTCTTTTAATCGCCTGTGATTCAAGTCTCTAGCCTAATATCCTTGATAGCTTTGTGACAATTAACACAGGCCCGATTTGTTCTTCGATCCTCTCGAGCCATGAGACTAGTTTCATGAAACCTTTATTGTCATACTAGAACATATTATACGCCAATAATCTCAAATTAGCCTATCACTCACATCTGATTCCGCCATCCGATGCTACGCGATTATTAACTTTTCAGTCTCTTCGACCGACGCAGCGAAGGCTTGACGCGGGCGGGTCGTTCCTTTGCCCGCTTTTTTACTTCTGGCTGCTCTTCCGAGTGGTCTCGATGTAGAGATGAGCGCGTCGTATACTGTCGATGGGGCCCTGGTTCGGAACTTGCCGCCTTTGCAGCTCGCTTCGCCATTTTTTGCCTTGTAGCAATCTCCGTTGAGCATGGACCGCTTTTTGTCACCCCAGAACCGACTGAAGACATGAGAATATCAGTACCTGGTTGGTTCGACGGGGGCTCTGTGTTGACAGTATGGGGTTCTAGCAAGCGTGGGTCGATATTCGTTATCTCAAAGCCGACAGAGGAGGCTGGAGTCTCAGTCCTTGATCGAGCTTCGGATTCCGAAGATACCTCTGAGCTGTCAACGGGTGTAATGGCGCCGCAAACAGGCCGTGACTCTTCTGGGAGATGGCAAAGTTTGACATTGACATCATATGTGTGCACTTTGGCGGCATGAGCCAGAAACTCAGTGACTTTGGCGAACTTTGGCACATGGCTGCAGGCTGCCCAAGTGCAGCTGATGCCGTCGTGCACATGAAGGAAATGGGCGTCAATGAGATGACGGCGAAGAGAATCTTTTCGCTTGGCTGGAAATTTATGCGGAGGATTCGATGCTGAGCGACGAGATTCACCACAGCAGATGATGCAAACATCAGTTGGACATTGTTGAGCATCCTCTTCAAAAGACGCCAGTTGTTCGGACTGTTCAATAGGTCTATTTCCCTCCTCATCGAGATTCCAATTAACTCGATTGCCTCGCCTGCTCGGTTCGCAAAGCTGTAGAAGTGCAACCATGTCCTTGGTAACCTGGATGAGTCGAGTAAGTAATTTGTCCTCGTCAAAATCTTCTGCCTCAGGACCGTAAAAGTTCTCCACAAGCCGAGCTCGTTCAGGAAATACGTAGTCCGGGATAGGGAGCTCCCAGTCTTCTTCAGCGGAACTATCAGCATCGCGTTCCTCAACATCAGATTCGCCGAGAAGCATTTGCTTGATCTGTCGGTTAACTTCAAGCACGGGAGCATTATTAAAATAGTCCTTTCTGGCTGTCTCGCGAGTTTCGATCGCCAATGTTTTCCGAAGTTTGGCCAGGTCTTTTTTGACAGTCTCATGCCTTTGGAAGAGATGTGGAAAGGTGTCACGGGCGTTCTTGATTGTGCCAGCCACGGACCGCATCTCCGCCATAAGCTCTCTTTTCTCGCGTCTTAGTTGCAGAATTTCAGGGTTTTGGCAAATAGCACGTTTATGAGCTTCGGTAAGATCAGATGGTGCCGATAAATCTCTCTTCCTAAGCATGCTCCCAGCGAAGCTTACCAGACCTTCTTGGGAGGGCCGAAGAGGAACGACATGTTGAAGGTCGCGCGCAATAAATTGTGATTGGTAATGCTTTTCAAACACCGCGTCACCAGATTGCCCTAGCACCCTTTGTCGCTCCTGGCTGGTAAAATTTTCTGCGAGTAGATAGTCAGCTCCGTTGCGAGTAATCCCATCTATCATGGCGAAAATGAATCCATCATATCGCGTTCAGCAAGTGACATACTGTTGACTTCATTTGCCGTCCAGCGGCGGTAATTGTAATGCCCAATATCGTCTTCAAATCTAGCATCTCGACCCAACTCCTTGAGCGCCTGCCGACTTGAATCATAGGTCATTGGCAAAGACCCATCGAGTCTGTAGCCGTATGGAGTACGTTCAAGACGTCGAAGGAGAGGCACATTAAGAACCTCGGGCTTCCACCGGAGGGGAAGAGATGAATTGCCTCTTGGAACTCGTAGCCGCCAAATGAGCTCTGGTGTGAGGTCGTCATTGGCAAAAGCTCCATCGCGGAAAGCGAACGCAATGATCTGAGATATCGGGCAATATGCCAGTTGATAATCGCCGTGCATGAAGAATTTAGTTCTGTTGGCAAGGATCAGTATCGAAGTTGGTTCATGAGAAGTTCGAATCAAAATTTCAGCTTACCCATCAGCGCCTTCCGGTCGACCTTTGAGATTGCGAAACTCGATGATGGCACAGAGGACATCACGTTTACTTTGAAGGTCTTTCAGGTAGAAAAGTTCGATATCGCGATAGCAGACCGAGTCCGGAAGATGTTTCAAGGAAATGTGCTTTGGAAGATCACTCTGGAAGGTGTCATCCCGTTTGCGTTTGCCCAAAACTGGATTGCCAGGCGACGAGGTGTCTTGAGGAAGCAAGACGCCAGGTCGCGTGCCTGTAATGGCGGACCAGAGCTGGACTGTAGCAAACTGAACAATCATGCTCCCGTGACGAAAGAATCTCGAATGGACCCAGTGATGCCGGTAAATCACACCAAAAGCATCCACATCTAGAGTATTTTTGTCCTTTGTTCGTCGGGAAATTTTGCGCTCGGCTGGGAATACACCTTCGAGAAACCCTTTTCCAAGGTAAGCATACTCTGTTTAGGAACAGACAGGATATAACTTACTCGTCGCATCTGTTGACGGGCATTCTCACCGACGCGGCGACGGGCGAATAGCTCGAAGTATTGACAAAGGCGTCGCCAGTATTCATCATATGACTGAAGCAGTTTCTTTCGTGATGTTTTGAACATCCAATCAAAAAAGTTCATGTAGATCGTCTGATCCTCCAAAAGAAGAAAGTCCACATAATCCTCGTTCGATTGAATGCAATATCTATTCCCGTGTTATTCTCAGTCACAAGACTTTTCCCGACCAAGTGAGCACTCACTTTCGCCAATAACGTTCGATGACAGCGATGCCTTCTAAGGTCTTTGGCTTAAAGTTTGGAGGGAGCCATCCAAGACTGCGAAAATGCTCCAGTCTGGCTCGAGTTTCCTCGCAAAGAATGGGATCGGTCCAGTATTGGTGCTCATCAGTTTGAGCTGGATGTACAGGCGTAGGTGCCACGGAGGAGGTCAGATACAAAGACCAGGGTGGAAAATTCGTGATATGGGAAACGACAACGTCAAGGTCGGCTTGAGGCGTGGGCAACGAGGATGAGAGAATGGGAGGTGCGAGGACACCGGAAGGGAGGGAAGGCGAAGCATCTTATAGGCGCTCAAATAAACTGGGCGAAAAGGGAGGGGACTTAGATTCAGTCGAAGGGGAGCCATTTTCGGCGTCGTCTTGGTCGCCAGTGGAAACGAGGGGAACAACTGTGCAAGTCGAGCGTCAACATCAGGACCGGAGGATGACTAACAGTGCTAGGTGGGTGCAGAATAGTGGTGTTACAGGGAAGTGGGCGGTCAAGGGACGGCTGGACATTCAAAGTTACGGGTGGAAAGGAAGCCGTTTCTGGCGTCAAAAGTGGTCATTTTCGGCGTCATTTTCACAGGTCCTCATATTCTAGTTGTAACAGAAGAATTCCCCGTCTTCTTCCTAATCTTTAATTTTTAATTTTCTCTTTTACATGCTGTGGCTGCTGTGGCTGCCGTTGCTGTTGCTGCCGTTGCTGTTGCTGCCGTTGCTGTTGCTGCCGTTGCTGTTGGTTTCTTTGTTCTTCTTTCTTTCTCCCTTCCCCTTCTAGCCCTCTCTCTCTCTCTTCAGACCATCCATATATTACGCGCCTTCTTGCGTCACGGCACCAATTCACATCCGCAGCGAACCCACAATTCGGGGTTATAAAGCCATGGAGAGGCTGCGCCCGAATGATAAACCCTTTTTTCCAGGTATAATGCCGAAAAGTATAATCACTCTTATGCATCTAAATTAGCGCCCCAGGTAGCATACACATTGCTCTAGTTATTAATTGCATGAGTGGATCTCATTCAAAGTGGATTGAAACAAATTAATTGAGGTTTCTTCGCGTCTTCAATTCTGTGACGCCTTGAGAAGAGGGAGTCTTCGTCGCTTAAGCTGCTCGAGTTGGCGGCTCTATCCTCACACTTCTTCGCTAAGGTACGCCCCAAGACGCCCTCCATCGTGTCTTAAAACCCTCAGGGAATTCGGGCAGACCATGTAGATCTTGAAGGATCAGAACAAGGCATATCATGCTATGCTTTTCCTCAACGATGGGCATCTTCGTGTCCACTAGCCTATTACGAATCTCCGCGAAGGCCCAGAGAAGGCATGTAGAATGGCACAAGGGAGATTAGTTGTAAACATACTTTAATATATGGTAGCAAAGAGCTCTCTACAATAGACCCAAGTGAACACCAGAAATGAATTTGAAATAATATCATCAAGAATCTTGCACTTATGTACGCCGGATCATGCAGGAACATATTGGAGCAAGGAAATCAAATCACAAGTTGTGCCAAGATCGTTCGTGGTCGTGGTCGTTGTCAGATCAAGTCGAGAAGGAAAAAAATAAAAAGCAGACGAAGAGGTAAGGAAATGAATGGAAAGGAATGAAGGAAGTGTCCATGGTTGGGGAATATAATTGAAGAGGGAAGAATGGGAAACAAAAGAGAATAATCCATCGATGGACAGGAAGAAGGGGGGAGGGAGGTGCGTTCGGAAAATCCCCAGCCTAATTTTGATGCTTTCCGCTTCATCAGGGCCATCTGCAATAAATGTACAACATGGTTTAGACTCGGCATGGGGTTGCGAGGAATGTGAATGACAAGAGTGACAAACTGGGTGCACAGTACAATTGTCTGGCGAACTTGACAATGAAATAGAAAAGGAAAAATATTCGATGTGGGCTGAAGTAGTGGAAAAATAGAAATCGTGCACATGCAAGTAGACATCGCCATACATCGCGCGGAAGTCATTTCAGATTCAATACGGGGCATATCGTATCCGTGTCCTCTTCACATACCTTGATAGTACTGCAGACCAGTTCGTTATCATTTGCTCTCGTACTCTCATTCCCATCCGATAAAATTCCATGACTAACCTAGTCTACACCGTTTAGGAGGTCGCACCAGGTGTGCAACCAGGATATCCACGCCAATTTCCGCCTGCCGAGACGGGAGGTGGCGGGGGAGGACCTGATGGTGGAGGAGCGGCACGAATGGGGAGTGCAGCTGTTTGATGGAGGTTCGTGCGGGATTTGGTATTGTTCGAACTGACGGAACGAGGGCTCATAAAGGGACGAGATGGAGCTTCAACCGCGGACACGGGATCCCCGAGGTGATTTCTGTTTGGACGGCGGCCAGATCGAGGGTCATCGTCCCGTGTTTCTAAGGAGAGGTGCTCTAGAGAGGGCGGGGGTGGCGATTTCGCAGAGCGAGATGAGGCGTAGGAAGATTGCTGGGGGTATTGCTGGACTTGGACTTGGGGAGAATGTCCGCAGTACCGGTTTGATGATGCCGGGACGTCACTGGCGACATTGAGTGGGATGTCGCCTGTGCCTATGCTGGGGTATTTTTGGTACGGAGATTGTTGGGGCTGAGGGGTTCGAGCGGTTTTGCTGATCGGGGGTGGCGGCGGCTTGGAGATTGGCGCAGGGATTGGAGTTTGGGCGGCAGAAGATGAAGTCGAAGTGGGTGTTTGGTTTTCTTTGAGAGACTTCGGGGCCGGGGGTTGGAGGTAAGACTTCCTGTTGTGGCGTTCCATCATGCTGATAGCCCATTCTTGAAGGTCGACCGGCGTGCGCTTCGCTGCTTGCAAGAATGCATCCTTGTCCTGGTATTCCGAAATCGGTTAGCTGTGTATTCCTTTTTCAACACGGGTGGACAAACGGCATACATAAAGCTCTCGCGGAGTCGGACGCTCTTCAGACTTCTTTAGTAGACACTTTCCAACAAAGTCGTGGAGGATGGGCGGGAAAGCATCACTCTTGGGCAACTTCGGGGCAGACTCGTGAACAATTTGCTGAAGCAGGTCCAGAATACCCATGGGGCCAGCACTGGCCCGATCTCCTGCTGCGGATTCCGAAGTATCAAATGGGAATCGTCCGACAGCCAGTTCCATGACAGTCAAGCCGACACTCCATACGTCAGAGCGAACCGTATAAGCACCTCCCTGAATACGTTCTGGGGCCATATATGTCGAGGTCCCGACGAAAGTATCGGCGATGGAGTTGACGGTCTCGGTAGCCACACCGAAGTCGCAAAGCTTGATATTTCCACGAGAGTTTACCAGAACATTGGATGGTTTGATATCACGGTGCATGATCCGGTGGGTTTCGTAAAGGTAGACAAGACCGGCGAGAACTGATTCTGTGATTTTACCCAGCACATCGACCCGAACGGGGCCGAAATCCTTCGAGATGCGATCGAGAGATCTGTGTTCCGCAGCGTGTTAGCCACCGACGTGGGAGGGAGAGCGTAATCATCGGCTATATGCGGCAACTTACCCGCAATCCATGTATTCCATACACAGGACAATGTCTCTAGCTTCGTTTTGGAAGGCACCGTAGAAGGTGACGATATTGGGCGAGTTGCATTCATGTCCCACTCGAAGTTCCCGTAGAATCTGTTTTCGCACGTTCTCTTTGGCGTCGACCCGGATAATCTAAGAAGAGGGGTTAGCCCAGAAGTGTTTCATCAAGATGACAAAAATAACAGCCCAGACACTCACCTTTCGGGCCATGATGACCTTGGTCGATGCGTGCATCACCTTGGAAACGGTGCCTCCATTGCCGGCTCCCAGTTCTTTCAGAGTTACCAGGTCCTCACTGCGAAGATCGAGTCGGAATTCAAGACCGATCTCCAGGGTATCTGTGCGGTTGCCATCTGAATTTCCCACAGCGCCGGGGACTTGGGCATCACCGTCGGAGGGATTGGAGGCAGCGGGCTTGGGGGTCGCATTGAGGGCGAGACCTTTAACGTTCTTGCGTTTCAACGTCCGGGCCTTGAACTGGTCGGCCATGGCGCTGGTGAGGAAGACTGTGCAATTCGAGATCGAAGACGAGACAGAGAGAAAAACAAAGAGTGTTCAAAACAAAGGGGGTTCGGGACTCAGCGCAAGACCGAGCGACCGCGCTGATGGAAGAGGGAGAAGCGCGAACTAGCGGCGGGGAACCCGATATCACCTTCAGATGTGTTCTTGGCGGCGCTGATTGGGCCTGGCGGGCGCATCGACTGGGCCAACAAGACCGAGGGGATGGCTGTCGGCGCCTAAAATCGAGCAGGGTGGAAGATGCAGGATCGTTGGGAAGAAGGGGGGCTTTGGTGATGCTTGAAGGCCTTACTATCGCTGAAACACAGGTGTTCCTGCTTGCTCCACTAGTCTTGACCCCATAGGACCTGTTCCTCGGAAAATCCCTCTTGGTCCAGTCGATCCGCGCTCTCAAAACGAAAACAAAAAAAAAAAAGAAAGAAAGAAAGGGTTTACATCATTTCGTACAAACTGACCGGGCTAGCCTAAGATCTTGAGCACTCGGACCTGCACAAGTCCTACGTCGGTGCATGGAATTTCTGGCTGGATCCTGCAGTCAGATTCAGGCACAAACGTTTACGCTGGCGGCAGCGGACGAGACCCGTCACGTGATAAATAAAATCCGCGCCACAGGTGGTTACCACTTCGGGGCTAGCGTTACAACAGCCTCCCATCAGCCACAGACAGCACCTTGCGGCAGGCGTGTTCGTCGTCCGGATTCACTTGCGCGCGCGACTCATTGATTTCCTTCCCACCACTCACCCATTCACAATCCCCTTGAGTCGGGTATCTATGGGTGCCGGCTCCCCGCTCTTCTAAACTTCATATCTCCATCTCCCCATCTCCACTTTACTGGTTTTGCATCTCCTGCAACTCTCTTCAAGGAAAACCAGGATCCCTCGCGACACCAGCCAAGATGAGTCTCCGCGACCTGGTCGATGGCGAGGCCATGATGGACGATGATGAGAACGATGAGGAGGTGGCCGATGACTTTGACAACGAGGTCCGCGAGGGTGCAGGCACCGCCAACCACTACAACGACTCGAGCGAAGAAGATGACGAGGAAGAGGATGACGAGGAGGCTGCTCGTGCTGTGAGTGCTATCGTCCACAATCTACTTGTTGAATTTGCGCGTTAACGCTTCATCTCTACTCGCATTATAGGTCCGGGAAGGATTCATTGTTGACGAAGACGAAGAGATCGATGACCGCCGACGCCATCACAAGGGAAAGCGATCACGTCCCCGCGAAGAGGAGCATCTGGACGAGGAAGATCTGGAGCTCATTGGCGAGGTTGTGCCCGGTCTCAGTCGCAGTTCAGCTTCGGAGGTACGTATTTTATATGGACGATAGAGCTCTCACCATCCGATCCGTGTTCAATATGGTACAATTTTTTTTCTTTACTAACACTGTCTTTTTTGCCAGAACAAATTCAAGCGCCTCAAGCGTGGAAAGGACCGTGACAACCGCCAACAATCCCAAGGTATTGACGCTATCTTCAACTCGGACGATGAGGAGGAGACCGAGCAATACCGACCCACCGGTGGGCGCAACATTCGCGACGAGTTCGATGACTTCATTGAGGAAGATACATTTTCGGATGAAGAAGGTCAGCGCGAGCGAGATGACCTGGAAGTTGCGCCTGCCGCCCGAGGAGCCATCCCTGGTCTCGGTGCCTCCGAAGTGGCCGGCCTGGATGAAAACGCGCTGGAGGATATGCGCGCTGCATTCGGTGATGGCACAGAGTACACATTCGCCCTTGATATCGAGGATCAAGAAGAAGAAGACAAGCTTGCAGAAGAACGACACTTGGATTTGAAGGATGTCTTCGAACCATCAGAATTGGCAGAGCGCATGTTGACAGAGGAGGACAACGAGATTAGGGGCATTGACGAACCTGAGCGCCACCAAATTGCACGCAAGCCATACAAACACGTTGTTCTCACAGAAGACCAGTTTAGGGAGGAGGCCATCTGGATCTCGAATCAAATGATCCCAAGGAGGGCAGTTGCGCCGGAGCTTTGCGAGCCATTCCAACGTTCCGTGGCCAAGATGCTGGAATTCTTGGTCACGGACGACTGGGAGGTCCCGTTTATCTTCCAACACCGGAAAGATCACATGATTCATGCCGTCAAGGAGCCCATCAACGGCGGAGACCCCAACGATGAGTCCCCGCAATACAGACTTCATACCGACAAGCTCCTACACATGTCGGATCTGTGGGAGATCTTTGACTACGACCTTAAGTTCCGCTCGTTCGTTGACAAACGCACCACAATTCAAAGTTCTTTTGACGGCCTGCGGAGTCTCTTCGGTATCGAAGACAGTAACGTCGAGGATGCATTGGTTGTTGCGGCCACCATGGAGGAGCTGCAGGACGTGTCGGACTACATTCATTTCCAATACGCTTCCCAACTGCGAGATATGTCGGCAGTGAACGGCGAAGCAAACGGCGGCCACCAGCGACGCAAGGCCACCAGCAAGACTTTATATGAGCGGGTTCGCAATTCCAAGGCGTATGGATTAGTGCGTGCCTTCGGTATTTCCGCCCATGACTTCGCACAAAACGCTTCAAAGGAAGGCCGTCGGCAATACACGGAAGACCCCAGCGAGGGCCCAGAGCAATTGGCGGATCAGTTTGTTGACGAAGATTTCGCGAGCTCTTCACATGTTCTGAAGGCTGCAAAGTCGATGTTCACTGAAGAGCTTGCCCTGAACCCGAAGATGCGCAAGGTTCTGCGACAGGTATACTACCAGACCGGAGTAGTCGATTGTCACCGCACGGAGAAGGGTCTTCGTCGAATTGATGAACACCATCCTTACTACGAATTCAAATACCGGAGGAACCTACAACTCACCGATATTGCGGTCCAGCCTGAGCTGTTCCTGCGCATGTTGAAGGCCGAGGAGGAAGGCCTCGTGCAGGTCAACGTGCGATTTCAGAATTTCGACGAAACCCGCCAGCGTCTGTACAAAGACATCGAGTCCGACAACATCTCAGAGGTTGCCGACGCTTGGAATGCTCTCCGCCGTGAAGCGCTAGACGCTGCCCTGGTCAAGCTCGAGCGTTCGCTTAATCGCGGCCTGCGGGAGAACCTTCGCCAAGAGTGTGAAAAGTCGGTTATCAACGACTGCCGCGAGACATTTGGTTCGCGCCTGGACCAAGCCCCTTACAAGCCCAAGGGAATGGTGCTGGGCACAGTGCCACGTACCCTTACCCTAACCTATGGAGACGGCGATACTAAGAAACCCATCTATTGGGCCTATACGGAGGAAGATGGCCGTGTACTCGAGAGTGGAAAGTTCAAAAGCTTGACTCCCGGCGATAAAAACCGTGGAGTCAACGACGCTGAACATGTGGCTGCCTTCGTGGACTTGGTGGAAAGACGAAAGCCGGATGTCATTGGCGTGTCTGGTCTGTCTTTGGACACCCGGTACCTTTACAAGGACCTGACGGAGCTGGTTGAGTCGAAGGATCTTCGCGGGGCGCCGTACACAGATGAGCGCGACCAAGAAACTAGTGACATCCTGGAAGTGGTCGTGGTCAATGACGAAGTCGCTCGCCTCTACTCCAACAGCTCTCGTGCCGAAAAAGATAACCCCGGTTTTGACCGCTGGACTCATTACTGTGTGGCTTTAGGACGATATCTGCAGTCACCTCTGAAGGAATATGCTTCTCTCGGCAAGGACCTCCTCGCCATCCCTTTTAAGCCAGGTCAGCAACTAGTGTCTCAAGATTTACTACAAAAGCAGTTCGACACGGCTTTGGTCGATATGGTCAACTTGGTGGGAGTGGATCTCAACGAAGCTGTCAACGATCCAGCGACTGCCAGTCTTCTCCCTTATGTCTGTGGACTGGGGCCTCGAAAGGCAGCCCACCTCCTCAAGATTATCAACATGAATGGCGGCAGTGTGAACAACCGCGTTGAGCTACTGGGTGTCAATGCCCAATACCCTGCCATGGGTGTCAAGGTCTGGAACAACTGCGCCAGCTTTGTGTTCATTGACTTTGAGAACGCCGACCCTGATGCCGATCCCCTGGATAATACTCGTGTGCATCCAGAAGACTACGATATCGCGCGGAAAATGGCCGCCGATGCTCTCGAGCTGGACGAAGAGGATATCAAGACCGAGACCGATGAGAACGGCAGCGGTGCTATTGTGCGAAAGTTATTCCGCGAAGAGCAGCAGGATCGCGTCAATGACCTGATACTGGAGGAGTATGCCGAACAGCTGGAGAAAAACCTTAACCAGCGCAAGCGTGCGACGCTCGAGACCATCCGAGCGGAATTGCAACAGCCTTATGAGGAATTGCGCAAACAATTCGTCATGATGAATAGCGATGATATCTTCACGATGCTGACAGGTGAGACCTCCGAGACGCTAGCACCTGGCACAGTGGTGTCATTCTCCATTCACCGGGTATACGATGATCATCTCGATGGCATACTGGAATGTGGGCTTTCAGCGCTGGTGTCAGAGAGCGAGCTTGGTCTATCCCATGATCTATTACCGACCCAAGTCTTTGAAAGGGGTGACATTCGCAAGGCTACGATTATCTTCGTCAACAAGAAGACTTTCTCTTGCAATGTGAGCCTACGGCCAGGCGCGGAGAAGAACTATCCTCGTCGCAGAGCCGATCTTGATTACGAAGAATGGGACGCAGAGCAGGAACGAAAAGACCAAGAGTCCTTGAAGGAGACGAAAGAGCAGGGCGGCCAGGCGCTGCGTGTCATTAAGCACCCTCTCTTCAGACCTTTCAACTCCGTCCAAGCGGAGGAATACTTGGGCTCCCGCGCCCGCGGCGACGTAGTGATTCGCCCCTCATCTCGTGGAAAGGATCACCTGGCCGTCACCTGGAAGGTATCGCAAGGGGTCTACCAGCACATCGACGTGTTGGAGCTGGACAAAGAGAATGATTTTTCTGTGGGCCGTATCTTGAAGGTCGCAGGCAAATACACATACAGCGATCTGGACGATCTGATCGTCAACCACGTCAAGGCGATGGCCCGCAAGGTTGAAGAGATGATGCTCAACGAGAAATTCCAGGACGGCAGCAAGGCCGAGACCGGTATGTTTCACTGTCCCGTCCCCTTGATCAGTTTACCTCAATACTAACTAAACCCCACAGATCAATGGCTCGAGACTTACACCAAGGCTAATCCGCGTCGCTCGGCTTACGCCTTCTGTATCAACACCAAATACCCCGGTTACTTCTACCTCTGCTTCAAGGCAGGCGAGCACTCCAGGGTTCAGAACTGGCCGGTCAAGGTGATTCCGCAAGGCTACGAACTGCAGAGAAACCCATACACCGATATGCAGAACCTCTGCAACGGCTTCAAGCTGCTATTCAAGAACGTGCAAAGTCGGCAGTGAGCGCGACGCTCGCTTGTAATATACCATTTTCATTTTCATTTGCAATTTTCTCTCACAGTGCAGTTTCCTTCGAGTATCCTCCGAGCATCCTCAAAATATACTTCAATCCCTCAAGTACAAAAAGTCGTGCCTCTTTTTTCAATCTATCTATTTTTATTTATATTCCTCTTCGCGGCGGTCTCAAGTAATATAGTGTAATATATTCTTATTATATTTCCTGCTATTCATCACCGCTAATACGGACTATTAAATTGAACTCTGAGCTTTCATCTCCTCTTCCATTTCCTTCTTCAGATAGGATCGACAATCCTATAAAGAGGTGCATCTCTTCTCTCTGATCTCCTTCCCGCTTTCTTCAATCACAAAGTGGTAGTCTGTGTGGCCGTGAAGGCCGTGGCCAAAAAGCCGGTGAGCACGAGGTGTACCATGATTTACTTTGCCATCTTATGCAGTTACTTTCTTTCTTTATTTCTTGAACAAGCGGACCAAAACAAAAGGATTGCATTCGGATTTCTTCTCATAATTGTTTCTTCATTCTTATGTTCTTCTCCTCTTTCAAACGTTGTTTCGATCTTATCCTTAATGCAGAAGATCATATCAAGAACATCCTGGTATTTTTAGCCCCACTTCGGTCGCCTCCATAAAAAGAAAAATTAACAAAATAGTGCGTCCCAGCTTTGTAAGCCTGAGTTCGCCTTTGAAGAAATAGAATAATTTAAAAGTAAGATACAGTCGATCTAGCAGCTAACAATAGATCCAACTCGTTCTGTCGACCTCGGCTTGGGCCCCCTTCAGCCCATTCTTTGGTCCGTCTCCGCATTGTATAGACCCATAGACCCAAAATTCGGACTGCCGTCACTTTATCGAATTGACATGCGCCGATGATCGCTTTTCCTTTTTTTACACCTGTTTTCTGAAAAGGAACACTCTTGCTTGGTTTGTAAGATCATTGGTGGTTATACTATATACTACTGCGATTGAGTCTCCTCTACATAATGTATACCTAGGTAGTACTAGGAGTGTGTTTTGACTCAGTCTGATTCCGAGAATAGTCGCGTTATTGCACATTTTCACATTTTCTTTATGTAGCTGACATAAAGAGACATAGAGTAGTGATTTCATTCTGGGCGATATCTCTACTCGGGCGGCGCCTTTGTGCCCTGGGCGTGCAGCGCTCCCCGCCGTGAAACCTAGGCACGATGACATCTCCAGCCCACCGATACCAGTACATGTGAAGCGTGATTCCTCGGCCTCGGGTCATTTGGGTTATGCTCCGCTATGCCCCGCCAAGATCCCCATTGCTGAGGTCATGTTGCGTACCTGGCCGGCTTCTCTGGACTGCATGAATTGCTGCCCTCCTGCGTAATTGTTGTCGTGTCCTGTCCGCCCGTGTTTTCCCCCTTCAGCCGCAACTCCACCGGACCGCGACGGCTGTCATCGTAAGGCTGACCTTGCCCTCTCGACACCACCATGGCCGCAATGGAGGAGCTGGAGATCCACAGCAAGGTGAGTGTCATCCATGATATCCGTTCGGGCTCAAGCTAATCGGGCTCTTTGTTCGTCTCGCGCAGTCCTACTTCGTGCGCTGGGTCAATGTCGCCGCTGGCCATACCATCTCGTGGAGCATCCAGCCGCACAAGAAGTCCGTGAACTTTGGCATCTTCAAGCATCCTGGCCAGTCTGCTTCCCTCGGCTCGCAGCTGCCCACCTCCGACTCCCACGGCACCGATTCCACCGAGAACCTGCCCGCCACTACCACCGCGCAATCCGGATCCCGCAACCAGCCGTCCGCCGTCATTGACAAGCTGACCGGCATTGGCCTGAAGTCCATCAAATGGATCGGGAAGTGCGAGGCCGATAAGATCTCCCAGGGGACGCACGATGTCCCGACGAATGAAGCCGGGAACTACGCGTTGGTGTTCGACAATACCTTCTCTAAACAAATCTCCAAGACCGTCACCCTCGTCCTCCTGACCTATCCGACCGGACTCCAGCCGCATGGCTCCGCGCCCCCCTCTGTTGCGCGCTCGCACACCGGCGGCTCAACGGACTCCCTCACGCAGCCGAAAACTCGCCGTCGCGGAAACAGCCGGTCGACCCTGAATGTGCAGGTCTCGGAGACGTCCACATCGACCCTGCATACCGGACAGCTTCAGAAGAGACGGCGTAAGCGCGGCCAGGGCTGGGCGCGTCGGTTCTTCTCATTGGACTTTACCTCCTGTACTCTATCTTATTACCATGACCCTAACTCGTCAGCGCTACGCGGCGCCATCCCGCTTTCGTTGGCGGCCGTAGCGACCAACGAGAAGTCCCGGGAGATCTCCATTGACTCCGGCACCGAAATTTGGCATCTCCGCGCGAGCAATGATCAGGACTTTACGTCTTGGAAGCGTGCTTTGGAGAAAGCTTCTTCGAAGGAAGCCCCCAAGGAAAATGAGCTGGCTGTTGCCGGGCCTCCGGAGCTGCGTCTGTCCCTCCCGCAACAACCATCTCCGGCGGAGGAGGAAGAGTGGACCCGCGTTGAGAGCTTGGTTGGCAGGGTCTCAGGCTCGCGGGATGCAGTGCGCCGTCTTGCGAAGGACACGGATCCCAAGTATCTGGCGACTCCGCTGCCATCTCCTATGGAGCGCACTCGTGGCCGATCCCCGAGCCCGCAGCCTGCGTCAAATGAAGCTGTTAGTGCAGACCCCAAGCGGTCTTTCTGGAAGCGCAAGACTAGTGGCAACTCCAATGCCAGTAGTTCCAAGCGTCCTCCAGGCCCGGAGCACACGAACTCAAGCTCTTCGGGACTGGTGGTCCCGCCTGCCAAGCCTGCGAGCATTTCCAGCCATGCTGACGGTATGGAAGAAGTCCATGACCATCTGATGGCTGTCCTGCGTGACCTTGATAATGTCGTGACCGAGTTTTCTACCCTGCTCGCTGAGAGCAAACAGCGAAGAAACCCACCCCGGTCAACGGTGTCTATGGCTCCTCGCAAGAGTATGGAGTCAGAAGACTTGGAATTCTTCGATGCTATGGATGGGGGTGCGGCATCTCCGCTTTTGACAATCCAAGATAGTGATGATGAAGGCGAGAAGGAACGACCCAGTACCGCCACCGAGGATGTGGATGATGCTCCCTCCGACAGCGAGGACGAGGATTCTGCTTCAGTTCCTCAGGATAGCAGCTCCGCCTCGCCATTGTTCCCAGCCCGTCCCAAATCCTTATCCCCTCTCCCTCTGGACGCCATCCGTCGTCGCCAGAACATCTTAGCCCCAACCGTCCTCCCTCCCAGTTTGATCGGATTCTTGCGCAAGAACGTCGGCAAGGATCTCTCTCAAATATCTATGCCGGTCTCAGCCAACGAGCCTCTTTCCTTGCTACAGCGTGCTGCAGAGATCTGCGAGTACTCGTCTTTGTTGGATAAAGCGGTCCAGATCTCTGATAGCGCCGAGCGTTTGATGTACATCACCGCATTCGCAGTGTCATCTCTATCAAGCAATCGTGTCCGGGAACGTTCCATCCGCAAACCATTCAACCCCATGCTCGGCGAAACGTACGAACTCGTCCGCGAAGATCAGGGTTTCCGCTTCATCGCCGAGAAGGTCTCCCACCGTCCCGTCCAACTAGCCTACCAAGCCGACAGTCGCGAATGGAGCCTCGCGCAGAGCCCAATGCCCAGCCAGAAATTCTGGGGCAAATCTGCGGAGATCACGACCGAAGGTCGTGTGCGTATTACCCTCCACGCCACTGGTGAACGATTCAGCTGGACGCCTGCTACCTCGTTCCTGCGGAATATCATCGCCGGCGAGAAGTATGTTGAACCAGTTGGTGAGTTGACCGTCGCTAATGAAACGACGGGTCAACGTACCATCTCGACCTTCAAGGCTGGTGGCATGTTCTCCGGTCGTAGTGAAGAAGTCTCTACGCGTGCTGTCGACTCATACAACAAGCCACTTTCCCTTGGTCTAACTGGCACTTGGCCGACTTCCCTGTCACTTACGCGGGACGGCTCACCATCCGGAAAACCAATCTGGACCGCAGGCCCTCTTGTCCCGAGTGCGCCTAAGCATTACGGGCTGACAGCCTTTGCCGCTGCTCTCAATGAGATCACCTCAATTGAAGACCAGCATCTCCCGCCCACAGACTCCCGTCTCCGTCCTGACCAGCGCGCATTGGAAGATGGTGATCTCGACCGCGCGGAGGAAGTTAAGGTTCAATTGGAAGAAGGGCAGCGCGCTCGTCGGAGGGAGATGGAGGCTGCCGGTGAGAACTGGATTCCTCGATGGTTCACGAAGGTTAGTGATGAGTCGAATGGGGAGGTTGTTTGGAAACTCAAGGGTGGGAAGGATAGTTATTGGGATGAGCGTGCGAAGGGTACTTGGAGCGGTGTTGTGCCGGTTTTTGACACCAAATGAGCTCCATGCCTGGTCGCCTCGTATCTTAAGTGAAGTGAACTACATATATATGTCGGATGAAGGTGGTTTGTGGATGTTGTATCAGCGTTGACTTAGTTATCTATTCCCCCCGCTCTCCTTCCCTTCCCTCTTTTTGGATTTCGTCTTGGTCCTTTTTCTTGGTGGAATGTTAGAGATGGCGAGTGAGCGTTTGATTGTCTCTCACCGCCTTACATAGCCATTTTTATTTCATTTGACATCGTGATAGAATTCTGGATATTGCGTTTTCCAGGATTGTGACACCCAAAGCGGTCCAAAAGTCTAGAATCGGGTGGATCGGCGGGAATGGTTAATATTCCTGTGTGCAAGACTTAAGGTTACTTAGAGTTCCCAAGAGGCTAAACATAATGTTGTAGAGCAAGGTAGAATCAATGACTAGCAATTCTAACACAACGAAAATTATACATCCGGGGATCTATAGATTGATGCACTGCCTCGGCTGAGAGAATGATATTGCCCTGTTTGGTCAACGGTACGTCAGTGCAGTAGATCGCGCAGTTCTATGGAAAGATTCGCAGTTTTTAAGTATTTAACAGCAGACAGCAGATATATGCCTACAAAACGAATTGATATGTGCATTGTGATTTTGATACATGTAAGCCATTTCTATCACTGCTAGCTCCACTGGCGTGACGCTGGCCAGAGAGTGTAGGTTCTGTCCGAAAACTACAGCGTGTATCCTCCCCATCTATAATGCAATGATGGCAACATATCTTAACAGCAAATCCTCTAGCGCGCGCCCATCTGAGTAATTGCCCCCATAAATAATTAAGGCTCGAAGAGGTGTCCCGAGTTTACCGCGTTTGTTAAAGTCGGCACCTCGATCCAGCAACAAGACGGCAATCTCCAAGCGATTATGTATGGCGGCGACGTAAAGGAGGCGAGCTGTCCCCCGACTCTGTAGTACGGATAGTGGCACCGTTGTCAAGAAGTAATTTTGCGGTGTCATAGTGACTTTCGGCAACAGCTACGAGAAGAGCGTTTTATCATTTGTTCTTGAGTTTGTCAGTTGATTGCTTGTCGATATTCGTGAAATCGAAAAAGAAATCTAGGTGGACGCTTGATTTGTTGTTTTGCTCGATATACTTGATGATAGTCGCGCTCAGTACCGTTTTACCGCAGCCGGGAAGACTATGTAGCCCAGAGATGCTGGTATTTTTGCTTAATTCACCTTTGAAGTTCTTCGCCTTGAAGAATCCATGATCCGGATTCCCCGTTGCGCTTTTCGAATGCCTCTTTCAAGTTAGACGAGATATCGGGTGGGGAGAGCCACGATTTATTAGCGCCCACATGGCTATTTGACTGAAAAAAGTCAACGGTCGCACTTGTGACAGATCGGGTGTTTTGGATATCTTGTCTCACTTGACAATTCGTAGTCAATTACCGCTACGGGCTCATGAGGCTAGGGCACTAACTAGAATTTAGAGATCCTTAGCTATTCTCTCTTGCTCGAGTCCATTGACAGGAACGTAGTGAAGCAACTCCTTTGCATACGCCGCAGCTGTAGACGCGGAATATCTCTGCTACTAGTCATTCTTGTGCAAATCCGAATAGTCGGAAATTCCTCTGATGACAAGACATGGAAAATGGTTCATAAGACCAGCAGCCTCCATTTCAAGACAGATGCAACCTTTTCCGAATTTTTCGAGAATCATGTCGCGCGTAGCAGTAATTTTTGACAAGTGTATTCCCTAAGGCAATGATGCCATAATGGACTTTGGATTTGCAGATTCTCGTGGATCACGTTAGACGACTGATCACAGGCAGAACAGTCGTCTCCGCCAGGGTGGTCACAGGAAGTCTTGAACAGTCTGTCCTTTTCCTGGCTCTGAAGGAAGAACCCACCCGGCGATTTCTTTTGCAGCTCTTTCTTCAGAAACTCGGGGAGCAAAATTCCCCGAAGCTCGCCAGCTCATGCTCCGCTTATAGAGCAGGGCCATCAAAAGTACCTCTGGTGGCATGCCGAATAAGTCCCTTTCGCTCCCAATCCCCGTGAAGTTTTGCCAAGATCATGCTGAAGAACCCCTCCAGCCGTGGCCTGAGGCTGACTGAAAAAAAGGTCCCCGGGTCATATATGGCGGTCATCCCAAGGCCTAGAAATAGCACCTCCGATTCGGACAAGCAGACCAATACGAATCTGGGGTAGCGAAGGAAGCAAGTTCGATGCTGTGGTTGCCACTGAAGTTGTTCCATAGACACCAGCAGCAAGAGAGGCAATGAATATATTGTGGTTGCCCATTTCACCCAAGATATATGAGTTCTTGTCGCTTCATCCTGGATAAACCCAGTTAATTTGTCATGATGTCCGTCAAGTAACGCAGTCGCTGCGGCGCGTTCAACCGGAAATGCTGCAATCCATCCGATATTAGAAGAGAGTGATGAAGTTCCCAGAACGCTTCTTGCTGCCTCAGGCAATCAAAAAGCAGGGAAAGTCCAAACAAAAGCTGTTGTGGCACCAATTGGTTTGAGAATCGCATAAGGCGATAGATCATTCCGATATCTATTTCTTGTTAATCTTTATCGACTTCTTTGCGTCTTCCGACCATTTACGAGATCGCCATTCTCAATGTAGAAGCTCGGATAACTAGTTAACTATTAGATTTCACCGTTGCAGCACGCAAAGTGGAATCGACGCCACCACAGATGAAAGACGGCATGAGCTGAATGAAAATTTCTTCCCTACTTCCCTTCTGGGTTAAGACCTGCATGGTACATAGACACATGCAGCCTGAGGGCGCTGCAAATGTTGATGTACGATATGTTTACTTCTTCCATATCTCGCTACGGGCAACTCACACCAAGCAGCATTAGGGCGCATAGCCCCATGATTTTGTGAAACGTTCACTTCCAGTTACATCACTTTAAGCAGAACATGGCTCCAAAACTGGTGATCTTTCCACTTCAATTGGTCATAATTTCTCTGTCGGTGAACGCTTTGTTCGTGTGCATGTGCTGTACTTGAGCATGATGAGGTAATTCTGGGCTCAGCTGAGAGACGCATGCATTGGGCACGTCTCTTACTAGGCCAGACCGAGTCTACTGTGACAAACAAAGCACAAAGCTATAAATTTGGGCATTCCTCTCTCTCAACTTGAAGTAAGAATCGTTGGTTTGGGCCCAACACTAGTGAATCTTCGCACTCCAAACTCAAATCTAATCACCCAACCGCTTCTTTCTCAGAATATACCTCTACTTCTCAGTCGAGTCCCCGTATCACAATGAGCTGCGTAAAGGGTAAATGTCAACTAGAAGATAAGCCTCAGATCTGTACTAATACAGTTTGGCAGGCCAACTCCGCGAACATCGACACGGAGTGATCGGTGAAGTTGAAGCTGGCAGAGGGACAATAACCCGACAGGCCAACGGCTATCCAACGCGTTTCAACTTTAAAACCCCGTTCCCTAGCCCACCGAGCGTGAGCATCACTCCCATTTTCAATGGTGGTATGGCAAGATACTGGACCGAGTTCCGAATTTACTTCTTTCATCCATCGGGTGGCCCTTCGGTCGACAAGGATGGGTTTTACCTTGGGATTATGAGCAACACGGGAGAAAGCTTCGACTTTGAGTATTTTGCCAGTGAGATTATTGAAGATAAAGAAGAAGAAGAGAAAATTTAGTAGAGACTCCCATCCACAAACTCGATAAAGGTTGCTAGTTTCTTGAGGTGGATCTATCTTGTGGATCTATCTTTTGCTATGTTGTCTTTGACAAAGATAAATCGAAATACAATTATCTTCTAAGCCTGTGCTATTACTTACAATAAACAGTAAACCCATTCTAAATATCCTCGACTTGTGTGTAAATCAAAGTTTCGGTCTCTGCGCAGCAATCTGAAAGCCATGCCTCGGAGCATGAGCTCGTACCGATATCTCACCCAAGGTCTCAACAATGACTTCATCGTCGTTAAGTCCAATCAACCGACCAGCAGTCTTATGCGCAGAACCGGAATCGAACGGCCAAACTTTCACCAGCTGCTCCTCCTCCAATGCCTGGGATCGCACAACCTCATCATTTTCCTGCACCCGGTAAACGCCTCCCTCGAAGGCCGACTGAGAAATAATACCAGCCGCCTGCTCTCCAGACAACGTCTGTGGTTTTGGCAGAGCATTCCCCGCCGCATTAGCAGCAGCATCAAGCCTCTCAACCCAAGCATAAACCTTCGGGAAAACCCTCGCGGAGACCTGGTCCTCTGGAAGAGCTCCCGGCGCAGAGAAGAGCCAAACAAGAGGCCACGCCATTTCGATATCAGCCAGACTGGGTCGGGAAGTGCGAAGGATCCACTCCCGACCGTCCGCGAGGATCGTTGTCTCGAGAAGATGGACGATATTGCGAACTTCATTGATTGCCTGCGGTCGAGCGCGTTTCATTGCATCGCGACTCACGGCGCGAGCTCCCCCGAGAACTCGGTGCGGTCTTGCACGAATCTCGGGTCATTAAGGATCGGTGAGCTGGCTAGTAAGATACAGGCGACGTGCCTGAATAGCCCGCCGTCTGTGGAGAGGGAGTCGAAGAGACGTTCGATGAGGCGGTGCTCGGGACTTTGGCTTTCTGCTGCTAGACGGGGTTTCTCCGGTGCGAAGTCCTCTAGTTTCTGGAGGATTAGGCGTGAGTCGAGGTGGACATCCCGGCCGATTGAAAGGACGGGGATGCGTCGATATTGAATGCCCAGATTAAGAAGGTCTGGCCTGGGGAGGATGTGGGGTTGGATCTAGATCTTGCGTTAGATGGATCGATTGATTGGATGTTGATGAACTCACACATTGCGAATAGGGAATGCCTCGTAGAGCAAGGTACCAAAGGACCTTTTTGCTGTAGGGAGATCCCGGGTAGTGGAAAAGAATCACCGGCCTGTCTGGAACGGACATTTTTGAGAGTTATTTCATGACGGCCGTGGCTGCTGCGAGCTGCGCGGATTTAAATTGCTGCAGTGGCGAGAAATAAGGGGCCAAGCTAGGCCGAACCGATCTTCTGCTGATCTGCAGAAAGCTCCATCACATGGTGCCGCTTGGAAGCTATACCCGAGCATCGGGTGAATCATTACTACTACACTGAAGATATTCAAGGTTGGCGCACAAACCGTGCCGATTATTGAGAATCCTGTGTATTTTTCCATTTGGATTGTCCGTATTCGATCCATTATAAACAGCCTTGGAGTCCGTCTCAGATGATGAAAATAAGAATGATGAAAAGACGATAATAATAATAATAACAGTAATAATAAACTAAAAGACAATAAAAAGAATAACTTGAGGCGCATGCATCATGGGTAACATAACTGCCGGAATCGGGAAAAAAGTGGAATCAGAACTTGAAAAGGGAAAAGCAGAAGGGCATGGAAACATTCCGGGCGTATCTTAGAAGAACGAAACAAAATATCTTGCAAGAATCTACTCATCGTCATCCGAGGCATGGGCAGTCCAGTGTCGAGAGTTGCGCATCTTCGCGGCTTTGCGAGCGCTCTGTCGGTCGCCGTTTCCAGACCGGGAGTCGTTCACGCTGCGCATCATCACGGGGAGGCTCTCGAGGACAGCGCGGTTGCCCTGGTAGTAGTGTTCGGCGAAGCCGCCCTGCAGGATACGGCGAAGAGAGGTCAGACGCACCCATTTCCACCAGCGATCGATGCTCATAATACCGTGGCGACCGATCTTGACAGTAAGTGTGCTTCCGTAGTGTCGGTTGGTATCCTGGTCAATGGCCATGTTGTATCGCGGGCCACGACGGGGGTTCTCGACGGTGGTGAGGATGGATGTAAAGTTGCTGTGCAGGGACTTCTTGTCGCGCTTGCTGATGCGCTTGGAGTGCACAGTTGCCAGCGAATGTAATTGCCGCTCGAGCTCGGGAGTGTTGTGATAGGCATTGTATCGCTTGATCAGCTTAGGGCCGGTCGGGTCAATAAGACCGTGCTCATCGTCTTCATCACCCTCACTAATCTCATCATCTTCGTCGTCTTCTTGGGGCGTGTAGCTCTTCTCATATAGGAGAGCGATACATTCACCGGCGGCGATCTGAACGCCGGAGTCTCCACTGTCCAGCTGGTCGATGAAGATCTGGGCGGCTTCTTCACTGTCATTCTCGTAGTCCTCGATTTCCGTCGCAAGTAATCCCCAGATCTGCAAAGCGGCACTAACGGCAGTAACATCGTCTGATGCGTCAATCGACTGGCCATCCGAGGCCACAATGTCCAGCAGGAATGTCATCTGATCAAGAATGCTCTCTTCGCCAGCACCACCGAACAGGGTGCATGCTCCCAGGCAATTGATCGCTGCGGCCTTGACAACGGGCGAGCTGGAGTCGCGAATAGCGCGGGTCAGCAGCTGCTCCGTATTCAGGTAGATCTTGTCGTCGCTGGACGTGATGGCAAGCAGTTCGATTGCGCGCAGAGCGGACGTTGCCTCCCGAATGCTGGTTTCAGATCGGACACTCCGTGCGAACGTGCTGAGCAGATCCTGCACATGCGAGCCGATTTCTTCGAGGGCATAGTGGTATTTGGTCAGCCGGCAGAATGCCGCCAAGGCCTCCTCGCGGCCCTGGACGCTGCTGCGCTTGCGGTCGATCAGTTCTTGGATGCGATCGCCCAGCTCTTGGGGCCAGTCTTCATTATCCTGCTCGGGATTTTCATCGTCCAAAGAGCCGATGCTAGAATAACGAATTTCTGATTAGCAATCTGATTTTCACAAGGGAACACATAAGAAACATGCTGATCGCCTGCGGTGACATCATCCCGCCACGGAGTGGGACCGTTTAGAATACTGGGATGCACAGAGAAAAAAAAAATGAAGCAGTGGAGGTGAGGGAAGGGATAGGAAGAAAGAAAGGATGGAAAACTCACCTCATCGCAGTGTCGTCAGAGGCATATCCGGCCTCATCGTCGTCTGAGGGGTGTCGGCTCGTAGCCCGTGAGGATTGGCGAGATGTTTGCTTGGAGCCGGCGCGAGAGGTCTTACGAGAACCCTCGCGAGAAGCCGCCTTGCGCGACACGGTCTTGCCGCTCTCGAAGATCTGGCGACGCAGATCGGGCATGGTGGAGGATGGGTTGGTGACGAGGGAGGGTGGAAAAGGGTAAGAAGTTTCAAATGAGCGTTCCGGAAGAAGCTCGAGGCGAAGTGGGAAAAGACTGATGTGGAAGCGGGTCTATCCTATTGGCACGGCGATATGGTAAAACGAAATCGAGAGATAAGAAAGGTTGAAAAATAGAACATCGTCCTGCAAGTTAAGCATCTGGCAAGGGGTTGAAGTGAATGAGAAGAAGCACTCGCAGTGAATGCAAAAAGTAGCGGCGTAATTGCGCCCCTCAAGAACCGTGGCTCGCCAATCGCGGGCGCCCAAAGCTGTGCTGACCGCCAGTGCGGGGAATCACGTCTGGGGTATTTGCAGTGAATATTCTACGAATCATACAAGGGAAAGGAACCCTGGGTGCAGAGTGAATGTGCGAAATCGCACTTCCTCTTCGCATTCGGAGGTGTGGTAGCATAAAATTGTTATGGTGGTTCGGGTATTATCGTACATCGTGAAGCTATTTCAGCTGCATCGCCAGCTCCAAAATCCGCCGAGCCTTGGCCCCCTCCAAATATCCGCGGCCTTCATGTGCACCATCCTCGTCATAATCATCGTCTCCCACTTCTAAGTCCACCTGTCCGCTAGCTTCGTAGGTCGCCATCAGTGTATCCTCGTCAACCCGCTGGCCGCCTTGTACCAGGACCCTGATACACTGCGCCAGTCGCGCAATTTCGCGGCGCGTCTGCGGCGGGATCTCATCGTTTTGGCTGGAGTAAATCGAACTTGATACCATCTCTTCCATGCGCGTAATCGAAACACTCTCGGTGGTAGATGAGGCTGCTTCCGCTCCGTCGGCATGCTTAGAAATCCAGATGTAGCCATTCACTCCGAGAATAACGTCCACCTGACCGCCGCCGTTGTGTGCATCGATGGTCCATACCTGTCGTCGTGATCGAACGACACCGCCACCCCCGCCATTAGAAGTATCAGCGCCCGAGGACCCGGATCCAATGCCTCCCTTCGTGCTGGAGTTGGAAGCCCCATTGCCTCCGGTTCCAGTGACGGCCAAGAATACACCATTCCGCAATTTTCCGTATTTCAAGGATCGAGTGTGAAGCGAAGCAGATCCATCTTGGTGAACGCTCTGCACTTCCGCGACCACAAGGTCGCCCTCGCTGAAGAAAGTTCGGATTTGAAGCTCGTCGGCGCTTGTTCGTCGTCGAAGAATACCACCGGGCAAGTTAATCGCGGATAAGGGGAGCTGTGCGAGGAGTGGCGCGGCGACGTCAACCTTCCATCGCTTGCCCTGGACCTCGACAATGCGTCCAACAACTAGATCACCAATTTCTGGTTGGTATCGGGCGCGGAGGGGGTAACGGACATCAATTTGTTTGTCTTTTGGGATGTTCCAGCGACAGTAGCAATGATTGAAGTGGACAAAGGGTTCATAAAGGTGCCATGACCTCTGGAAGATGTTAGCTTTGTTCAGTCCCGTGGTGATCAGAGAAAATGTATGCTCCGCGCTGAGAGAGCACAATCTCTGGGTGAGACGTACCTCATGTATTGCGTGTCAGCGGTTATGACCTCTCCTGGTATGACAATTCCCTCGCCGATCTTCTTATCTCCAAGGCGGGGTCGCTTGCTTGGTCGTGAGGCGCCGCTGATGTCGACGCCGCCCATCTCGACGTCGGAGTCGTCATCGGACATGGACTCATCGTAATCTGTACGACGGAGACCGAGATCCTCCACCACTGGCGGGAGGATGGTGATGGCCATTGTAGAGGGTTGGCTCTTGAACGATCTGTAACGAAGAACCCACGTTATTAGCTTGGAGAAAGTCCAGAACTGCAGGCCCGCACCTGAGACTTTCTTCAATTCACGTGACCAGCCCCACCGTGGATCAAGTGAGCCCAGACTTGTTCATTCTGCCATGCAAAAACACACTGAATCAATTAATTGAATAATCCTATGTTCGCTTTGAAGATTTCTGTAAATTCAGGCATAGCGAGAATTACAGTGTGGGATTGAGGAGGTGTAGCTCCCGATTGTCATGAAAATTAAAGTTCACTATGCCTTATTATTGATCTACATCACCCTGTGATGCAGGTAATTAAAGAACTAATGCTGATCCTCAAACCGGGCAATTGAGCAATCGGCGGATGATTACATGTTCTTTCATCTATGTCTTATAGTTTTTGGACATGCTGAAAGCCGATCCGAATTAATGCGACTTGCCATCAACTGAGCGTGAATCCATCAGGTCGGTAACACAATCAACAGTGACGTAAATAGGCATGAATTCGGCAGGCAAGCAAGCAGGAGCGTAAGCCGAGGATAAGCATGTTGTAGAAGGAAGTATTGATCTGTAAGTCGAATGCCTAGGCACTGATTTAAGTCCACAAAGTCCACGAAGATCAAAAGGTGGTAGTGCGATTTAGCACTACAGGTAATGGTTTCAAGAGAAATGGCCTTGTTTAAACTCTAATTCAAATGTCCAGTGTCACCGGGGTAATCCAAACACCTAATTATACATGGTGAAAAATCAACTCATTGCCAAATTCCATACCCATATCAGGCTTTCTTCGCATTGCGATTGGCAGTTGGAGTCGACTCTTCCTTCTTCTTCTTCGACCGATTGTTGCCACCTTTAGGTCTATATCCAGTATCATCGTCGCGCTTGCGCTTGTTCTTAGGCGTAGGTTCCACATCCATTCCATCTTCATCGATTGTCTCCTCGTCCTTGCGCTGGGCCGGTGCTCTCTTAGACGCACGCTGGTTTGAGGGCCGTGATGTAGATTTCTCGGAGGCAGCCTCATGATCCTGCAAGGTCTGCGGCTGATTTCGGCGCAGCCAGTTACTGACAGATGCCGGGTTGCGGGCAAAGGCATCCTTTTCTCGCTCCGCGAGTGTCGGTGGGTCTGGGATGCGGGCGAGCTGGGCTGCGGCCGCTTCATCACCAAGCTTGGCGTCCGTGGCTAGATCGTACTCATCCTCACGCTCTGCAGTGAAGTATCCGAGGTTGCGTTCCACATCGTGGGCGATTCTTTGCTCGTCTTGGATTGCAGCACCATGAGGGATCTTGTGTAGGGTGCTATATTGCAGCTTTGGCGCGAAGTCTTTGTTGCGCTTAATGCTTTCCTCAATCCTCCGATATGCGGAGGCCGCAAAATCCCCACGGGCCAGTTCCTCTTTGGCTTCTTTCAATGCCGTCCAGGCGAGTTCCGTATCATCGATTAAGGGCTGAATGACCGGTGACTCTATGTCATCAAAAGAGATGTCGCCTGGCATACTCAATTCGTATCGTATGGCCGGGGGAATTTGCAGACTGTCGTTTAACTCCAGGAGGGTCTCTAGTATTTGGCTGCAGGTGGGTGCAAGTCAGTCCTGAGTAGCCTGCGGGGGTGTGCGGTGAACGACCTACTCATTTTGTTGCTGGATGCGCTTGGACAGGTCTTCGATACGCAGCTCCTCGCGAATCAGGTGCTCATTTTCTCGAATTGCTTGCTCAAACTTGACTTTCATCTTGGCATATTTTTTCCTGGAAAGCTATTAGGCAAGGCTTCACCACCGAGGCGTCGACGGGATCGTACTTGAAAGACCGCACTGCCGGTTTAGCAGGAGCACCTGCCGGGGCATCAGGCAAGGTTCCCATTGCAACTGTAGTTTCAGTCGGCTCGTGTTCCATGGTGGTCGATGATCGCGTTCGGATTGAAGGGGTAGGAAGGAGATGCGAAGTCAACCTGGGGAGGAAGTCAGGGCGTCTGTCACGCGCCAAGCTCGGGTTGCGCGATGGGCTGGTCTCGGCCGCCGTAAAAAATTATGCGGCGAGGAAAGTAAAGATTCTCGGAGATCCTATTTCGATTTGACTACGGATCGTCGACTCGACTTCAATCCCAAATCTTTTCACCTGTGCAGATCTTGCACACTAGTCGCCATGACTGAAGTTACCGACCGTGCCGAAAAGAAGCGCAAGCTTCAAGAAGGCCCCGAACTCGAGATTGACGTTTCTGCACCGGAGCCCAAATCGAAGAAAGAGCTGCGCAAAGCCAAGAAGAGCAAGACCAGCAAAACTTCCAAGGATGAAGAAGATGCTCCGACCGAGAAGCCTGATTCGAATGAAACCACCGAGTCTCAACCCGCCCCCGAGAAACGCTCCGACTATGGAATCTGGATTGGCAACTTGGCTTTCCAGACGACCAAGGAGGACCTTCGCAACTTTATCGTTCAACACTGCTCCTTCTCCGATGCTACAATTACCCGAGTTCATATGCCCAAGGGACCTGAGAAGTTTGGAAGACCCCAAAACAAGGGTTTCGCCTACGTTGATTTTTCGACCAAGAAGGCCCTGGATGAAGCCTTGACACTGTCCGAGGAGCTCTTGACGGGCCGTAAAGTGCTGATCAAGAATGCGAAGAGCTTCGAAGGTCGGCCCGAGAAGTCTAAAGACGACAGCGCCCCCGGTAACTCCGCTAAGTTGGCCAACCCTCCATCTCGGCGAATTTTCGTTGGTAACTTGAGTTTCGACGTTACCAAAGAATCCCTCGAAGAGCACTTCAGTCGTTGTGGAACCCTGACCAATGTGCATATCGCAACGTTCCAGGATACAGGAAAATGCAAGGGATACGCTTGGGTGGAGTTTGAGGAAATTGCGGCCGCAGAAGCAGCGGTGAGAGGATTTGTGATGGTCAAGGAAGATGATGAAGAGGAGGAAGAATCCGATGATAGCTCGGACTCCGATTCTGAGAAAGAAAAGAAGCGCAAGAAGATGAAGAAACCTCAACAGCGCAAGATCTGGGTGAACCAACTTTTGGGTCGCCGTATGCGCATGGAATTCGCAGAGGATGCGACAACCCGGTACAAGAAGCGCTTCGGCAAGGATGGCGAAGGAAAGAAGAGCGAAAACGGCGCCTCCGAGGACTCGAATGATGACAAACCCTGGACTCGGAAGCCTAAGAAGCAGGAGGTCGACGAGTCTCGCTATTCGAAGGAGACCGTGCAACGACTCAGCGGTGCCATTGTCGAAGGACAGGGCAAGAAGGTCACCTTTGACTAAAAGAAGAAATCGCTGAGAACGCATAATTCCTTTCTACGGAGCTTGGTGCACGCGCTTCAAGCGTGGCTTATATTTTACCGGTTCATCGTAGCTGATCTGCAGACATCTGGGAACTTTTTTGAGCCTCTATACAGCAATGATCTCCTTGGTGGTCTGCTATTGCATTGACGCGGCATTGAGGCCGAGAAAGTCAACCTTAGGCCGCTTGGTCCACAGATACCCCTCCAAAATTATGTATACTTTGATGATGATTGTTTTGTTGACCTTTTTTTTTGAGTCCGTTGCTCCATTGTCGGGTGTAAAGTGATAGGCGTTATCAATCAAGGGCGCCGGATCGAATCCTATTGCGCCAGTCCAAGTAAAGGTTGGGGATCCACCCTTCATCCTTACCGATGCACCGCAAATGCATAGGATATGTAGATATGTCCGTTCCACAAATAGGCCGACGCACAAAAAGCAATGGAACAAAAAAAATCTGTTTGCTGGCATAGAGCCCAAAGCGACGAAATTTCAAACGGGGCAAACCTGCGCGGTCTTTTAACGCCCTACGGATTCCGATACTGGAAAGGTACTCCGTCCCATGTAGATCTCAAAAGACGGGCAGAACCGTCTCACCGCCGGCACTAGGCCTGATCGGGGGTGACGTCTGGTGCTGCGATGTCATGAAGGGCATTCTGAATATCGTTTCCATCGTGTTTGGGCTGCATCTCCTTCTTCTCAACACCCCTTGCTCTCTTTCTCTTCTTTCTCCCCCATCACTTGGGTCTCTCAAAGAGCTTTAATTCAAACCCTTTTACTTTGACATTCGTCTTTTATTTGGTTTACCGTTCTTGTTGCAACGCCCACCTACCTTCGCCGCACTTCCTCCCACCCTATCCCTTCCTGGTTGGCGGGCCTCAACGCCAACCGTCTATCCGCAGGGACGTTACTCGGCACGTCTAGCCAGAAGTTTCCGCAAAAAACTGCCCATGGCTCCCCGTCGACGTCATATCGGGGCGAGCCGCAGGAAGAGAAGGGAAGACGAGGGCGAGGAAGAAGGCTCGATCGTCGGAGATCTGGAAGATGACTCCCTGAGTGAGGGCTCAGTGGACAGCCATCCTGGCGATGAGGATGCCGATGTGGAAGGCAGTGAGGACGAGGATATACAGGTGACGAAACAGCCGGGCAAGTCGAATCCCCGAAAGCCCAACGGCCGTGAACACGAGCACCCGAAACGACGCAACGCTGCCTCCCCCAACAAACCTGGACTCAAAACGACTGTATCGGACACAGAAGCGATGTTGAACGGACTGAAGATCACCGACGAAGGCGAGGAGGTTCCATTTGACCAACTGGAGGAGGATCGAGAGCTCCAGACCGGCCGAACGCCGTCTGCCCCTCCCACCGAGCCCAAGCGGGAAACTTTCGCTGCGAAGAAGCGTCGGGAGCACGACAAATATGTGAAGGAACGCGACCAGAACCCAGCTTTTGTTCCCACTCGCGGCCGCTTCTTCCTTCACGACAATCGGACAACTGAGGCAGGATCAAATGGTCATCGCTCCTCCAACAACAAGGGCAAGTCTCGACCAGTCGGCCTCATCGTGGACGGGAATTCCCGCAGGTATGGTCCAGCTCCCTCCAACCTCACGCCGTGGACTATCGCTAACATTATTTAGGAACTCTGCAAAAACCGATGCCAGCGAAGGGAAGTGGGATCATGATCTCCACGCAACGGTAGCCGGTGATGAACCGTCTGCCCCAAAACACTCAGCAACCTCTACTGTACCTAATCCGCCCTCAAATGTTCCAACTGCTCCCCGTTCCTCTCCACCAAACCGATCATTCTCTAGTACAACCCTGGTTGGTAATGTACCTGTTGTTGTTTTCCTGCCGGGCATGGCACAGGCCAAGTCGTTCGCATCTGTACCGAAGAAACAGCACACACGCCTTCCTCAGCATCGTCCTCCTTTACGCCGCGATAAGCCGGTTCGAATTTCGCTTCCCGGCCAATCCCCTCGTTACATTTTCCCTTCTACTGAGCGTTCTTTCATTTTCATTCCTCGCGCGTTACGTCCGAACCAGCAAGGCTACCGTGGCCGAGGCCGTGGCGGCTTCTATCCCGGACGTCGACCCAGCTATTACCCCAGCACCTACACTCCAAGCATTGCGAGCCGTCGATCCTCGTTTGGAATGTCTCAAGACGGCTACCCCTCGCCCGCGGGCTCTGCCTATTCCCGCCCCTCGATGGCACATCCAGATGTTGGTAAACCGGTTGTACGCCTGCCTCCTCCACCGCGTCCTCCAGTTGGTATTCCTCCCGTAGGTCCCGCCGCTGGTATCCCAGGACCTATGCCAATGCCATCGATGCTTCCTCCCTACCGCGAAAGCCGCCCGGCTCCCATCCCGATGCATCAACCTCGACCTCAGAAAACAGTGTCTGTGGCAGGTATCGAAACCCCCGCCAGCTTCCATTTCAACCCGCCACAACCCCAACAAGAGCAACCGTTCCATCACCAAGTTCCTGTCCCTGTGGTTGGTCCTGGCCAAGAATCTGTGGCACACGGTCCGTCGAGCCAGGGCTCGGGGACTCCTCTGTCTCAAATTCCCGAGCGAGCTGTGCACGCCGACACTTTCCACCCGGGTTCATACCAGCAGCCCACGGGGTACTACCCGAACTATCCGCCTGGTGCTATGTACTATCCTGGATATAACGGACCGATGGGACCGGGTGCGTCCGTGCCAAACTTCGCTCCAGGGCAGCAGCCGATGCCCTATGTTCTTCCTCATACATCCAACGATCAGTCCAGACATCCCGAAACTGTCGCTCACGAGTCTGGGGGCACTGTATACTTCTACGACTCCAACCAGATGTATCAGAACCCCAACACCTACGGATCGGGTCCCGGGGGAGTGGTGGGGATGGGAGGCATGATGACGCCGCCCGGCACCACATTCTACTATCCTCAGGCGCCCACTACCGGGGGTATGTACTATGGGCACCAGTGATTGGACTACGGCCGTTCTTTTCTTCTGCTGAATACTCGTTTTTTCTTGTTATGAATTTTCAGCCCTTGCGTTTCCAACTGTCTTTTTTTTTCACCCTTTAGCCCCCTCCCTTTTTTGAGCTATCTGTTGACTAGGCTTGGAAACTTCTGTCCTTCTTTTTCTTGTCTTGTTGTTGTTAGACTTGGAATCGGATGCATTTGAGCGTTCTTCCCTCCCCTCATGTCCCCGCAATATCCGCGGCCCACCCCCTCATCGCCCTCTCTTCTGCATGAATCTAGGCCTAGTGCATGACTTCATTTTCTCCTTCTGTGAATGGGGCTACGAATTGAAATACAAAACAAAAGTACCTTGAACTGGCTGGTCCGCCCCCAGGAAATCCTCTGTGCTCATCCCGTAAGATGCCCGTATTGTCTGTCTTCGCCGTATCCAACCTGATAAACACGTATTGTGACCGTAATCTGCCTGACGCCATATTAGGTAATCGTACACCGCCCGCGAGGCAGCTGACCTCTCCCCTCCCCATCGTACAACGCTCGGCTTGGGTGTCGTCGACCTCTTCTGCCTCCATCCTTCGTATCCTCCGTGCATCCCATCCACCATCTTCTCCCTGTTTCTCCTCTCGCCTGCTTCTCTTTCTCACACCCCATATTTCTGTGTCTGCCATCTCCCCCTCCACGTACTTGGGAGACCTTCCCGTCCCCAAGAACTTCTTATCTCCTAGTTTCCCCATACTTTGCCCCATAACAACCCGGTCATAATGGCCACACCAGCACTGCCTACCCATCCGGGTCCTGAGCATCTCGTGACTGTCAAGGTGCTTTTTGATGACAGCAATCGTCGTTTCAAGCTCCCTCTGAAGGACTTGCGAGCGCAAGTTCTGCCCCAGAAGGTAAGTGTGTCTCCGTCTCCACTCGAGCTCCTCCCGGACCTCCAGTCCGGGATCTCCATCTCTTATCACGATACCCGCCTTGATCATCGCGATGGTTGATGATCCATCGATCTTCTCGCGATGGCAAAGCTCTACTTGACTCCCCTCTTTGATTGATTATTGACTTACTGATGCGTTGGCTTTAGCTTCGTACGCTCCTCGGTGTTCCGGCGGATGTTAACGTCATCCTCGAACGCTATTCCGACAGCGCCGGCTCCTACATGCGACTTGACCCCGACAACGTCGCAGTCTACAAGCAACTCTACCGAGCTGCTAAGGCAAAATCCAAGCTTCGCATCAAGGCCAGCACCGTTGAATCGTCGGCCTCAAATGAGGCTCAGCCAGAGGTCAGCGAGACTTCACCTCCTCGACACAATTATCTCCAAACCGTGTTGAGCTCCCCCATTCCAGTCACCCTCCCCGAAACAAACCCACCTCCCAGCGAAGCTCAAAGCCACACCGTCTCTTCCTCCCTCGCCAACCCTCCCCCTCAACCTCACCTCCGTGATTTCAGTATGGACCAAGACAGACTTCGCTTCCCCTGCATCTCTCACCACGCCCCTGGTGGGATGTTCTGCATCGACTGCAACAATTGTGGTCGTCCGATCCCCAACGAACATTATCACTGCAGCATTTGCGAGAACGGTGACTATGATCTCTGCCTCCAGTGTGTTGAAGCCGGTGCATCCTGCCGCGGGGAGGGACACTGGTTGATCAAGAGAACTGTGGTGAACGGCCGCGTTGTCTGCAGCAACACGGAGACCATTGCACCTCGTCCCCTCAAGGATCAACAGGTCAAGCCTGTTGTTCCTGTTGCACTTCCCGCGACCAAGCTTGTTCCGGAGATGGCCGGTCCGCCTATTCCTCTTGCTGGCGCTTCTGTCCGCGACACTGCAGCTCCTGCCCCCACTCCTAACAAGGGACCTCGCTCCAGTGTGACTGCTCAGGGTGAGGAGCAGCCGATTTGCAACGGATGTTGCCGTGGTATGTTGGCTCATTCCTCTGGCTGTTCTTGATGTGAATACACTAACCAGAATATCTAGAAGCCGAGGAGGCCAACCTGGTCCGCTGCAATGACTGCGAGGACTATGACCTGTGCCTTCGTTGCCTTTTGAGAAACAAGCATGGTCACCATCCCGGTCACACATTCTCACCGGGTACTGACCGTAACTACTGCCTGAAGAACCTGATCATGTCCCGCTGTCTTCCTGGTCGTCAGTTCAAGCACGCCGCCGTCTGCGATGGTTGTGACAAGGTGTGTCAACGAAATCCTTCATCTCTGTTTCAAGACCTAGCATGCTAACTTAGCCCAGCGAATTGTGGGTACCCGCCACAAATGCCTGAGTTGCCCCGACTGGGATTATTGCAATAGTTGCGCCGCCCGGGCTCAGGAAAATCACCCTGGCCACCGATTCGCTCCTATCTACGAGGCCATTGGTGATCAGCCCCGTGAAACGGAGATTCACTACGGCATCTTTTGCGATGGACCTCTCTGCAAGGATAAGCCCGCCCAAAGCTACATTCACGGTATTCGATACAAGTGCGCCGTTTGCGATGACGTTGACTTCTGTGCGAACTGCGAGGCATTCCCGACCAACGCACACAATCACACACACCCATTGATTAAGTTCAAGTCTCCGGTTCGCTCTGTGTCGGTCAACACTTTCACTGATGACCTCCCTACGGGTGTTGCCAGCCTGGGCGATCAAGTTGACATTTCCCCCAAATCTCCGGAATTCGCCTCTGTGCAGTCAGAGGAGAAGCAGCCAGTAGAGATGAACGCAGCTAAGGTTGAGAAGGCCGAGTCGAGCCCTGCCCCGCCTGTCAAGGAGGCCGCAGGTGTCGAGGAGTCCCTGGATGACTCGGACAACTACCAAGCATACTTCATCCGGGACGCCATTGCGGACGGTACTAAGTTGCCTCCCGACACCATGTTCCGTCAAACCTGGACTCTCTACAATCCCGGTCCTCGTGCCTGGCCCGCTGGCAGTGATGTCCGCTTTGTCGGCGGAGACACCATGTTCAATGTCGACGGAAACCACCCATCCAGCGTGGATGTGATTCGCATGGCGATGGAAAGTAATAAGCTGACCGCCCCCTTGGAACCTGGCTCAAGCACGGACTTCAGTGTCACCCTCCGAACCCCCCGCCGTGAGGGCACTGCCATCTCGTACTGGCGACTGAAGTTGCCCAACGGCGTTCCGATCGGTCACCGACTGTGGTGTGACATTCAGGTGCAGGGTGTTCGCTCTCCCGCAGTTTCCACTGAAGTTGCCGAGAAGGAAGATTCAACCAAATCCACTGCAACACCCGAGACTACCAGCTCTGAGACTCTGGACAGTGGAATGATTTTCCCCAAGTTGGACAAGGAGTCTCCAGAGGCCAGTACCCACCAGGATGTGGCCCCAGTTAATCATGCCCCAACTCTGTCTACTGCTTCGGAAGGTGACGTTCTCGAGGATGTCGAGAGCCTGACATTGGAAGATACCTCTACAGACGCTGGCTTCCTTACCGATGAGGAGTATGACGTCCTCGATGCTAGTGACCAGGAATTCCTGGAAGCCAAGCAGTCAATCCACTAGATTATTTTGGCTACACGACACACAGAATGGAAACAGGGTATTGCATGGGTCGATTTCGGAATGATTGCACTCTTTTAGCACTTTTCGGCCAGCCACTTCTGCTATGGCAGCCTTTTTAATGATTGTCCTTTTTGACATTTGAGAATTTGATTTATTTTCCTTTGATTCTTTGATTCTTTAACTCATTTTTCTTATTTGCGTGCCCCTCACCGGCCTTTTTCGAGGCAACACTGCTAACAACTGCCTCTTTCAAAACGTCCAAAAAAATCCTTGTGTCCCTTGGAATCGCTTAGGTATCGTTTTTGAGATAGTTGACCAAATGCATTTGCTCCTCACTTCAGAAATAAAACTCTACCATATACTCTTTTAGTGTATTATGCCGCTTTCAGACTAGTTGCCGGTGTAAACATCTTGTTCGGGCCTGCTGATTACTCGATTTGGCGGATAGTCTCAGTCTACATTAATGTAATGATACAGGGGTCAAAATGGCATCTAAGTGTCTGACTCCCTTTTTAAGTCATGATCTTCCACTGGTCAGCCTTTTTAATTTCCTCCTCTCTGCTTCAAATCTTATCCAACTCATTTCTACTGGTCAGTGATGTCTCTTCTGGGAATCATCATGATATTGATGGCTCTCGCACAGTTCCTTCCCCAAGGAACAAGACGACTATTCATCACCCAACGGGCCCGTATTCTCGATCTTCCAGAAGAGTAAATACCCCACATCTTGGTTCACCTATCGCTGGCCTCCCAGGCTTGTTTTTCTCTTAGTTGCAAAAGGGTTCTACCATTTGTGCGGGGGTTATTCAGGTGGGCTGGATAGAACCAGAGACCATCCTCTCCGAAAGCAGTTCCTCTTGAGAACTAGGCCCTGGAGATTGAAACATTGCACTGCTTGGGTAAAATTACATCCTCAGAGGGACTTCCGAGCGTGTTGGAGGAGGGGAGGGGGTTGGCGCGACTATTGCTGATGGCCTTGTATTATCGTACGTCCATGTTTGAAGTTCAGACTGAACAGATTAACGTATGTCTGTCATTAACTCGAAGGTTTGCAATTCAAACTCAATGGGCGTCGAAATCAAGAAGCATATTCCGAATTGGCATCAATGCAGCATATTAAAGCCCTCGGAGGGACTATCATCGGCTCTCACAATATCTATCTCTCTTGACGAGACAGGAAAGGCTATATTTCATTTCCGCTACTTGATTTCTATCGATACACCTTATCAAGTGAACTCAAGAATCATGCTTTGTCCTCACATGAATGCTTTCTGCCTCATTCATAAAGTGTGTGGACTACCGGCTTCATGACAGATCCTGCTCTACATGTCGTGTAGAGCTTTTGATAACAATGTCGGATAATCCGAAGGGATATTCAATTCAATACGCGAGAGAATTTATGCCACCGCCGAATTATGGTGATGACTACAGCAAGATTTTACGCCGTTTGGCTGATTATGACTGGCAGAGTCCTGGTACAAAAGAAACTGGCTTGCTGATATTATTAGGTTATGTAACAAGACGAAGCTATAAGGGCACCTATTAGTTTTGCCATGGCACAGACTGGTTAGCTCTAGTACATGACAAATCCTGGAGGCCTTTCGACCAGTCTTTCCATCTTTTTTCCTGTTTGTGGAAGGAAAGGAAAGGCATTGTAGAAATGCATTGCTCATTTAGCCCAATTATACCTAAGATATAAATGGGATTAATACATTAATGAATTACGGTCTCGACCTTCAATAGAGCACATAGAGTAAGAATTGATGCCATTGAGCCCATTGCTCATCCCTCCGATGAAAAAGACCCGTTCGACCTTCGGACCCGCTCCGACCAAACGCGGAAGGGACTCCACCATCTCCGCATGGCCCCGCGTAGCCCGAGACGATATTTTCTGCTTGCCGACGACACACCGAGGCATTCGATCTGATTCGAAGTCGGCTTCAGACAAGCTTCTGTTATGGTTTCCACTCTGCTTCCAGCTTCTTTCCCCTTCCCCCCCTCCCACCTCCCGCCCATTCCACCCGGAAAATCCGTTCTCGAGCTGTGGAAAGCTAGCTAACTCGTCTCGGCGTCATGGCTTTCCTCCGCTCGGCCTTCCTGGCCCTCGTCACTGTCCTAGTGGCGCTGCTCGCTCCCACGGTCATTCATCTTGCGAAAATTGGGGGCCCGTTCTTGACGCCGAAGCCGACGCATGTGGGCGAGGGTCAAGCTCCGATTGTTATTCAGGATACGGTGCATTGCGAGGATGTGCACCATTATCGTCCGGCCAACTTGCTTTTCACTGCTTGTGAGGATGACAAGACCGTTCGGTTTGACTGGTTTCCTGGTCTGGGACACCTGAAGCTCCATTCTTCGCAGGGTTCGATCCATGTCGTGGATCCCAAGGTGGGTTGTTGATTTTTCTTGTGATTGAGTGCGCGTCTTGTCGCGTCGGGAAGAAATAGCTTGTTAACCTTTCCACGGCGTTCAGACCATGAAATCGACTCGTCTGGTCTTTGAGGGTTTCAAGGGCGACTTCGTCACACACGGTATTGACGTCATTGAGGATCCGAAGCAGGCAGATGCAGTCTACATCTTCGCTATCAACCACCTGCCGAACCCGGACTTTGTGGCTGCGGATGGAATTGCGGAGGATATTCATGCCGCCCGGTCTCAAATTGAGCTGTTCCACCATGTGTTGGAGTCGAATACCGTCCAGCACGTGCGCTCGATCCTGCACCCGCTCGTTCAAACTCCCAACGATATTGTCGCCGTCGCTCTGGATACTTTCTACGTGACTAATGACCACTACTACCGTGGGGGTATTATGCGACTGATTGAAGATGCTTGGCCTTTCGCGAAGTGGACTAACATCATCAATGTCAAGATTACGGACTTGAAGACCAAGGACGCGATGGCTGGCCTGGATGCCGTTGTTTCGCATGAGGGTCTGTGGAATAACAATGGTCTGGGCCATGGACGCCGCGAGGATGAGCTTGTCATTTCCAGTGCCATTGGTGGTGAGCTATATCTTGGTCAGGTGCATGCTGCGAATCGCTCTATCGATGTTCACACAACTCTCCCTTTCGACACTGTGACCGATAACCCCAGCTATTATGCTGACCCTTACCGCTCTGAGTCTGACGATGCGAGCGGATTTGTGGTTGCAGGTATTTCACAGGGTATTTATCTCGGCCAGACAGCCCATGACATCAATGGTAAGGAGCCCTTGCAAGTGTGGTATACTCGTCAGACGAGTACCGGTACTTGGGAGAACAAGCTCCTGTTTGAGGATGATGGTACTCGGATTCGTTCGGCTAGTGCTGCGGTTCTGGTGCCTATTGAACCAGTGGGTGGCCGCAAGAAGGCTTGGTTGTTTGTCACTGGCTTTTTGTCGGAGAGTATGGTTGCGGTGCAGGTTGATCTATAGAAACTTTGTACATACTACTAGCGGTTAGTATACCGAGGTAGCGGAGGACTCGGCGGTACTAGCGTTTCTACGCTGTTGATGGTCCTGGGATTAGACGAGAATTTATTTACAAAGTCAATTGGCATATGAGAAGATGCGAACTTCATCCTAATAGAAACATCTAATAATACATACCTCAAAGATCAATCTATAATCAACCTCGGCCGACACACCCCTTTCTGCCTGAGGAACCAACCCCCAATCCAAACCCGCAACACAACACCTCGCCTCATCACCAACCACCCAAGCACAAGCCAAATCAGAATGGCAACACTTGCCCGGGGCCATCGCGCCCTCCGACCTCCCCTGCGACTCCAACCCTACAATCCCAAAACACAACTCCACCCACATCCCTCCGTGTGCTACCTTCTCTTTTCCACCACCGCAAGAAAAGCCGCCAAAGCGGCCAAACCTAAACCGACCTCGTCGCAATCGTCCACGCCCACCACCCCGGCGCAAACAATAACAACACCCTCTGCTTCTGAAACAAACGCACCTACAAGCACCCTGCCCGCCGAAATCGATACGCCCGCGCCCCTAACACCCTCCGCCTCAACCCCCGATAAACTAAAACGCCTCGTTTCAATCGGCCGCGCATATCTCTCCTTCTACAAAACGGGCCTCAAAAATGTCTTCAGGAATTATAAGGCTTCTTTGCCGTTCCGTGCTCAACTCGGTTTACCGGCTTATCTCCCTACCTCGCCTCCGCGCGGCACCACGCCTTCAAATGGGGACAAGGACAGTGGAGCTGCTGGGCTGGGCAGAGGCCAATTCCAACTCGTTCGTCGCTCTGCTAGAGACGTCCGTCGCATGATTCCGTTTGCAATGGTTTTGTTGGTCTGCGGGGAATTCACACCGCTTATTATTCCGATTTTTGGATCCGCCATCACCCCTGCGACGTGTCGGGTTCCGAGCCAGATTGCCAAAGAGCGAGATACAGCTTCCAAGCGGAAGACTCTTGCTCTGCGCGCTGTTGGTGCCGCTGGAGAAGAAGTTCATACCGTGGCTTCCTATGCCAGTCGCGATTTTCTGAAGGACGCCAGTGCGGAGAACGTCCTTACTGCAAGTGCGCTTTTTGGGCTTATCAAACGCCATGATAAATTCGCGGGATCTCTGCTTGTCAGGATGCTTTATCGGAAGCGATTGGAGAGGTATATTCAGTACTTGGCGATTGATGATCAGTTGATCAGGGCTGGTGGGGGTGTTAAGAAGCTTTCGCTTCCGGAGGTTAAGATTGCGCTTGATGAGCGCGGCCTTAGTGATTGTGCTGCTTTGTTGAGTGGGGGGAAGGCTGAAGTTGTTCAGAGGGAGACTTTGGAGAGGTGGTTGGATGTGAGGAGCCTGAAGCCGTGATTGTGTCCGTGTTTACAGGTCCTGGGGTTGTACAAAAATTGTTCAAATTTGTATAGTCTAGACTTAGACGTGGGTTGTTATGTATGATATTGAATGACCAGACAGATACACGTCATATTGCTTGGGTTATATTCTGATTCTTGGTACAGAAAAAAAAAATACATGTAGATTCAATCGAATATACATGCCCTATAACTTTGCCCAGTCACCTCAAAAGGCAACTGATCATCTACCATTTGATCTACAGTCAAAACATCATGGTTTGATATAAGATTCATTTCAAATAGGAGCTAATCAATCCCATTTGCATTCTGAATATAAAAAATATATATTCATCGAAGATATTGAAAGCACGCTCAAATGAAAAAGTTTTCTCGTACCCTCTGTCAAGGGATAAAGGACAACTTTGGAAAAGGGCCAACAGAAACTCGCTCACGCTCGCTGAATCAAAGTCAAATCCAAGTCCGTATCAAATATCACCAAGATATCAGAACTCGCTCCCAGTTTCAAATGCTAATGCTAAAGTCCGCCGCCACCTTTTACAATGCACATCAATGTTCATGGGCTGTCATCAAGCAGCAGAAGTTGCCGGCAATGCAGGAATTGCCCCCGCAGCCTGGCCCTGAGTCTGACTCCGGTTCTGCTTCGCCCAGCGTAATCCACAACTGTTACACAAATCCCGGTTTCCACTGGGTCCCCGCCGCCATTCCGGCGTATTCCTTGTCCCGCACATCGCACAGTCCTTTTCGACGGAGATAGCATTCTGCTTGCGTTTGCGCTTCTTCCTTCGGGCGAGGAGTCTTTGCAGCTCGTCCGATAATGTACGATTCTGCTTCTCCAACTCGCGAAGCTCAATTTGCCAGCTTGAGCCGCGGGTGGGGTTTAGTTCTGTGAAGAAGGTCGCCGGTGCGTCGGACGGAGAGATGCTTCTGTTTCCGGTTGGGAGACCATTTAGACCCACGATCGAGGAGAGGTCGGGGATGTGTTGGCCAAGAGCACCATATTGCTGGGGTGGCTCTGAGACTTTGAAGCTGAGGGTTGTGGTTTTGGAGGAGCCCGGCATGGTGGCGGAGCTTTCGTCTCCGCCGGCGGCTATGGCGGTTGGTGAGGGCGGGAATGCGCGGGCGAACCGGATTTGCACGACGAGGAAGGAGGGACGGGATCTCTGTGGGGTGTCTCCTGAATAAAGAGTTGTGTGCGCGGAGAGGGTATGTCCCTTTTTGTGCCGCATTGTGTGTCGGAATGAGGGTGGTTCGTAAGGCTTGTTGTCGTCCGACTCGGGGCCGGGGCGATTGGCGGCAGCTTCTAGAGCATCCGATATGACATTTGGACCGCCCTCGGGTTCCATAATTTCATACAAGGCCTTGCCAACTAGGTCGTCGGGTGGACGTCCGAGTACGGGTTTCGACTTTGTTGTTATGAAGAGGATGACGCCAGACAAGGAGACTTTAGCCCAGACATCGTTTTCAGCCAATGCGGCCGAGGATCCAAGAAGTGCGATTTGATCCAAGGAGTAAACGGGTCGAGGGCGGCCAGTCATCACAAGATACTTGCGGCCTTGCTGGGGATCGATATGCCATGCTCCGTGACTCTCGAACCACATATAACCCTTGTACTTTTGGCGAATGCGATAGACGACACTCACTGGAGCCGTAGTGGTGCTGGCCCTTAGATCACGGATCACGGGGCCAATATCACTGGGGTGGCAGATGGTTGAGAGAGTCTTGCCAACCAGCTCAATGGGGTCGTACTCGAGGAGTCTGCTGCAAGATGGAGAGAGGTATAGAAACTCGCCGTCGAACGAGAGCACGTGAATCACGTCGTCTGTATTTTCCACTAGGATGCGATCCAGGTAGTTGCGTGAGACTACGGACCCAGGAACACCGGCTGCATTCAATATGGCAGTCACTTGGTCATGTCCAAACTGGGTGAGGAGGTCTGGCCGGAGACTATACGCATCCGGCGGAGGGACTATGTATTGAGGCAGCTGGTCCCGCTGATAGTTGATGGAATAGCTACCATCTACATTGGGATGAAGTCAGCCACAACCTCGAGACAAGTCAAAGTCAGGTCAGTGGTGAATAACATACCAGGATTTCGTCGGGTGATAGCATCAGGTTTCTCAACTAGATCGACCTGGAATCCGACATAAAACCGATAATCCTCCGAATTCCACTGGATTGGAATCATCGTAATCAAATTCACGAAGGGTTGTCCACCCTTCCGATAATTGATGATACTAGCCTGGATTTCCGTACGATCTTGAATAGTTGATCGCAGGCGGTGGACAGTCTGTCCGTCCACGAAAGATCGCTTCTCCCCGGCACCAACCTTCCCGTCAGGTCCTTGAAGAAATCGGCAATTTCGGTCGATAATTTCATTTCTGGTATATCCGGTAAGTCGCTCGAAGGCTTCTGATACATAGACAATGGGATGATCCGGTTTGGTGATGTCGCAGAGCACGAAGGCGCAGGATAAGTCCACGGCTCCGATATTGATCTTCGGTTTGGGCCGCATGGCAACCCGGCTCTATTTGGCGGTGTTAAAAATACCCCTGGTAACATAATATAGACACGGTCTAAATAGAAGCTTACTAGAACTCCTAGGACATCGAAGCCACTGCTTGAATAGATGCCGGTATGTTCACTCTGGTGGGCAGCATCAGGAGTGTCCAATCCTGGCGAATGATGGTCATCTGAAGATGACGAAAGAGGATATTAGCTCAGAATGTTTCTTTTCTAAAGGCCATTTGGGGGAGTGCGCAACTCACCTCTAGCCACAACAGGCTTTTTAGGCTGGATAGCCACCGGCTGTGTTCCCCGGTAAGGAGCTGCCGGTTGTTTATATTGCGGGAAGCGCTGGCGCTCCTGGAGCGGCTGTGGTTGGCGACCCTGGGACGGATCACTACCTCGAGAAAAATCCGAATCGTCGAAGCTCCCTGTGGAGTTGGTGCTAGTATTATAAGGTTCCTTGTGAGCTAACGGTGCAGGCGATTGCTGGAGATACTGAGGCATGGATTGGGGGAACGGCGAGAAGGTCTGCTGGAGGGTCTGTTGTTGCTGTTGCTGGTCCATTGGCGGTGCCAGTCCCATCGTCGACGCGGGGTAGTTGCCCGCTAGGTCGTAGGCGAAGACACTTCCGGCGTCCAGGTTCATGGGCATGGACACTTCTGTGCTCGGTACGGCGTCGTAGGCCAGCATCACGTTCGAGAGACGACCCTCCAGGTTCCCCTGTCCGCCGGCGGGCCGGTCAAAGGCCTGCAAGGGCAGCTCCTCGTCGTGCGGCAACATGGCTCCGAAGGCATAATTGCCGACGTGGGAGCTGGGGAAGCCCATCAAAGAGGGGTCCTGAGAAGAGTGGGCGAGCTGGATGTGCGAAACGCCGTCGCGTGGATCCTCATCGCGACTGCCGTCGTAGTCCAAGCTGTAATTATTCATGGTGTTGGCCATGGCCACAAGGAGAATAGGCCTCGGCCGGCGTGGAGTCCAGAATGCAGAGCCCGGGCGAGTTCCAGAGTCCCGGGAAAGAGGGGACCAACGGGTTGGAATCCAGTAATGTCAGGCGACGGCGACTCCACTCTTTCAATAAACCTGAAGCCAAAAGGCAGGGCGATTATTGATTCTGGAGGGTCTCCGTAGGGTGCTCCGGGAACCAGCGAACATTGGTAATAGTTCACCTAGGGGGTCGCGAGGGAGAAAAAAGAGCGTCCACGCCGTCCTTCACTCCTCTTGTCTTCAAAAGTACAAACACCCGTCACTGTGGGCCCACCACTGGTCCAATAAGCGTCCAATGGCTGGTTGGCCCCAAGGCTCGACGACTGGCTTGTGTCTGGTTGACAATGTTCCAGAGGGGAGGGCGATGGACGGAGGTTGATAGCCCGGCACGTAACTGATCGATCGATCTGCCCGCCAAGTCGTTCTTGAATCTGGCATCCGCAACGGTCGATGATGCGAGTGTGCTTGTGGGCAGCAACGCTGGGAGAGGAAGCAGATGAGGGAGGGAAAGTTTACTCCGCGCGGAGACGAGTGGCGGTTGGGAGCAGTAGTCGATCCATCACAAAACAGCCAGGCCGCTCGCATGGACACCTCACACCCAGCCGTGTCGCGATGTATAGCGCAGACCATGAACCATCCTCATGGAGCTGACAGCGCGGCAAGGGGTGAAGGCTTAAAAGATCAGAAAGAATACAATTGTGGTGGCTGCTGCTGCTGATTTTCCATTGTTCTTATTGTTGGGGCGTCTCGCTCCGATCGTCTTCTTTCAACTCCCCTGAATCCACCCCGTCTTTCTCACCGTACTTTTTTTTTTTTTGCGCTCTGTCATTCCTCCTCGCCCAAACCTTCTTACTCGCCTGTCCGAGCAGTGCGCGACGCCCAACACTCGGCCGACCTCTAGTGTGCCGCGCATCGGTGGTCAGCCACGCGATGGCGGACAAGATCTCAATCACCATCTGCGGCGACGGCGGATGTGGTACGTTTCTGCAACCTTTTTTTCTTTGCTGGGAATCTCTGGCGGTTCTGATTCGGTGCCATTGCATTGGAATATCGTCGCGATCGAGATCTGATCAGATCGGGCAATAGGTAAATCCTCTATCACGCTACGGCTGGTCCGTAGTCAATGGATTCACGAGTATCAATCCCCCGAACCCCAACCAGATCAACAAACACAGCATCGCTAACCCTGCGCTCGCTAGATATGACCCAACCATCGGTACCTACCCTCATATCCTTTCCCTGTGATCGCGATCGGCTTGAATCTAATACACGTAACTCCACAAAGAGGACTCCTATTCAGTCTCTCGTACAGTCGATGGCCTCCCCTACCTCTTGTCCATCACCGACACGGCCGGTCAGGAGGAATACCGCGGGCTCTGGACAGCGTCCACCCTGAGTTCGGATGCATTCCTGCTGGTCTACGACATTACGAACCCTTCGAGCCTGGAGACGCTGGACTACTTCGTGGACCTGATCAATATGGAAGCGGAGCAGCGCGTGGAGGACAATGAGCGCATGCGCAAAGACCTCGGCGCCAAAGCCTCCGCCCCAGCTCTCGCGCAGATGGGTCGACCACCGCCCGTGACCATGGTGGCGGGCAACAAATGTGATCTGAAGGATGGACGCGCCGTCCCGTCGCGCGATGGGCTGGAATATGCCCGTCGACATGGCTGCGGATTTATGGAGACGAGCGCGCGGGAGATGGTCAATATCGAGGAGACATTCGCCTGTAGGTCGCACTTGATCGTAGTTTGACATGCCCCGTGGAGACTCCGTGGAGTCGAGCGTACCTGCAGCGGTACTAATTCGAGAGCAGCACTCGTCCGTCGGGTGGTTCAGGCGCGACGACAACATTTTACGCAGGGCGCCTCACCTCGGCCTCCCTCGCGCACCGGCCATTCTGTGCAGACGACTGCGTTGCCCCCGACAACGGCCGATGCGGGTAATCGAGGCGCGCGCAGGACCCAGCCCCGGCGACGTCGATTCTTTAAGTTTGGACGCGGCTGGAAAGCAGCCGAGATGAAGGAAGTGGCTGGAGACGCCAAGCGCGGGACATCGGGCGAGAAAGAGAAGGAGCATCAGGAGGAGGCTGAGCCCCAGAGATCGGGCTGGTTCCGGCTGTGCTGTTGCTGTTGGCGTTGGCGCTGGCGTTGGCATTGGCGTTGGCATTGGCGTTGGAGCTGCGTGGGCTGCTGCTCGAGCTGTCGCTCGGCGTAGTTGCCTAGATGATGTCCAATCTGCTGTAGTTTATATTTATACCCCCGCATTTGCGTATCTGTCCAGCCTCGTTGGCCCTTTGGTGGCCTTCTCACACATAGTAGATACATGGTAGAAGCTAGGGCTACATTAGTGTATGTGTTTGCATGGCATTGCCCCCGTGACGCATTACCAATCAAATGAGGTTCATATCGAAACGTGGTCAGTCGCAGTGTTGGCCCAACTGGGAAGAATGGTCCGGAATCGCCCTCCGGGATCGTGTTGCCGAGTTCCCACGGTTCATGCATGAGGTGAGCAGAACACTTCAGACTGCTAAACAGAATTCAGGAACTCCAGCCTCGAGGTGTTGCAGACAGGGTCTGGATCTCTCCACAACTCGGCTAGTACTGTCTAGTAGGGCAGGGACTCAAAGTCGAGAATTTGCCCAAAACAGGATTGCCCAAAGCAGTACTCTATCCCAATCAGGGCAGATGAAGTCATCGCGCAGATTCGCCGGTGCCTGGCTGACGCGAATACGACGGATTGGGTGCGACTCGTATGGTTAATTTCGACGGTTAAAGAGCGTTAAATGGCCAAGCGTGGCAGTACCAGCGTGGCAGTACAGCAGCCTACAAAAGATACAGAAGACATGGAGTGGTGTGGCAGGGCTGAGCGATTGGACATGTAGTGCGAAGGCTGGTTCTAAACGGTGTGATCGTCAAATCCTTTCCGTCAACCCCCCTCCCCCATCCAAATGCACGCAGCTCCCTTCATTTGACGCCCGTAACTGCTGAAAAGCTTGTCAGTGAGGTTTTCATGCGTTAGTTTAATTTTTTCAATAGTGCGTTTGCTGCTCTGGCCAAAAAAAATAATAATAATAAAAAATGAAAGAAAGAAAATAAAAAAAGGGAAACAAGGAATGGTCACGTCATGGACTTTGCTGCGCGGCGATTCATCAGCTTCCCGGCCACTTTAATTGGATTCGGCGATTGATGATGAATCACGAAGTACAAAGCTTGAGGACGGAGGCTTTTCAACAATACCATCAGGGATTATGGCAAGGCATTCCACATAATCAAAGAAAGTATCCTAGGGCATGACTAGATTTTATTCATGAACATAAAAAAATGAAAGGCTCCGTGAATTCTCCTGTTTCGTTCTTTTCGTCCGGTCGCAAGGTCGGCAGGGCCTTGCCGAGCACGCGGCCGGTTATACGCATTACCGTTATGCGTTATGCACCTGCCAAGTCCTTGCAGGTTTTACGGTTACGGAGTACAAGTTACTCCGTATTGCTGTCGGGCGCTCTCCATGAGTCAAGACCACTTCATAAATAGTCACCCCAGGTCAAACGGCCTGATGGTGCCTGTATTTTGGCGTAGATGATCATTGTACAATACTTCGCTCTGCTCAAAGGCATTACGGCCGTGAGTGGCCGGAATTACAATCCACTCGGATATATCGACGTCAAAGTCTCCGAGCGCCGATGGAAGCTCCGTCCTCCGAACTCTGGACCATATGCCGAGTCTTCCAGTGATCCACCTTCGATAGAGTAATCAGAAAGGAAAAATACAGAATGGGAAAAAATCAAAAAGGAAAAAAAATAAAAATCCGTGTGATCACCAAAGGTGGAGACTGCAGAGACATGCTATGATTCGATCCCGATCTGCTGTCTACATTTGCGATGTGCTCTAAAATCCCTCGAGCACCCAAAGACTAAAAAGGGCCCCATCCCCCCTCCCTCACTCCGATCTCCAGCAGCATCTGGGAATGACTAGTATATGACCAATCCTGCAACCTTCGAACGGAATCTTGGAACTCCCCTACCACATCTCATTCGAAGTCAATTCCCATCGCTGATTTGACGGTTACAATACGACATCGTCATTAGATCATTGACTGGTTGACGTCGATCACTTCTCCTGCCCGGATCAGGAAGTATAGCTCGGCTGTTTCACAAAAAAGACCAAGAGCTTGTCTACACTTTCTACGCCTTTTTCCTTCGATTCGCGACCTATCTTTCGACCTTTTGTGATCGCACGAACTTCCACCAAAGTACCTTTATATATACACCCACACCCAACCACCCACCCACACACACACACACTCATGGCCGCTCGCCAATCAACGCCAGACTCACATTCCGATAATGTACGCAAGCGCGTATGTAAGGCCTGCGACCGGTGTCGTCTGAAGAAATCCAAGGTATGTATTCATGCGGCGACTATTCAGTCGCCCTTCGCGACTTGAAGCTTGGACTGACCGGAACAAGTGTGACGGAGCCAGCCCATGTTCGCGCTGTCGAGCAGATAATGCGATTTGTGTCTTCGGGGAACGAAAAAAGGCTCACGATAAAGTGTACCCCAAGGGGTGAGCTGTTACTCAATCATTCATTCAACACGAACCCATCGCTAACTCTACTGCGTTATCAGATACGTTGAGATGCTCGAACAGCAACAAGCATGGCTCGTCAACGGGCTACAAGAACTCTACCGTCGTACACTAGAAGGCGAAGGATGGCCTGGCGACCGTCTCAAGACCGAACCAAATGGCCACCCACTCACCCACGACCTCCTCACCCGTCTCGGCGCCCTCGATCACACCAAGGGCGAGCGCTTCGAAGAGAATCCCGAAAACATGCAACAGGATCTCTGGCGACACGGCATGCAGCGCCAGGAGTCGTCCGATGGTAGTTCGGAGGGTCATTCGCCTGTTGCTCGCTCTCGTTTCTCCTCCGACGCGTTCTCGTCCCAACAAACGATGCCCCCAACACCGCCGGCTTACAGCCCGTCGACCCGTGCGCACGTCAAGCCCGAACGGCCGACACCCACCCCATCCATGGTCAATAGCCAACATCAGCAGTATGCGCTGTCGATGCAGGGCGTCGTGAATCCGTTGGCGCTGCAGGGCCCCCAGCATCAGCAACAGTGGGGGAACCCCAATGCTGGATTTAACCCGTTTGACGAGATGGATCTCATGTCCACCGCCGATTACACGAATATGAAATTCGAGGACTCGATGCCTTCGCCCTTGTTTCAGAATCAGATCCCTATGAACTGTGTTCAAAGTGATTATGATGATTTCAACCAGTTCCTCAATCCGAATCCCACGGAGATCACTTCGATCTGAGCTGATTGCGAGGTCTAACCAAGATCTATTGTTATATCTTCTCTTCGTTTTTTCTTTTTTGGGGAAATCTATCTAACGCCGTATGACGTGATGCATGTATACTATACATGTTTTTTTTTTTTTTTTCTTTCTAGTGGTTTACTCTTCTTTTGACGGTTGTTGGTTTTCTCTTTCACCTTTGTTATACGGGGCTATTATCCCTCGGCCTTTTCTTGTGGATTCGACAGCAATTGCGATCCTAATCCTTCCTGTACAGTGTTTGGGGGCTTTTTTCTTCTGGTTGTGGGGGGGGTGTTTCTGGAGTTGGGTTTCAAAACGGTTTCGTGTGGCGTTCTCATTAATTTCTCCAATCCAAGACCTTTTTGACCTTGTCTGATCTCGCGCCCTACTTTGCCCCTGTTACACCATCTACACTAATTTTGAAAATTTCCACGATCGCGTTCGCAAACGGTTCTCCAGGAACTCTGGCCCCTGCGACGTTGTACTGAACCGGAGTTATCGTGCCGGCCATCGCTCCACGCGCGCCCTGACTAATGCGGCTTCCAGAATGATTCATATTCCGTCAGCGCGGACATAAGCTGAGAGAATCCCGAACGGTCCAAACCCCCCCCCTCCCGGGCGCAGGCGATACGAGTGCGATATGCATTTTGACTTTGCATCGGGTCAATGGTCAACCCGCCTCGTTTTGCCTTTTCCCGTTTTCTTCTTTGAGGCTTTCCGCTGTACATGGGCTGTACAGTTCTTTCACCTCGAATCCACTTGAGTCAGCGGAATTAAGGTGGACCCCCCAACCCAGTTCGCCCTCCTCCACACCTCCTTTTTCCACGCCTTGTTGACTTACGTGAGCAGAAAATGAGAAAAAAAAAGTCGCCGAAATGCCGACTTGCCGAACTGGGCGATTTGCTCCGCGAAGCATCTCATACATCGAAAACATGTTAGGCCGGAATTTGATTTTCCGTGGGCGCACACGAGAATAAGAGTACGAGGACCTGGGCAGCGTCTGTACCCTACTTACTGTACACAGTACGCACTCCGTCCTGGCAAATGGTGTGGGTGGAGTTCGGTCGCCTCGTCGCTAGCATAGTTGGCATCATTGGCGACCATTTGGCAAATTGGAACCGACATATTGACATTGGCATGGCATGGCACTGTTATTGGTACCCTGTCTAGGCACCACTGACAGGGACAGGCATAGCTCCTCGTCAGGCCGAATTATGGCCGGCAGCAATAAGGGGCCAAGTCTGGGGTAGCGATTCCTTTCGGTCACCGGAACCCCGTTCTCTCCGAGACGGATGTTCGCTGGCCTTAAACCCGGGGAGACACATGCGGATACACATGCCAGGCTGTCCCTCCCGTACGGTGTAGGTATGCGCCCGGTGTGTGTAGTGCGTAGTGCATATGCGCGGATTACATCGAGGCTGTACCGATATGCGACTAGGCCCGCCAGGGTATACAGCGCGGCCAACTCGGGCAAGACCCTGTCGGTCTACCTGTTGTAGCTAGCTCTGTGCGTCCTTGGGGTACCAAACCTACTAGTAACCTTGTTAGCTGTCACTGCATGCATATTACTAGAGGTAGTTAGCATAAGTACGTCCTATAAGTAGCTGGCAGATACCTAAATAGTTAAATGGACGGGCTATGTTGTTGCCTTAGGACACCAAAGTGGCTTGTTTCTGCCTGAGGTGTCTGGAGTGGCACAAACTTGGAAGTCTGCCTGAGGTTTCCTCCCCCGCTGGAGCTGGCAGAATTGCCTAAACAGGACGCGGGTCTATAAGACGGGGAAGATGACGCCTAGGCGAATCAAAAGAAAAGGCACTCTTGCGGTCCTTGGTCCCTGATCACTCTAGGCTAAATGAACCCCCGAGACCCGTTCCGCTTCCAGCTGCCAGGCTTCAATTCTGTCCATTCTGCTCCGGTGGGTGATTCCGTCCTATTGCGGGGTTCCAACGTCACGACGGAAGACTCCTACATAACGCCCCCTCGCCAACTTCCCATCCTCGCCCTCCACACCTTCACTCAGTACCTCCTTAAATCCTACGCCGTCCTTTACCCACCCACGTCCACCATGTCTCCTACCGCGCAGGCTGAATTCACCTTCCTGCCTCTCGGCGCCATCATCCAGGAGTTCCGCGTCGGCGGCCACAACATCGTTCGCGGCTTCGCTACAACCGACCACTATCTCCAGCCCTACAACCCCTATTACGGCGCTACTATCGGTCGCGTTGCGAATCGCATCAAGGATGGTATTATTCAGAACCTGAATGGCCGCGAGTACAAGCTTGCGCAGAACAACGGTCCGAATGCTCTGCACGGTGGTAAGGAAGGCTGGAACAGACGCGAGTTCGACGGCCCGCATACCGTACAGCGCCACGGTCGTGATGCCCTCCTGTTCAAGTACCGCGACCAGGACGGTGAAGAGGGATATCCTGGTACCATCGAGGTCCGTCTCTGGTACACTGCCAGCAAGGAAGGCGATGGCGACGAAGCCAAGACCGTCTTGATGGCTGAGTATGAGGTTGAATTTGTCGGTGATGAGTGTGAGGAGACCGTTGTCAACATCACAAACCACAGGTATGAACAACCTCAACCCCGCATCCCAAGCTATCCACCAGTAGGGCTACCTATCTTGTTTGGATAAAAGCTAATACCCAATCTCCAACCTAGCTATTTCAACATCAGCGGTGGGCCCACCAACGCCGGCACCGTCGCCCAACTGGCTACAGACGACTACCTGCCCATTGACAGAAATGGAATTCCTACCGGTGGCCTTGGCAAGTTTGAGCGCGATGTGACTCAGCCATTTATTCTCGAACCAACAGAGGGGCACATCGACGACGTCTTCGTCGTCGAGACTGATCCCTCCAAGATCCCACTTGATACTCGTCCCCTGCCCCTCCGCCGTCTCGCACAGTTCAGCCACCCAGACACTGGTTTGCACCTTGAAGTGCACAGCACTGAGCCTGCCTTCCAGTTCTACACGGGCAAGTATACTAATGTGCCTTCTATTGACGGTGCGCCTGCGCAGGGTGAGGGTTCGTCGTTCTGTGTTGAGCCGAGTCGGTATGTCAATGCTATTAACGTGCCCGAGTGGAGGAATATGGTTGTCCTGAAGCGGGGTCAAGTCTTTGGTTGCACAAATGTCTATAAGTCATGGAAGTCCCAGCCAGGTCTAGATTCATGACGGTCTTGTTCGCCATATCTGCCACTGACGTGTTATGAAAAGTGGACTTGATTTGTGAAATATTGTATTTTCATTTTTGTACAGATGAGGTAGAAATGATGTTATGTCGCCACTGACCATGAACACTTATTTGGACGGATTTTAAACTTGATGGGGACAAGCCTAGGTCGTGTGGTCGTGCCTCGGCAGGGGATGAATCCCGCTTAAGTGTGCCGAGCCGATGACTTGTCTCCGTGACAGCGAACCGATCCGCGGATCCTCCTCGGCAGCCCGTTCCTTTCTACAAACCATGCCGACTTGGCGACTTCGATTTTTCAGAGACTATGTCTTGACTAGTCTAGGGCGGAATCTACAGTCCTCTTTCGACGATGTACATCAACATTTAATACCACCAAATAGTCAGATTGCAGTCTCATGATCCCATGACCTTGACCTGCACATATGGCTTAATCATACGATGACAATTCGGAGCCGAACTGCTTAGTACATTGAAGGGTCTCTTACAAAGCCCAAGCTTCGGCGCCGCCAATTTGTAATCAATCTATCCGCTAGGGGAAATGTCTGGATGCAAGCTCCCTACGCAACAGGTTTCTCTAGAAACGGCCCGAATCTGGATTAGGGTACTTTTCCTATGTAGAGTTTCTGTCTGTGCTGCGTTGTGGAGGTGGGAACATCCCGATCTATTCTCGTTGCTTGGAAATCTCGCAAGCCTATCCCCCCACTAGCACACACGCCCCTTGCCATGGGTTCGACTTTGCCTGTGTGCTCACTGCAGTAAGCTTTGTTCGTCAGTCCCTGGCCAACAAGCGGAGGAAAGCGGGGTATTTTCCCGCTTGCGAGAAGCACGAGAGTTGACCAGAGAAGGAAAAATGGAAAAGAAAATCCCACAGGAGAGTGCATACCTCCTTTGTACATCATACTGGATATACGGAGTACTCCGTACAGCCATGCCCTTTCCGCTGCAGAGTGGTTCCACATATGTTTCTTCCTGTTGCCCTGTACAAAACCCACCTCCCAATTTAGCAATCCCTGCTGGTAAGGAACCCACCTTCTCGGATCGTGTACAACAAAATTACACGTACGGTACGAACAGTGTATGGAATATGATCAGATCGTTCAGGCTGCAATGTGGGATCCGCCCTTCGGCGTCGGGTCTGTGCCGTCTGCCGTTTCCCGGAACAAATGGCTTCCTTGCCAAGCACGGGTTGTTCTCGATCCTTTCCCTCCCGTTCTAGTCGGTGGGGTACATCCTAACTCCGTCCGGAGTATTTGCTTCTAGATCTTCTAGCGTATTCTGTCTGGTCGGGCGTCAAGGTTTTAGCTTGAACCTTCTTTTTCGCCATTATTGACTGACGTGGATGGAGCGGGTGGATGCGTGCACTATTAATGCAGTCGTTATGTTTTGATTGACTGATCGTCGGATTGCGGGTAGAATATCGAATATTAGGTTCTGAGGGTGATAGTCGGACATTCGGACCTTATAGTTCCGCTTAAAAAGAATCCGATTCTTCATTAGCGGGTGTAATGGTTTGTTTTGTTGCTAGTGGGTTTCAAGGGTCTATTCTAGCTACTAGTAGTCAAGAAAGTGACAGCTGAGCTACCTGTGGACACTAGTTACTAGTTTTTGAGAAGTTCATTTATTCCCTCGGTAATACGGTAAAAGGTCTCACTGGTTCGGATTGCCGTTATTCGCGGAGTAGGACACACTAAGGTAAGTTAGCCTATATCAGATATGTTTCACTAGTTTCCTGGATACCGATGCATAAAAGCCTTATTAGACATGATGCTTATGTATGAATGCGACCAGGGGATCTAATCTTGCTGTGTGAGATCATCAGATGGACACCTTCGATGTCAACTGGTGGTGCACAGTATCGGTCTGTAGTTTCGGCTATATCGCCGACATTGCCCAACCGCCAATCAAGTATTCATGTTAACGAGGTCAATGAAGTAGCTTAACAAGTGCTATTTCTTTCTGTGTTGGAAGTAGGTTATCGACAGTGTTTTCTGGGTTATGTGACTGGAAATATACGTTTAGTCACACCATGATCGCCATGAAGGCTTGGCTTTTCATTGTACCTGCATACTCAATGCATGAGTAGAGTCTCTCACCCCAAGATCAAGCTAAGATAAACGCGCATTCAGTTCAAGAACAATGCACTTTATATTAACCTCAATCAAATGCTGAAGGTGATTTCCACGAAACGTTGGATGAATAGATCCAATCACGTGATCATCCGAAATCCCCCGACCCCGCGGGGGACAATCAAAAGTGCAGTCATCGCAGATCTCCCCCACCTCCACGCAACAAATTCAACAATGGCAGCCACATATGGGGACCTACGGCACTTGCTACCGGGCAATTATAAGCGCCTGATTACCTCCTGGCTGGAGGAGGATTGTCCGAGTTTTGATTATGGCGGCTTTGTCGTCGGCGAGTCGGAGAGTGAGGCGCGGCTATTGGGGAAGAGTAAGGTGAGTTGTGTTTCCAATCCCTGGCGAGTCAGGCAAAGTTTCAAATCTTAGCGCGGCTTGGACCAGACCTGAGAGATGCTAATATTGCCAAGGGGATTATTGCCGGTATCCCGTTCTTCGATGAGGTCTTCTCGCAACTCGGTTGTTCGTACGTTCTTCTTACCCTTCTATACCAACCTGAATTGACATCGCAGACTGACTCCAACTCCAGAATCGAATGGCACATTAAGGAAGGTGAATCTATCTCCCTACCAACTCACCACTGCGCAACCGTCCGCGGACCAATCCGCAGTATCCTCCTCGGCGAACGCGTCGCTCTGAACATCCTAGCCCGCTGCTCCGGAATCGCCTCCAAAAGCGCTTCGATGCTCGCCGCTCTCCGCGCACAAGGCTGGGAAGGTACATTGGCCGGCACGCGCAAAACAACGCCTGGATTCCGGGTCGTGGAGAAATACGGTATTCTCGTTGGCGGTGCGGATCCCCATCGTCATGATCTGAGCCATATGACCATGTTGAAGGATAACCATGTTTGGGCCTGTGCGAATAATCGCTCTGCGGCCGATGGAGGTGTTGATGATCCTTCTTCAATTGATTCTATTGCCGCGGCCATTCCGAGGGCTGTGCAGGCTGCCAAGAGTGCTGGTGGCTTTGCTACGAAGGTTGAGGTTGAATGCCGGAGCGTTGAGGAGGCGAATGCGGCCATTGGAGCTGGAGCGGATGTTATTATGTTGGACAACTTCTCTTCGGAGGGGGTCCGTGATGCAGCGAAGTTGCTAAAGTCTCAATGGGCTGGGAAGCGCGCTTTCTTGATTGAAGTAAGTGGCGGGTTGACGGAGGAGAATGCTGCGGCTTATGTTTGTCCCGATGTGGATATTCTCTCAACCAGTTCTATTCACCAGGGAACTGGGATTGTGGATTTCTCTCTGAAGGTTTCGCTGCGGTAGAGTTTATTGTGTATCATACTCAAATAATGTCATTTACGATGCACATCTGCAATAAAGTGTATTTTGAACCGGATACAGTGGAAGAAGAATATGAAAAATCATTTGATTCCAGTCTAACGCCTTTCATGATCATCGTGACTCGGACACCAGAATACAGAGTGCAGGTAACCTGCAATAACGAAGACAACCGAAAAACAACAAAAACCAAGGTCGAAGAAGGGTATATCGTACACAAAAGCATCACTGCATCACTGATCAGATCACAAACACTGTTCAGTTCAGACTTCAATATCAACTGTGAAACCCTCGCCCTCACTAGAGCTGGGGGCTTCGTCCGAATTAGGTACGCAGGTGCGCCCGTCTTCCGTGATAGTTCTTTGGGGACCACCTCTGGCACGTTCTCGTAGCAGTTGATCTCGCAGTTTTTGATTTTCGGCATCGCGCTCTTCCAGCCGCTTTCGCGCTCCACTGCGGTCCAGTAGACGGCCTTCTCGCTCAGCCTTCAGCCGCTTCTCCAGTTCATGTAGACGGTGGATCCATTTCTCATCGCCACCTTCCCAGTTACTGCTTCCACCACGCGAGCGATGCATCACTGCACCAGCATTATTGGTCAGAGTGCTGCTCGAGGAGGAATGAGACGGCTGGGGAAGACCTGAAGAGTGGCGCGCGACGGCTCTATCAGCGTGGGACTTCTCGGCACTACTTGATGTTGAGTTCTGACGTTTTAAAGAACGCTCGGCATCTGCGGTAGTACTGAGGGATGGAGACCGCGGGCCAGATGCCATCACGGCGGCCGCAGTTGCGGAGGAAGAGGAGTGAGTTCGTGAATTAGTCTGAAGCAAATTGATCTCTGCCTTCAGCAGTCGGTTTTCCCCTCGCAATTTGGCGACCTCGGGGGATGAGCTTGAGTGGCCATGCCCTTTGCGCATATTCTTGACGGCCTCCTCAACACGCTCAAGCCTGCGAGCCCGCTGCGCGAAAGTGCTCTCAAGGTTGTGGTATTGCTTGGTCAAGTCATGCTCGATACTTCTGATACGGCCCTTGAATCCTGAGATCACGCCCTCGACAGTCTTCACGGCAAGCATCAGGTTACGGTTGAAGCCAGGCCAAAAAAGGATATTGCCAATGACTTCCTGACTGGGTAGATTGCCATTGATGAGGCTATTCGAATGCGCCCAATCGGGGCCACAAATCGCGGAGAGTCTCTTCCAGACGGTAAGGAACAAGGCATTGCGCTCGCTAAGCTGATCCCGAAATTGCTGCTCGAGGGATGTGAATCGCTTGCGATCCTGGTTTCGAGCATTTTCAAGTTCCGTGATACGAGAGTTGCTCTGGGTAATGGTCCGAGATGCCTGCTGGTGAGACTTGAGAGATTGCTCAAAAGACTGTTTGTCAGCCCGACGGGCTTGTCGCTCACGATCCAGAAGTTCAGATAGTTTTCGGGACTCAAGACCGTGGCTTTCAAGCAGAGCATCTCGATTGCGGAGGACAGTCTCTTTCTCATCCAGCTGCTGCCGCACGCTCTCCAATTCAAGTGCCGTGGATTCAAGCTCTTTTTGGAGTTTCATGATGTTGGAAATCAGGCTAGACCGGCTACCGCTTAGATCTCCCAGGGTCTCGCGGAGGTTGGTCTCGAGATCTGTCAGTCGTTCACGCCAGGTGTTGGCTTCAATCTCTTGGGCCGAAAGGCTCTTCTTCAAACGTCGAGCCTCCTCCTTAGCCGTTGACGCTTCGCGATTGAGCTCGTTCATGATGCGCTGAACCTCTTGTTTCTCCTTGCTTCCGACGACCTCTCGCTGATGTCTCTCATCTGCCAGTCGCTGCTCGAGCTCTCTAGTCTTCTCCTTTTCACTGTGCAGGCTCATATGGTATGTCTTTAGCTCAGACTCCAAATCACCGATGCGAATCTTATCACCATCTTGCTCCTCACGAAGGAAGGCAATTTCGTTTTGACTGGATTCAATTTGCACCGTAAGTCGCTGCACCTTGGTATTGGCTTCAAAGAGACTTCTCTCGAGTGACTCCATCTCGCGGTTGTTTTCGTCCAGCTCCTGCTGAACGGCCTGATACCGCTCCAGGTTATTTTGCGCATCCTCCTCCAGCCGGATAATTCCCTCGCTGGCCGATCGCATCTCTGCCTGCAAGACTTTGAGGCTTTCGTCCTGGTTTTGGAGGTCCTCATTCATGCGCTGGCACTCAACAATCTTCTGGTCCAATTCCTCGCCAAGTGCATCCAGCTCCTCTTGCGCCTCGGCACGAAGATCTTGGAACGCAGCATCTCGCTCCTCGGCCATTTGAATGGCTTGATCCCTTTCTTGCTGAAGGCTTTGCATTTCTTCCTCGGCCTGGTCAACGTCGGCCTGATATGCTTTGTCGAGGGCTTCAAGCTCCCCTACATATTCGTCAAGCTGTGCCCGGATAGCCTGGTTTTCGAGTTTCAGAGTCGACAGCTGGTCACGAAGCTGTCCGTTTCGAGCTTCGAGTTCATCACGATCTATGTCTTCACGCGATGCTCCAGTTGCGTCGCTTGGTTCTGAAGATGGCCGTCCTTGCGCGCGAGACGCCGAGCGATCGAAAATACTGTCTCCGGCTACTGACCGGCCACCGTCTCTTCGTTGACCAAGCTTGAGTTCTTCGATCTCTTGGTAGAGGCGTTCTTTCTCGCGGTTGCGAGATGTGAGCATTGAGGTCTGCGCGCTGACTTCTTTTCTCAATTCAGCATTCTCCTGTTTCAGAAGTTCTAGTTCCACCATGAGTGTACTGCTGGAAGTACTCATCAAAGCGCCGCGGTTGCCCTCCCTGTCGGATTGGTATGAAACGGTGGAGCTTTCCCGTTCACGCTGCCCGGGCCTTGGGCCACCAGTGGCTGTGTACATTTCGCTCCGAAGACGGATAGATTCCTCTCGAAGTTTGCGGTTCTCCTCTTCCGCTTGTTCGCGAGCCGCAGTCTCGGCATCCAACATGTCTTTCCACATATCCTGATACGTAATTCGTTAGCACGTACCGAAAGAATCAGTAGTCAAAATACAAGGTCAACCATACTCTTTCTTCTCTTGCCCCCGCATCTGATCCGCCTGATCGACTTTCGCTCAGAGACTTGACCATTTCGGCCAAGCGCCGCTTTTCGGTTTCTCTGGCAATGCTCTCCGTCCGCAAGCGCTCAATTTCGATCTCATATGTTTCCACTCTTTCACGCAAGAAGACGAGCTCTCCGTCCTGGGCCGAGTCCCGGTCGTCCTCCGACGCTTCAGGATCATGATTGACCATGGAATCTTTATCAGACTGTTGGTCTTTCAGTTGCTTTTCCAAGTCACGAATCTTGCGCTTGAGGCCCTGGTTGTCTTTCTGAAGCTTGAGCTTATCAGACTTGAGCTCGACGTTCTCCGAGATCATTTCTTTGATACCCTCCTCGGATCTCTTGTTGAGTGCTTCATTCAGGAAATGGATCCGCATTTTCAAGTCAAAGTTCTCCTTTGAAAGACGGTCAATGGTGCTGCTTTGTTCCTTCAAGGTCATATTACGACCGCTTCGTCCAAAAGCAGGAGTTCCAGCTCCCGTACGCTTCTCGGGCGACGGGCCCATAATCCCATAGTCTTCTCGGAACTTTTGCACGAAGGTGGTAGGAACATGAATGCCTTTGATGCGCTCTGCAAGCACCGTATCACTTGGGAAATTGTTCTGACTCTTGGCCTTGGGGGTTACCGGGCCAGCATCGTCGAAGATGGCCTGTCGCGAGGACCGCGGCGAACTTTCCTCTTCCAGGGTTTGCAGGCCACCATCCGCAGGCCCAGATGCATTTCGTCTCTCCAAGGAATTTTCTTCACTAAAGCCAGATACACCGGAGGCCATGCTTCCGAGGCTGGTTGTTCGTGTCATATTGGCACGACCTCCCGTGTTCAGGCTACCCCAATGCTCAGGTGCAGCACCTCCGGACTGAAGCGCAAAATCGGCTCCAAGTGTTGCATCACTGTGTGTGGTCTCTGTGGTGTTGCTGGTAACGGAAGAGTGCGACAGACGATAGGCAGATTGGCGGCTTGTCAGGTATTTGGGTCGGCTTGATTTTCTGCTCGCAATACTCCCGCTTTGGTCACTAAATAGCCTCGACCGACCCGGAGAGAGACTGCGAGTACTTTGCCCGAGCTTCGAGGGCGTGAGCTGTGACTCGTTTTCCGCTTGTGACATTTGGGATCTGAACGGCCGCCCATCATGGGAGAATTGACTAGCACCAGGCACGTTCTCAGACGAGATGGACTGATCCTGGTGGTGAGTACTTCGGTAGGCTGCAGCGGCGGAAGGCGACGAAGCGAGCGAGTCAAACGTAGACTCGTTTCCTGTTTGATGCGCATGGTAGACCGAGCCAGTGTCCTCATCCTCGCGCTCTCCGGACTGCGCAGGGGCATTATCCTTCTCTGTGTCTTGATTTGTCTCCGATGGTGGAATGAATGAAAATTGCGATGGCTCGTCGTGACCCTCCGGGTTGGCAGCGTGGCCGCCAACAACCCCAACCAAATAGGTATCGTCTGCGCCGGGGGTTTGACCTGTCGTCGCAACGTCGATCGTCGAAGGTTCTGGTAGGAAACTCGATTCCATGTCCATCAGTTTGCGGCGCATCTCATTTTCTTCAATCAAGGTCTGATTGTTGCCCCGTTCATGATCGCCATTTTCGCTAGACAAGGGGAACAGGCTGCTGTCGTCGCGATCGGTCAGGGGAGGCAGCAGACTGGGGTCTTCGGGATCTGGAAATGTTGTCGCCGTAAAATCATGTTCATCGGAGTCGGCTTCGGTTGGGGGTACCGGTGTTGTTGTGGTCTCTCGCGCGTCGTGCGCCTCACTCGTGGATGTTATTGAGTTGTCGACGGTACTCTGGGGGTTCTTTCCCCACGCGTCCTCGGCCATGAAGTAGTCGGTAGCGCCAAAATCGGCATCCAGGGGCGAGTGTTCGTCTGGGGTAAGGAATGCGCCAGACGCATGCGATGAGGAGGGGATGCGCACCGAAAGCGGGCCTTGGCCGATCAGAGGTGTAGACGGGGCCCTGGTCGACATGGTGACGGCGTCTAGGCGTGTTTTGGGTCTCCACCCAGCTGTGCGTTGCCCACAACGATTGGCAAGTCGACGACACGGCGCGTAGGAATCGGCGATAGTTCACATTAGGCTTAAAGTTGACGATCGAGAAAAAAGAAAACAAGGAGAGACAAGTACCGGCAGGCGCGACAGTGTTCCCCGGTTCCCATCGTTTGGTGTTCCAGGGATGAGCCGCCCTATAGACACGGCCACGCACGTGCTTACCAGACACTATTGCCACGCATATAGCTGGAAATACTTTATTACCACGCATATCTACAGTACGTACCTATCTTACTACGGCTTATAGGTAAGGCACGACAGTATCAAGAGAGAAGAAATTGGGTATATATGCAGGGTATCAAAATATTAAACACAAGTACCTCTTTGCTTCCAGCCTAAGCTGGAGCATGCTGAGCATGATGCAGGGGTGATTAAGGCATCAGGTTGCTTGACGTGATCTGCTCGCGCAGCTTCTCAAGTTCATTGAAATCCGCCTGCAATGCACAGGCAAGGATGGAATCGGTTTTATATGTGCCTTGCCAGTTATCCAAAGTATGACGAAGCTTTTGATGAGCAGTGGCTAAGGCAATTTGCAATTCGGCCGTCCGTGTACATGAACGTCCCAGGTCATTCATATAATGGGTTGGATCTTGAATGCACAATCTTTGACCAGCGGCCATATTGCCTCTGGAAACAGCGGTCCTTTTAGCGTTAATGAGAGATCGCCGGCCCCGTCGGCAAGCAGATCCGATATCTTCGATGACAGTGTTTTGCGCTTTCTCGGCACCAAAAAAGCCCGGCGGCTCAATTGCAATTCCAATCGATTGAAGATCAATAGTTGTGCCATAGAAATGCAGAAAAGCCAGCAACTGCTCGCTCAGACTGCGAGGTCTCGAGGATCGACCATGGCTCAACTTGAAAAACGCTACAAGAAGCATAGCCAGTGCATCGGGTCTGATGCTCGATTGCGCAGAGCCAAAGAGGCTGCGGGCTTCAAGTAAAGTTCGTGTTACCACGTACAAGGGACGAAGAGATGGATACTCGGCCAAGCAATTTCTCAAGTACTCCATGATAGCTGGGGTGCTTTCACCGCAGTGAAACCGTAACAGCAATCCCGTTGGTTGGTGACGAGCCTCGAGCACAGGCTGGCGTTTCCCAGTAAGTCTGATCCGGTCACAAGATAAAGGACCATATTGTAATGTGGATTTCACTCGGTGGAGAAGACGCAGGTGCGCATCTTGAATCTGAGGGCGCGTTGCACTTGGCCTTCGAAGTCGGTCTGAAGCCCGCGGGAGATCGTCGAAACGCAAAAAGAAATCAAGGTCCGAATGTGTCAGAGCTAAGCCAATTTGGCGCGAGCCAATAAGTTGCGGTGTGTGAGGGACGACTGGTCCCAACAAAGAAGCAATTTGGGCATTCAATTGGTTTATCCGATTTTGCTCCTGGCAGGTTGGAGCTAGGTACTGCTCCAATGCATGGATCTCCGCATCGAGATATGCAGCGGCATCGCCAGGAACAGCTGATGGTGCTAGATAGCCCAACCATGGGTAATATTCAGTTTGGCCATTGTGTGAAGACCCAGAATCCCGGATTGAAGGATACTCGGTGCAATTGGCCTCTGAATGAGCTTCCGGTGCTCCGTTGCGCGTTCGTCGACGTCTTCTGCTCACAGCCTCTTTGGGCTCAAGATCCTTGGGCGCCAACACGGGTGGCGTTGGTGGCTGGTAGCCGGCGCGACTTTCTGGAGGAATTTCCAGCCGCCAAAACCCTGCGGGCGGTGCACGGGGGTATACTCTGCGGACGAGACGAGCTCGATTCGAGGTTCGGTGGGCGTCTAGGGTTTTCCGGAGGTTGTTCGCAAAGACATCGACATCTTGGGCCGGATGAGCAGCACGGGGCTGCCGGGGAGGAAGAGCAAGGCGCGATCGAAGGGCAGGCAGCCGCATAGCAGCGTTGATTACTTCGGCGGCATGACGGGGATGATGAGGGTTTTCCGCAGAAGTAGAACGGCTAGGTGCAAACCACCAAAACGCGGAAAACCGAGAGGGCGTTTGCGGCCTCAGGCAGAATATTGGGCTCGACCCGATTGTCCCATCAGAGCACAACTAGTGCGAATGCGATATCGCCCACAGATATTGGACCTACCAGAGGCTCAGATGTCTTGTTGATGACCTGATATCATCTAGCGATTACGCCGGAAGGCTTATGAACTGGTTGCTCTCCAGGCCTCCTCGTCTTATCATGACGTAGCACTGAAGGCATTCCGGCCGCGGCGGAAACCCCACCGATTTCCCTGAAGCGTCAGTTCCTGTTTTGGACGTCCCCGTGCATCTCACCGCTTGCCCCTCCAACCTTCTTCTCCTTTCACCCCTCCTTCGGCCCTTTGCTTCTTTTTGTGGCATACCAAGGTGCTCTCGATTGTCCATGGCTCTCTCGCGCCCCTAGTCCTCCGATTTCGTCGACCTATTCCTCGATCTCCCCGTCCTGCTCTGAGGTACGTGGACCCTGTCTCAAAGACCCCCAGTCTACCAACGTCAGGATTCCCTGGCTTGACCTTGGAGGGTCTCTGCTGGCTGCAATTGCAATTTTTCTGACGACCGATGCAGTTGAATTGTCGGGAAAATTGCTTGTCTAAGATCATCGAACCCTTTACACCATGTCTGATCCACCGAGTCCCGCGCGTGTGCCAAAGGGGCAGCCAAACCCGGTGCTTGTCGGGCCAGGACTGCAAGCCTTGAAACATAATTCCTACTCCCAAGCTAGCGCTGCTACTCCCAGCTTGGATGCCGATAAAGTGCATCCAGTTGACAACAATGCGCCGTCATACTTCGCCAACATCCCGGGGACGAACACCGAGTCATTGGACACTTCGAAGTCGGCCTCGGCAGGGACCGCGCCTCTGAGAAAATCATCAGCAGGGGAAGACCTGCTGCGTCGGCTGAGCCTGACTGGGCATTCGTCGCCCATGTCACCTGAGATCGACCCCCGTACCGAACATCCTGGATTGCGACTGAGTGGTCGGTTGATCAGTGCCGCCTTTTGCATCCCTTACAAACTTCACTATCAACCGGGATCAGACTGGGTATGTGACTGAACACTTCTTCGTCTTCAGAAAGCGAGTGATTAAACTGACGATATATGTAACAACAGACTCTCAAACCACGATCAGGCACTTCCGCCCTCTTTGACTCATTCGCCCACTTAGCATCCGATAACACCCATTGGTCACACACCCTAGTGGGATGGACAGGTGAAGTTGAGCCGATTCTGGATAGCAAAGCCCCTCTCCAACAAGTCCCCATCAACGCGGCCGGTAAAATCCCCCCAGCTCCAGCAACGCGGCGATCCCTATCAACAAGGCGGCTGCGCCTGTTCCCGTCAATAAGGGACAACAACCGCCTTCGAATCCGTTGGTGGACGGGATCTCTGTTGGACGAGATGACCGAGAGAGGCTTGATAGCCAACTGAGAACCGGCCGATATGGTAAAATCTTGCCCGTTTGGCTGTCAGACGCACAAGAGGAGCCCCAGGACGCAGTTCTGCTCAAAGATCAAGGGCGATGGCGGCGATATGCCGAGAGGGAGTTATACCCTCTTTTGCATTACAAGCAGCATGGACCAACAGACGGCCGCTCTGAGCGGCGCTGGTGGGCTGACTACACTCGCTTGAACCAGTTGTTCGCAGATCGCATTGCGGCGGAATACCAAGAGGGCGACGTCGTGTGGATCCATGACTACCACCTATTCCTCCTCCCTAGCCTACTACGCCAGCGCGTCCCTAACATCTACATCGGTTTCTTTCTCCATTCCCCCTTCCCCAGCAGCGAGTTCGTGCGGTGTCTTGCCAAGCGCAAGGAAGTTCTGACCGGGGTTCTTGGCGCCAATATGCTCGGCTTTCAAACATTTTCCTACTCACGACACTTTTCCTCATGTTGCACACGGGTATTGGGCTTCGATTCTAATTCGGCTGGAGTCGACGCATACGGCGCTCACGTCGCCGTGGATGTCTTCCCCATTGGAATTGATGCACGCTCCATTCAAAGGGCCGCATTTGGGGCCCCGGATATCGAAAAGGCAGTGGTGGGCATTCGCAAACTATATGATGGGAAGAAAATCATTGTTGGGCGTGATCGACTGGACAGCATCCGAGGTGTGACACAAAAGTTACAAGCATTCGAAGTGTTCCTGGAGCGTTATCCAGAATGGAGAGACAAAGTTGTCCTCATCCAAGTCACTAGTCCGACAAGTGTCGAGGAAGAGAAGGAGGATCCCGAGAACAAGATTGCTGGCCAAATCTCTAACCTTGTGTCCACGATCAACGGTCGCTTCGGCTCATTGAGTTTCTCGCCCGTTCAATACTACCCACAGTACCTGTCACCGCGAGAATACTTCGCTCTCTTGCGAGTCGCTGATGTGGGTCTCATCACCACAGTTCGAGACGGCATGAACACCACTAGTCTTGAGTACATCGTTTGCCAGCAAAACAACCACAGCCCCCTCATCCTCTCGGAATTCTCTGGCACCGCGGGAACATTACCCAGTGCCATCCACATCAACCCGTGGGACTTGGTTGGTGTCGCAAATGCCGTCGACAAAGCCCTCAATATGCCCGCCGAGCAACGCAAGGAGCAGCATCTCAAGCTATACAAGCATGTCCTCACCAACACAGTTGCTACTTGGTCAAGACACTTCCTTGATCGTCTCTTGACGAACCTATCATCTTTCGACCAATCAGTCGCGACGCCCGCGCTTGATCGTGCCAAGGTTGTCAAGCAATACCGCAAGGCTCGCAAACGACTCTTCATGTTCGACTACGATGGCACCTTGACTCCTATTGTCAAGGACCCACAGGCGGCGATTCCATCTGACCGGGTTCTGCGTACGCTCAAGACTCTCGCGGCCGACCCTCGAAATGCGGTCTGGATCATTAGTGGGCGAGACCAGGCGTTCTTGGATGAATGGATGGGACACATCCCCGAATTGGGTCTCAGCGCAGAGCACGGTTGTTTCATTAGGCAGCCCCGCTCCGATGACTGGGAGAATTTGGCGGAACGAACAGACATGGCCTGGCAGAAGGAAGTCATCGAAGTTTTCCAGCACTTTACCGAGCGAACCCAAGGATCATTTATCGAGCGGAAACGAGTGGCACTGACTTGGCACTACCGTCGAGCTGATCCGGAGTACGGGGCGTTCCAGGCCCGTGAGTGTCGGAAGGCGCTCGAAGATACCGTTGCCAAACGATGGGCTGTGGAGGTGATGGCAGGCAAGGCCAATTTGGAAGTGAGACCAACTTTCGTCAATAAGGGATTTATCGCTACACGCCTGGTGAACGAGTATGGTACAGAGCCCGGGAAGGCGCCTGAATTCATTTTGTGCTCAGGTGATGATTTCACCGACGAAGGTACGTAATCAGAACATTTCTCACTGACGACCTATCATATACCAACAATATTCTTTGCAGATATGTTTCGTGCTCTCAAGCAATTCGACCTTCCCCGGGAGCATGTGTATTCGGTGACGGTCGGTGCTAGCTCGAAGCAAACAAACGCTAGCTGGCATTTGCTCGAGCCTGCGGACGTGATCGGTACTCTGCAACTACTGAACAGCAGCTCGAACCAAGAAAAATGAGCTATGCAACCAGCCGGGCCGAACTTACCTGCACCGGCCTTGGCATGGGGTCCCTCCCTGTCTCTGGGGTAAGGCCGACTTGGCTCGGACTTAGTCTTACCCATGCCTGTTCGAACGGATCAGGCCAAGTCATTCCCCACATAAATTCACGCCCGTATACGAATGACCCTTATCGGGGCTGGTGGACGGTGTTTTCTTATTCACTCTTATAGCTTCGGTTCTTTTTCTTGCTTGGGGGTTTTTGCTGGCGTATTTGGATCATTGTTAGGTCGCTGGTCCTCTGGCTTCTTGCTTTCTCGTTTTAATCCTTGACATAGATGCATAAGCCTTGATGTAAAGACATTAGATTAGCGTGGCAAATAGGATATGGCTTCTCCCCAAAAACCCGTGTTGTTACGGCATCCGAAGCCGGGGCTCCTCGTTTTGCGGGGACAGACAGGCACCGTCATTCCCCGCGGGGATGACGTGCCGACTTAGTCCTATCTTGTTGGGTATCTTATGAATCGTGCATATTCATGTCTATGCGGGTCTATTCTACACTAATTTGAACATCTTCCACGCCTAGAGCATATAAGTCTGGAATCTGTAGGGCTGCTCATGGTCAATGCGGGCCAGTCTTCGGATGTGGCTTTCGGAAGTTATTGCGTTCGGCAATCTGTGCGAATTACCGGCGGGCCTGAAACGATCGGCACAAAGCCCGTTGGAGGGTTCCAACTCAACTAACTGCTCGGGAAATTTTTTTCGGAAACAATGACTCAGTTGCGTTCGGTCTCTTTATTTTTCAGCCGGTTTTGGGGTCCCATTAATATTAATTAGCTTGAACCCCGCCTCCGCGCCTTCTTGCCTTCAAAATTCTTACCCCGAAGTGTTGCTGTTGTCGCGCAGAGTCATGATATCCGACTTTTTTGATCGCCTCGTTTTCTCCTTCTCCTAAGTGACTGGGGAAGTCCCTGTTACAATTAGTGACTATGGCCGATACCTCGGCCCTCCATAATCAAGAGAAACGGTCAAGCAGTGTCGTCGAGGAAAAGGACTTCCATTTCGCAAATGATAGCACCCATGATCCCCGTTCTCTCGAAGCCAATGATCATAATCATTCCGATGATGATGACTCGACCATTGAAGACTGTGTCGTTGATTTGACCCAAGTACCAACAAACTCCAGCGCTGTGGCTCGTACCCTCTCTGTCGTTCGAACACGCGAATCTGGAAAAGACCTCGGCCCCCCGCCGGACGGAGGCTTGCAGGCTTGGACGCAGGTGGCTCTGGGTCATTTGATTATCTTTAATACCTGGGGGTATATAAATAGTTTCGGTGTCTTCCAAACATACTATACATCGCACTTGAACCGCGCGCCGTCGGATATCTCCTGGGTTGGCAGTATCCAGATCTTCCTGCTATTTTTCATCGGAACATTCTCTGGGCGTGCCACAGATGCCGGTTACTTTCGCTTTACGCTGACCGTTGGCGCAACTCTCGAGTGTTTCTGCATCTTCATGACTTCGCTTTGCACGGAGTATTGGCAGCTTTTCCTGGCCCAGGGCTTGGGACAGGGGATCGGTTGTGGTCTGATGTTTTGTCCAACTCTGGCGCTGATTTCGACTTATTTCGTGAGACGCCGTGGTATTGCGCTTGGACTTGTGGCTTCGGGCTCTGCGACGGGTGGTCTCGTCTTTCCGGCTGTTGTCATGCGTCTCTTGCCGCGCATTGGATATGGGTGGACAATGCGTGTTCTGGGCTTCATTTCCCTGGCGACCCTCATTCCGTGCTTGGTTTTCTTCAAGCAGCGTCTGCCGCCGAGGAAGAGTGGCCCGATTGTTGAGTGGGCGGCTTTCAAGGAGCCTTCTTACCTGCTCTTTGCTATCGGCATGTTCCTCAATTTTTGGGGGCTGTATGTCGCTTTCTTCTATGTTGGCAGCTTCAGTCGCAACATTATCGGTGTTTCGGAGACTATCTCGATCGATCTGCTCATGGTCATGAATGGCGTTGGACTCGTCGGTCGTTTGGTCCCTAATTTCCTGGCGGATCAGTTCACCGGCCCATTGAATCTGTTGATTCCATTCAGTGGCGCGACGGCCCTGGTGGCCTTCTGCTGGGCGGCTGTGAAAGGTATGTCGGGGCTCTGGGCTTTTGCGGTGTTCTATGGTTTGTCTGCCGCTGGTATTCAGTCGCTGTTCCCCGCCACTCTGAGTACCCTGACATCAGACTTGAAGAAGACCGGCGTGCGGATGGGCATGGTTCTCAGTGTTGTCGCAGTGGCCGCACTGATCGGGTCGCCGATTGCTGGCGCGCTGGTGCAGCTTGATGATGGCAATTATCTGTATGCGCAGATGTTCATGGGCAGTGCAATCATCGCAGGCACCTTGACCTTGATCGGGGCTCGAGTGGTCAAAGTGGGCACGGGCATCACACGTGTGTAAAGCGACTCGATCATTTTTTCCCTCCTTGCATTAAAATTGGATAGATCCGTCTATAGATTGTAAATTGATGGCCTCATTAATCAAGGAGTCGCATACGCGCCATTTGCATTATTGGGATATTCTTTTCGATTGAGATGTGATTAGATATTTAGGAGGGAATCCCCCCACCGGCAAACTGATTAATGCTGGTGCGGTGACTCGCCAACTCGCTCCGCAATCTCGACATTGTTCCGTCTTCATCAATCGCTGCTGTTGTCGCGGTAAGTCCAGATTGCCTTCTAGCTCCCTTTTTGCCTCTTTTCTGCCTGGGCGCTTCTTTTTCCCCTTGCCAGCCGCGCTGCAAAGTCCACCCCACTTTGCCCCTCCATTCCCGGTTTGACTGCGCTGGTGTATGCCTGATCACCGTGACTCAAAGACGAGAGAAGCTGATTCAAATTGGAACAGTCGCTAGTGGCCTCCAACAGTCCTTTCTCAACGAATACATACAAACGACCCGATCCCTCTCAATCTAGATTTAAATATGGCGCCCCGCGGTCGTGGAGGGAAGTTCTCCAAGCCCTCGCGAGGAGGTATGATCGCGTGCACCAGAGCTCACCACAAAACCCCCGGACGCTGGAGCTCACCCAAGCTTGGAATTTAGGAGGCAAAAAGTTCAGTCGGGACGTACAGCCTACCGATAAGGACGGAAACCCAGTTGGCCTTTGGCGCGTACGTTTGCACCCTTACAACCTGGATTGGAATTGAAACCTTCAGCTTTTCATTCCACTGGCTATTCTGCCACAGATCTCGGACGATTCGAAGCTTACACCACAATCGGCATGTTAATAGGACCCCGACGACGAGATCCCTTCATCTAACGAGGAGGAGGAGGAGTCATCAGAGGAGAGCTCGGAGGAAGAAAGCGACGAAGCCGCCACCGGAAATGGCGACCAACCCACCGCTGCCGCAGCAGAGCAAACCCGTGAGGCTCGTCGCGCTGCTGCGAAGGCCAAGAAACAGGCTGCCCTGGCAAAGCGCAACAAGGGTCCCGCACAGCCGGGCGACCTTCCTCCCTCAGACTCCGAGGAAGACGAAGACCTGCCCGCAAACCCCAACCACACGGCCAAGTCCCGCTCCCAACTCGTGACGAACGATGATGATTCAGATGAGAAGCCCAAGAAGAAGGTCGTTAAGGATCTGTCGCAGCTGTCGCGCCGTGAGCGTGAAGCGATCGAGGCTCAGCAAGCGCGCGAGCGGTACCTGAAGCTGCACGCTGAGGGCAAGACTGAGGAAGCGAGGTCTGATCTTGCTCGTTTGGCGATCATTCGGGAACAGCGTGAGGCGGAGCGCGAGAGGAAGTTGGCTGAAAAGGAAGAGAAGGAAGAGCAGGCCAAGCAGCGGGCTGCGGCTATTAAGGAACGGGAGGAAAAGCTCCGTGCTGCGGCTGCTGGTAAGGTGAAGAAAAGTGGCGGCAAGAAGAAATAAACATGCCGTGTCTTTGAGCTGCTCGGAGTGACGAATGATACCAAATCTATGCCATCATGATAAAATGTTGACCTGATCTCGGTGTTCAAGACGATGCGAACCGAGTTGAAACTTGATAGGACAAAGAGAAATATTATGATATTGGGATCTATAACACACGTAGAGTAGAAAGTAAAGAGCAGATATGCCTGGTCCCCTTGTAAATCATAAGAAATTCATGTACACCGACGCCGCCCCCAATCAAAAATTAAGAGACAAGAATTACTCTTTTCGATGCATAGCTAAGAGATCAGAGAGAAAGGAAAATGAATGGTTTCATACATGGGGCGTGGAATCAAAGCCCCCAAGGTTTTCAAGAAAGGCGAGCTGGTAAATTAGCCAGGAAATATTCAAGTGCGTATGCATCCATTTAAACGCCCCAGAACAGACCCTCGACGCCCCAGCCATCCATGACAATGCCCCAGCCGGCGATAAGGCTAACAAGCCAGAGGAGGGCGAAAATCAGAATGGGAACCAGAAGAAGCTCCGTGTTATGCAGGAAGGGCAAAGCATTGTAGCCCAGGAAAGTAATGTAAGTGTAGTAAATCAAGGCGGAGAGGTAGAGTGTGTTTCCGAGGAAGGTGGCGAAGAAATTGGTCGGGTTGCGGGTGAGGATGGGGAGGAGGAAGAATTGCACGACATAGAGGTGTAGGTAGAGCGGGAAAAATGCACGGTTAGAGACCTAGATGAAGCGTCGAAAGCGTCAGAGGGTGATTGTTTCAGACTTCAAGGCAAAGGGCATGCTTACGTCGAAGCAGTATCCAAACTCCAGCTGGTCCTTCTCTCCCAGCTGCATAAACAGTCCCTGCGCAGCACCCCGTCGGCGGCCTCGAGAGCCGCGCAAGCCAGTCAGAGAGGCTGCGGCGCCATTGGGGCCGAAGAGACGGCCAATGACGAAATAGCCGATGGTTGAGATCAAGAGGGACGACCCGATGAAATGAAGAAAGACGAAGAGGAGCGACAGGCGGACAATGGCGCCAAATGAAGGAGTGTAAGCCAACCCCCATGCGAGAGCTGTGACGAGAAGGAAGAATGAAAGGAGGTAGGTGAAGGACGGATCAGGGCGATGCCATGTGTTTTTGGTCTCTGGAATCGAGTCAATCGGGGTTCGATAAAGGAATGGTAATTGAAAAATTGCTTGTGGAGATTGCAATATTCCGGCAACGTCTGTATCGGAGGTGTGCGATATCACTTACGTTTCTATATCGCCGAGAACGAAACAGTTAGCATGAGGCTATTGCTTGCCGCGCTGGCGGAGTCCGCCGAATGACTTACATGGTAGTAGATGGACTTGAATACTTTCTTGGGGGCAATGAGCAATGAGGTCATCTCCCAGATTGCCATCTCAAAGTCCATTTGGGGAAACTTGAATAGTCTGGTGATATGGTCAGTCAGTACCTTCGGTGGTCCCCCTCTATCTTTACCAGAAGGTAGCTCTACCTCTTGAAGAAGCGCGGCATGCGCACGCTGGATCCGCGGCTGGGGGTCGAGCCGAAATTGGTCGGCCCGACATGTTGACGAGGAACAGAGATGTGCGGGTTCATTGTCGAGGCCCGTTCTGGTTAGGAACCGGGGGTCATGGAGTTTGGAGAGACTCGGTCGACGTGTCGGGGGTTATGTCATCTCATATCACGTGTTCAGGCACGGAGTACACAGGCACATATCTTCTACCTACTAGAGCCGAATAATTTCTCACATCTAATAATACTAGTGCGAGGTAGTTTGTTGGCTCCTGGGAAATTCATACAATGAAATAAATATTCCTCTAGACCTCGGCGTCTATTCTTTGGGCCCCTCCAACCTGGTGACAATCAACTGTGCTCTCAAGCCCACTCTGAACCCGTGGCCCGCAGTGGACAGGGTCTGGACGTAGAACTCCACGACTGCATATGAAAGTGCTCCATCGGACCTGGAAAGATCATCTGCGAGGGGTGCAGATTCATTGAATCACGACATGCTTCGATTCGACCTCAGCGTGCCAGTCAGCGCCCACTTTCGTATCGGGCGTTCAAGCGGTCTCGATGCGAGCATGAAAGTATAAAATATACAATCGAACACATGTATTGACAATGCCGGATAGATCGATCTATCGATTCGGAGAGATTCACAGTAAAACCCCTTCACGACGTCAATTGCATTTTTCGCCGCCGCGATGCATCACATTGGCATCTGCATGCCATACCAACCTTGGCCGAGTCCCATGTAACTCGGTGCATGGACTGAGCGCGAGACCCCCGTTAGACTCCACCGGGCTCCACAAGCGTCAGGATCGGCTGCCAGGTCGCGCAGGTCTGGAGGAAGCAGACGAGGAGTCAGAAACAGCAAGTCGAGTAGGGCATGTAAGTGTAGAGCTGTCTGAAAAAATCAGTATTTGAAAAAGCCGGACCAAGCGCATCGAACTTCCTCCCCCTCTCCCCTGAATTGGTCCTTGACCAGCGCAGAGAGCATCGGAGAAGAGATCAGGGATAAACGAGTCTCCTCATTTCCCCTGTTTCGACTGATCCCCCGTTTCATCCCACCCCCCGAATATAACTCTGCCGGGAACACCACGTTGTGCGTTCGAATTGTTCTCTTTTTGCGTTCCTCGGGCCCATTGAACTCAAATCGGGAGTTTGGTTCTCGAGTTCCACTTTTGGTTCCTTCCTCAGGAGTTCGTCCCGCCCCCGGGTTCCTCTCGACTTTCTTCCCACCTCATAAAAGTGCTCCAGGGTCGGCCCCGTTGCCAATCCGCTGCTCTGCACGCAGTCGCCCCCTTGCGTCGCCCGGGACATGCGATGACCCTCTGAACTTTCTCCCCCGTGCTTCAATTCGGACCCGCGAGCACGTCAAGCTCCGCCCATCCCACTCCTTGGGCAACGACAGCTCCGATCTTCGAGCCTTGGGCATTGTCGGTACGTGCCAACGCAGAGCCCCGCCAGGCGTACCGGGTGCCTTGATTACTCGGCGACGCAATTCCGCTGGCACCTGGACCCTGCCCTGACGGTCACACCTCGACCCGTACAACGAGAGGCGAACTAACCCAGGTTTCTAGTGACAATGTCTCAGCAACGCGACGCATATGCCGCCGGCTCCCCTCCTCGAACTCCTCCCTCTCAGACAGCGAAGTATAGACCGAAACGAGGATACAATCGCCCGTCCATCCGTGACGCCTTCCCGGACACCGCTGCCGCCCTGGAGAATGCGCCGAGGGCGAGCGAGTCGGGGGACGAACGAGACCCGCATGACCTGTCTCTGTCTCCGAAGCATGCTGCCCGCACTTCCGTTGTAGACAATATGCTATTGTCGCTAGATCAATTCGCCCCAGGATCATCAGTGCTGGAAGACTATCGATTGTTTAATTCCGCCTTTGAGACCGAGTCTACCCATGGCCGATACCGCGGCCACACATTTTCTTCGTCAATGTCTTCGGAAGCCGACTATGGATATGAAGACAGCAGCAGCCGCTACAATACCATCACAGCCAAGGGTCGGCGAAGTAACAGTAGTTCGAACTACCAAACTGCCCCGAGGAGGATGGGCAGTGCTCGAGGAGACGCGATGAGTATTCGATCAGGTGCTGGGACCATACCGAGATCCAACGACGTTCGCAAAGGTAGTAAAGGAAGCGCCTCCGCCGCCGATTATTCATACACAATGCCCAGAGGACGAGCGGACTCGGGAGCTATGGATCGACGCTCGGAGAGCTTCGATTGTGGCCCTCAGAAAGCGTTTATGCCTTACGGTGATCTCACTACCAGCCAGGATACGATGTACGACGACGATGCAGCACCGACTCCAAGTGTGCCAGCCGGACCTCGCAAGGTTCATGATTATCGGACTCCCACTGGCAATGCATCGCGTACACCTGTGGCATCGCGGCGAAACAGTGTCAAATCTGCGCAGGCTCCTCAGGTGCGCAAAAACCGCCCTGACAACATCGGCACTGGGGCTTTGAAGGTTCGCGATAGTGATTTCCAACTGTCGGTTGACACGGATCTTGATATGCCCCCAGCTATGCCCGCGTCGTTGGACCCGCCCGCTCCAAGCCCGACGATTTCATATAATAAAGCAGCCTTCCCTCAGCCGGAGCCATCAGCTACGTCAACGACCACAACTATTACGGCCATGAACAGCAACGGCAACACGAGCAACAGCACCTCCAATGGTACCAAAGAACGCCCGGGCTTCTTCCGCCGTGTGTTTGGCTCCGCGAAGACTTCATCTCCGACTCCTACAGAGTCTCCGAGTCTGCAAGCGAATGACCTGTCATATCTGCAAGAGGTCGAAAAAAGGATTCCACTACTGCGGCCCCCAATTTGAAGAACCGGGGACCACCACCGAAAAGCTCAGCTGGAACAGCACCGGCTACTCGCAACGGGCCTCCACACCTGGTTAAACAGAAGTCTTCGTTTTTCCGAAGGCGCAAGAAGTCCGTGGTGGACAACGTTCCGCCGCCGATTGTGCTGCCACAGGATATTGCACCTCACACTTTGGACACCGCGAAGCCAGAGCCAAGCCCCGTCAGTAGTCTGCGACAGGCTATGAATTCCTACATGGCCGACGGTACACCCGCCAACTCGGATCAAAAAGAGAACCGCGAAGGTAGTAAACTAGCCCGGGAACCATTGTCTTTGCAGACTCAGAAGCCACGAGAAAGTGTCTCGGCTCCTGGAGGTGGTCCCAAGGCTAAGCAGAGTCTGCAGCCGCCGGCTTCTTCCCGTGGCCAGGATCGCTCACCGCTAGCAGATGGTCGTGGCACGCTTGATAGCACTCTAAAATATATCGAGGTGGAGTCCGATGCGTCTGCCGAATCCCCCTTGCAGGAGAAGAGTACGAACTCTGCGTCATCGGCCATGCTGTCACCGGTTGCAGAGGATTTCTCCCGCCAACTCAAGATTTCCACCACGACAGATGCTTCGCAAGATAGCCTGGCAAAGGGCAAGCTGGCTCTTCCCTCAGACAGCAATGTTCCTGAATCACCTGCCGTCTCCGAAGTTTCTCACTATCAGACTGCATCTAATACTCCTGTGATCAAGTCTGAGGAGCCCAAAGCAATTGACGATTCCGAAGACAAAATGGATGGCCCTGGTGATGCGGTTGAGGATGGCCCTTCTGCGGCTGACCGCGAGCAAGCCCAGAAACTCTTCGATAGCCAGGATCAGGTCGTGGGCAGTGAACCTGCTGCTGCTTGGCTGGGTGACCCCGATCGAGCGACAGTCCGTGAGGCTTATATGCGTCTCTTCAACTGGTCTAACCTCAATATTCTCGCCGCCCTCCGAAGTCTCTGTGAGCGCTTGGTACTGAAGGGTGAAACTCAGCAGGTCGACCGAGTCTTGGATGCATTCTCCAACCGATGGTGCGATTGTAACCCGAGTCATGGGTTCAAGGCTACTGGTAAGTTGAATTCTCTGCTCAATAGGTCTCCCTTTCTAACAAACCCAAAGATGTTGTCCACACTGTCTGCTACTCTCTTCTGTTACTGAACACCGACTTGCACTTGGCCGATATTGATTCGAAAATGACCAAATCACAATTCGTCAGAAACACCATGCCTACAATTCACCGAGTTGCGATGGATGCCGCGCCCGAAGGATTTGAGACATTGCGACCTGTCAACCGCTCCAAAACAGCAAACTCAGAATCCGCTCCTACCCCCACGTCCGCTCGCTCGTCGACTTTTCCCAACGATGTTAGCCGCAGTTCATTAGATATAGACAACTCCGGACGCAACACCGCAGACAGTGATGCGGGTCCATTGGTCAACACTCCTTTCACGGGAACCGTCAGGGCCTGGGAGCAACAGGTCGAAGCGGTCTTGAAGGATTTCTATACATCTATTCAAAAGGAAAGACTTCCTCTGCATGGTGCACAGCCCGGGAAAGAAATCTCACGAATGAGCTCCAACAATTTCCTCGGCCCGTCTTCCAGCACTCTTCGAAGAAGCCCGAGCACGATCAGCAAAAGCGGCTCCGACATCTTCCCTCGCGGCCGATCCGCTGATTCTCGCCATGGAGCTGCACGGTGGTCCTCCAAACCCCGTTCCCGGGGTGCCAGGTTGTACCCTCCATCCATTATGGGCTCCAGCCGCACAAGTCTGGACGATCAGTCTTCTGTTTGGAGCCCTACTGCATCGAGCACTTGGAGCAAGTATTCATTGGGTAAATTCACATCCGCTTCAGTGGACTCGTTCGGCTCGGAGTTCCCCCGTGGTGAATATCAGCAGTCAATTGGCTTTGCCAATGCACTGAGTCAGGCAATCATCCGCGAAGACTCGGCCACGTCCGTTTACAGTTATGATGAACCCGAACGGACGACCCCTCTTCTCGAAGATGAAACACTGGCTTTGGCCGGTGCTCCGTGGGCTAAAGAGGGTAGCGTAAAACACAAGCACCATCTCGATGCAGTTGACAAGCGTGCCAAGGATCGCAACTGGAACGATTGTTTCGCCGTAATCCAGCAGGGTTGGATGCGCCTGTTCTCGTTTAACAATGCTTCCAAATCAATGCGCATGAAGGCAAAGCAGCGTGGTGGTGTTGTTGTCGGAGGCGGCAACTGGACAGAAAACGCAGATGAGATTTGGAAATTCATGCTTCGACAAACAATCGCCAGTGCCCTCCCGCCACCAGGGTATTCGAAATCCCGTCCTCACGTTTGGGCTCTAAGTCTACCCACCGGTGCGGTCCACCTTTTCCAAGCTGGTACCCCCGAAATCGTGCGAGAGTTCGTCTCTACGGCCAATTACTGGAGTGCAAGACTCTCCAAGGAACCTCTTGTCGGCGGGATCAGTAACATTGAGTATGGATGGAGTGATGCTGTCATCAACGGCGCTCTCGTTAACTCCGAGAACCGATCCCCGCCAACATCATCCGGTGCCCACCGACCGAGTATCCAGAGTTCCATCCGCAGTTCCATTGATCAGGGTACTGTTCGACCCAAGTTACCCGCTGACAGGGTAAATATCAGTGACTGGAGCCCACCACAGCAAAGCATGGCTGCTTCCAACCTCACCGAAGAAGATCAAATGAAGGCTCTTCAGGCCTATGTGAAGAATGTTGAAGATGATCTCCAGAGACACAATGAATTGCGTCCAGCAATGAATCTAGCCTTCTCGCCCAGGCATCCGAATTCGACAAAGGCCATGGCGAACTGGGAACGAAAGTCGTCCTATCTTCTCCGTGAGATTGTCAAGTTCAGGACTTATATCGATTCGCTCCGGAATGCGATTAATTGCAAGGAGAAGATCTATGCTTCTTCAAACAATTACTATAATAAGTCGGATGAGGCTGCTGGGGATGGTGAGCAGCAACAGGAACAGCAACCCCCTGTTTCCGCTTGATCGTGTTCATTCGCCCGAGATGTCTTTCTGCATCATGTCTATATCGCCTTTCTTCTTCGCTTTCATTTTTTTCACTTTTCCCCCTTTTCTTTTACGACTACTCCGCCCTTCTTGATGCACACGTTGTATATAATACCCCCCCCCCCCCCCAACACCAAATTAGGGGATTCCGTTCCGGGATACATACCTTCCAAAAGCGACCCACAGCTTCTTTCATACATTTGCTCCGGCTTGACATGTATTTCTTTTCTTCCTACGCCCTTTTTTATTTTTCCTCTTTCTTTTCGGCCCGTGGCTTACACAGCCTCCCCTTCTTGGTATCTTATATTCGTTTTTTCATGGTTGGTTGGATCATCCTGTTTAATGCTTGGGACTACGATGCGATTGAAGTTATGGATACCATGATTGCTTTTTTGAATATAATCGCAATTTCTGCCTTGAATGTTCTTCTATAAATTATGTAGCCTGAATGAAGATTGCGACTGACTGCAGCGTAGCCTGGACGTCCTTTTCTCCTACGATATTACGTATCACTTCAACCTAAAGCTCATGTTATGCAAAGAGTATCCGATTATCTGTTTGTCTAGCGCTGGTTTTGTTTAATTCGATCATTAAAGAGCTGCAAAAACGCCTCCAAGGCTGGGTGGTAACAGTAGCAGCAAGAATTACAAAGAAAAACGTCAATTATCCGCCCTTTACCAAAAACCACGGCTGTAGAAAATGCTCGAATTCTGTGCGCTTTAGAAGGCGGGATAAAACGCGAGGTTGCTGTGGCAGGAATGGAAAATAAACGAATGTGAAATAGCCAACGACGCCGTTTTGTGCAATTGGTTGAGCAAATTAGTTGCTGGATTAAGGTTAGTATCGAAGTGTACCTAGGTGTGGTTTTAGAACATACTAGATCTCCAAAGGCGAAATCTGATCCAGTGCATATAGCCAGTTTCCGCCTTGCTCTTCCTTCTCGAGCCTAGAATTGAGATTTTCGTTAGTAAAGGTTTATCCCATAGTCAAGGGGAGGGCATATAAATGCTCATACCAGTCGTACGGCCACAGGATGAGGTGGCCTTGGACCTTATTGAGAAGATCCTCCGCTCGTGCCGTATCCATCACATCATCTGAGGCATGGAACTCACGCTTCGAGCCGATAGTGGCGGTTCTTCGTCGACGTCTGCGGGACTGCGAGGCATTCAGATTTACTGCCTCAGAGTAGTCGACATGAACGGAGTTGGAGCGAGGTTTCTCGGCATCTTCTCCCGCGGCGGGATTCTCAGCATTCTGCAGACTACCCACGAGCTGAGGATCAGACTTCATCTTGAGTGCGGCCTTCTCGTCAATGGATGATAGAGTCTCCTGTTTCGCCAGCTCAGATTGTGGACGTTCCGCCTCGGTTCTTGTGCGCTCGACCTTGCCGAGTTCAGCTTTCTCGTCAATGATTTGGGGTGTTTTTGCCTCGACGGACGGTCCGGAGATAGGTGACCCAAGAGATGAAACACCTGGGGAAACAACACCAGTAGAACCGGCTTGTTTGTGTTGAGGAGCGTTGGAGGGCTTGCTGCCGTTTTGACTTTGCAATTCTGCGAATCGTTCTCCGTAGGCGGCGAACTCCTTGTATTCCTTCCAATTCTTGACTTCACTATCTGGCATGCAGCGGAATACAGATCGGAAGATCTTGGTGTTCTTTTCTGCAACAGCCAGCCAAGTATCTAGATAGAAGGCATCGTTCACTGGATCCCTCATACAATCCTTGTCAACGAAAATGCGCTTCAGGTCGGGGACGAACGGTTGCCCAAATCTGGAATTATTGTGGTTTTCTTTGGAAACAATAAGGCCGGTACTTCCGTTTTCCGACTCGCGGCTAGATGACCCGGAGGTACCGTGGCCATACGGAGGAGTATCGGAGTTGGCATTGGCATTGGCATCGGAGTCTCGAGAAGGTTCGGCCGAAGATCCTTGCTTGGCATCTTTGCGGGTTGAGGCGGTTCGAGATGGCTTTTGGTGTGTGGACCGTTTCGGTTGTTCAATGGTGCCCTTGCCTTCAGGTGCAATAGGTGAAACGAGAGCCTCTCGCCCATCTGGCGTCATTTGTGAGTCACGGGCAACACTCAAGCCAGCTTCCTCGGCAAATTTCAGATTGTCAGCACCATCGCCGTCCACATCCTTCGTATGGTCGGAGTTTGAGGTGACTCGTGGATCAGCAGTCAGCTTCCGGTTGCTTTTGAGGTTGGGGTTGTTGCCTTGCTCCCAGTCAACATCGTGGTTGAAGCTATGCAACCCCTCGGAGCGGGACAAAAACTCGTCCTGGATACGGTGTCGGCGCTCCATCGCATCTCGTTCATCTTGTCGCTCAATCATCGACGACTCTGAATCAACTTTATCTTGGTTGTGAGCCGAATCGCGACCCTCTTCGACGACCTGGATTTTCCGCAGTTCTTCTTCGGTGGCAAAATCATGCTCCAGGAGTTCGTCGACGTCAATTCCCAAATGTTCCCGCATCAGGCGCATGCGGAGGGTGTGCGGGAACCGTCCAACAAGGTAGGGCTTGCCGTTCATGGTAGACTGGATCATGTCTGTGTCCCGCACGATTGACGCAACCTCGGAGTCACGGGAACCCAACATAGATCGCTCATTGATGTTTGCTGATCCGATGATGGCAGCTCGGTCATCGACAACCATGCATTTGGCGTGGATATAGAGCTGCTCCGTGACAAGCTGTTTCTGCGGTCCGATCTTACCCCAGGCACGCAGACTGAAGAATTGAATGTAATCCTCGGGTTCAATGCCCAGCGCACGGAGGCGACCGAAGATCGAAGTCTCGCCTCGGCAGATACTGCGATATTGACATTGCATGATCAGACGCACACTTGTTCCACCCTCGCTATCCACCGTATTTTGGAAGCCCGGCATCAGTGGGATAACAATGACAGCCCGCCATGCTTCCTCATTCTTGGCTGCCCTAACAATCCGCTCTACCAAGGCATCTCCAATCAAGTTCTCGATCTTTCTGCCTTCGATTTCGCAGGTGCTGATGAAGAACTGATTTTCGATGTAGACGAAATGATCGGACTCTTCAATCAACTTGACGTAGGCATTCATGATACTATGCTCAGTGACATCTGGGGTTCCAGTTGACCACATACTGCTAGACCGCAGAATCTGGACCTCGCAAGTTCCATCGAGACCCAGGGCTTCCATGTCACCGGGGTTGAAGTCAGGAGGAGGTAGCAGGAAAGGCGTCGGGCGTGTAGGCTTTCGCTGGCGGAGAATGTAGTTCCAGCGTTGAACGAAGTGCCGGGTTAGATCCCGTGCAGGTTGACCAACCACATGCATGGAGATATCGTGCCAAGGCATTCGAGGAATAACATTCCGATCATACATCTCCTCGTATGGCTTGTCTAAATCATAGAAATCTTGGATCCGAGGATTTGAATAGTCCTTTCCGGGCCAGAGTTGACAATGATCAGCGTCTTTAGGCATGTCTGCTGTTTCAAAGCCAGTTGGCTTATCATCAGTCAGTTGGTGCTGGGGTGTATCCCAACGGCCAAAGCATAGATCAATGCCACCAACGAAAGCCAGAGTGTGATCAATGAGACAAAGTTTCTCGTGATGAGCCCAAAAGAAGGTATTCTGACGGAATTGGTTCGGTGATCTCTGCACGAAGATGTTCGGGTGGAGTTCAAGCAGGGAGAATTTGGAGTATTCCGAGTCAATCGGAATAGCGGAGTTGATGTTCCGGTACATGATGACAAACACCTTCACGCCTTCTCGGGCTTTTTGCTGGAGAAGACGATCCAGACGCCACTTTTGGCTAATGGCAGCGGGCCGTCTCATGTAAAGCTCCGGGCTCAACCACCAGTCGTGAATATAAATCACATCCTTTGCCTGGTTGATTGCTCGCGATACAACCCACATGTGGTCGCGGGCATCGACAAGCCACTGCGCAAAGCACTTTTGTCGTACCGGGGCGAAACTGTCGAATCGGTTAGGGTTCATCCACGGTGTGTTTGCAGCCATAAATCGAATTGAATCTTCGAATTGTTGGAGCTGACGTTCGTTTCGAGCCAAGAGTTTAAGCTTGCGCTCGGAGTTCTCCAGTCGAAGAGTATGATGCTGAGGATGTCTAGCGGATTCCTTTGCAGACTTTGCGAGTTCCTTGGCTTTTTGATTTCGAAGGCTGATCTTCTGCGTTTGGATCTTGAAATAAGGGTCAATAAGGAAGACATCGTAGATGTTCATCTCCTCAGGAGAATCCACACAGACCACGTAGCTGTGGCGAACAAGGAACCACTTCGGCCAGTGCCGTTTTTTAATCAAAGAGGGAGTCAAAGCCTTCCGAAAGTCGAGCCCTTTCGATGACTGGATAATCAAAAAGCCCTCCTTTCCGTGATAGCTTCCTTCCGCGGCAAGACGAACACCGAGAGCAGACAGCTCAAGAAACTTGCATAGTCGATTGCTGTCAGCTCGGAAGATTAAGAAACGGATCATCTTCTGCAGATACATCTCAAGCTTCTTCCGCTGTCGTTCGGGATAGGTTTCCCGTTTGCCAACAACACCTTCACCTGCTTCCGATTCGGCATTTTGGTTCGTAATACTGGACTTCCGGCGGGCGATACCAGCAGAAGGCCGTCGTTGGTGCGATTGGGTCTGCTTCTTCTTCCGGCTGGGTCTCTCAGTGCCACTTGCGGCTGTTTCGTTGCCGGTCTCATATCCACCTTCTTCCTCCTCGTCTTCGAATTCGCTTTCCAAGCCTCGAACGCCACGCATGTAAGGGAAAGCACTTCGCGGGAACCGCGGAATGCTGGGGCTGTTTTCGCTTGTCCGGAGTTGGATGTATTTCTGGGTACCAAGATGAAGTTTATACTTCAGATGCAGGTTCGCAAAATCTCTCAACGTCCGGAAAATGATCCATTTCATCCGCGTCATGCCACTTCCATATTCAAGCTCAATCCGAAACACGAGGTGACGATCGCCGGAATGCGAATCGATGCGGCTGTCCGTGACCCGGACCTTCAATTGCTCCAGCAAGATAGGAATTCGCTTGCTTCCATGTTCATCTCTTTGGAAAGCACTCGCCAATATCAGCGCGGCTGGCACAGCCGAGGCCAGCTCGGCAAGCAGCTCTGCAGACTTCTTATTATCCACCGTATTGTCGATCTTGCGTCGTTGTCCAATTAGCTTGAAACCGGCTTTGATCTGCTTCCATCGCTGTGCACTAGCACTGGTTCCTCGCTCTTGCCGATGGCGTCTCCAGGTAGCCGTCAAGCCTTCTGCATTATCAGAAGGCCCGGCAAGACCAGTAAATCTTCTCAATTGACTTGGACGCTCGTCCTGACTGGCTTGTGCGTCCTGGTTGCGTCCAATATATGACATGCCACGAGTCCCACCCCAGCCAGGTCTTTTTCGCCGATTAGTGAGTCTATCGCGACCCTCATCTTCGGAGACGCCCTCTCGTTGCTGAGGCGTGAAGTCTGTGGTGCTGGCTCGCCGAGGGAAGAGATTGGTCCGGTAGTTTTCGAATGGAGCGAATGACGACGAGAAATGAAAAGAAGGCCGGCGATTCGTCTTCGGGGTGGTGGGAGCCGTTCGAGTTCCTGCATCTTCTTCCTGCGTCTGTCGTCGTCGAAAATGTCTCTTTTTCTTGGGGAGGTCACGCTGCTCCCCACCACTCTCCTCAGCATCTGCATCGATATCACTTCCTTCCTCTGGCAGAGGCTCAGGGAAACGAAATTCTCCGCGTTCAGAGCCCGGCGTTACCATATCAGGTGGGGGTACCCTGAACTCTCCAATGTTCGGTCCGCTGGCAGATCGTGAATGCGAGCCAAATGGGGGCGATGCGGCCAATGATTTGATCTTGTTCATGAAAGATTGTCTTCCTCGTGTTTGTTCCGGATCGTCGCCGTATAATGAGGTAGGGCGCGATTGTGGCTGTGATGGGGGTAATTCCGGAACTTCGTTTTCTGTGTTCTGGAACTGAACACTCGGGGCTCGAGAAGGAGGAGATTGTCCGGAGATTGACGTCTGCTGCTTATGATGCTTCAGCGATGGCGGTCTGTCCTCGGCGGTGGATCTGTTGGGTAGTCGAGAGCTCAGGGATGGTCTTTCTTTCGGCGAGTCTTGCTGTGTTGATGTCGAGCGCAGATTCTCCTTACTCTCCCGAGTCCCGTCAACGCCTGTCGATATTTGCCGACTCGAAGCGTTCTGGATTTCTTCCGCGGACTCCGCCGGTTGAACCATCTTGAGCGAGGCGGGTCGTTTGGTGTCGGTGGGAGAAGGAAACGGAGAGGCTAATTTCGGGCCATTCGACACGGAAATCGGTTGGGGTTTCTTGGATTTGTCCGTCTCAGAGCTGCGCCCTGCCTCCCTTTGCGGGGAGGAAGGCATCAGGGTGTCGGTCATGCTGCTCTTAGGAGACGATCGTCAGTTGCAGCTCCTGGTAGCCACGTTCCAGTCCGGGTTTTGCATACATGCGAGATCAATCGAGACCCTATATTAGCAGATCGGAATGACTCGTTGGCATCCTATGTCGACAGCCAGGGATTGGGTAAAATCAATAGGGGAATGGCACGGCGCACGCGACTGTTGACATTAAAGGAGCGTTGGTGGTCGGGTTAGTTCGCACCTGCGGTGGAGTTCCGCCCCATCAGAATAATCTCTTTGACTGGAGAAAAGGCCCGCCAAGCTACCCAGGCGGGCGGTCAGCGGTGTAAAAAGGGGAGGGGGGGGGGGGGGACGATGTTCGACGATGATCACTGCAGCGGATGCAGCACGGATTCAGGGGGCTTCGTCCGAACGGATGTCGCTGTGAGTCGAGTAGTGGTGGCCAAGTGTCATCTTTTGGTCCTTGCACTACTTCTCAGCGCGGTTTGTGTTTTGCCCTTTTGAGGCACGTTTCAGCCTTAGGCATGATCACGTGGTGACGATAGGGGAGGCGAACTATAACAGTGTAGTATAAACAAGTCAAAATACCTCGATATGGTTGTCTAAGGAAGATACAGGATTCTAGAGTACCAGTCTTGACTATGCATAGGTACTACTCATTGGCGCGCCGTCCAGAATTAGTGGCAGGCGTCAGAGGTGGAGCATCGGTACTTCGCCCGTTAAAAGGGCCCTCGGCTCCTGCACGATATACCCGAGTCGCCTAGAGAATGCTACTTTTTCCCCGCCGCAACTCGCTGGGACAACATTTATCTCTCAGATAAACACGACAAACGCTCAATCTATCTCTCGGAAAAGCCTGAAAACGACCTTTTATGCCCATTGATCTCACCAGCAACCCTGCAACGGACGAACAATGACTGATCCTATGAAGACTCTCGACGACTCGGATCGTCCCAAGCCCACTCCGGTCTCACAAAAGGCATATGTAATTGCCGGAATTTCGGTCACTGTTTTCGGGCTGGAGGAACTTCGTCCTCAAGCAAAAGATGTAGCCTGTCTCTGGTTGCTACATCCTCGATTGGCAACGCAAGAACGTATGAGCGGCATTGCAGCCTCCGCTATTGGCGATTGGAATGGCAAAACCCAGCAGACCCCCTCCGCCAAAGGGTTGATTGCTGTTTCTTTTGATCAGCGAAACCACGGCACCAGACTGGTTGATCCACTAGCCAATGAGGCCTGGAGACAGGGTAATCCCCGCCATGCGCAAGACATGTTCTCCGTCTTTCGTAAGTCTTACAATACGCTTTTCTTATCATGATACCTACGATGAAAGCAAATTCTTACTAAATTGGATGGTGCTTCTAGAGGGCACGGCGCGGGATACATCTCTACTGATGGACTATCTTGCCTCGTTCATCTTTCCTAATGGAGAGCATCAAATTTCGGAGAATCTAGTTCTGGGTGTGTCCTTGGGCGGACATGCTGCTTGGAGCTGTCTCTTACACGATCCGCGAATGACCGCCGGAGTTATTATCATCGGCTGTCCAGATTATCTCAATCTCATGGTAGATCGTGCTCGTTTGTCAAAGCTGCCGTCATGGACCAAATCCAACCCGCCTGGATCGGAAATCTTGGGCTCGGAGGCATTCCCAAATTCCTTTGTGGATATTGTCAAGAAGTATGATCCTGCAAGCCTCATTCTTAGTCATATGGATACTGGTTCGTCTGGTCCAGGACGCGAAGGTCCTCTGCCTGAGCCGACAAATAAAGAGCAGCACCAGCTTCGGCCGCTCTTGTCACGCTGTCTAGCGGGAAAGCGTATCCTGAATATATCTGGTGGTGTGGACAAGCTCGTTCCTTATCATCGCGGAGAAGTCTTTCTTACTTGGTTCAAGAAAGCCATCGCTGCCAATGGGTGGTTCGGCGATGGTGGTGTGACTTTTGAAGATATTATTGATCAGTCAGCAGGGCACGAGGTCACTGCCAACATGGCGGATGAGGCTATTCGTTTTATCAGCGAGACACTCGCGGCCAGTGACGACGATCGGGGTCGCTGGGGCTCTGTTCGAGAATCCAAAATTTGAGTTTCGTCATATGTATATAAACAAGTCTGAAAAGTCCAGTGTATATACTATTCATTAGGATTACGACAAGCGCAGCCGGTCCCTAATTTTTCAATTATCTAGTGAACTCGTAGTCCTGACTTTCTTGTTCTATTCAGAAGCAAAGTGAGGTAGATGTTTGGCTCTGTATGTAGACCATCTGGCCCTAAGTCAATTTATTTGCCATTTAAGCCCCAATCATCAGAAGTGGATCCTGTTTACGAAGTAAGTTATTGGGCAGTCCATCGCATAGGTTGTTCGATAGATGATCACTGGAAGAAACTGCGGTCCTCGGATAGACAGCCGAGTGGCCGAAATTGTAGGAAAAAGCCTTTGCGTGATGAGTGAAAGAGAAACAACTTCACCCCATGATTGCATTCTACTCTCGAATATTTCGTAGACGTCATTCACATACGCACAAAAGAAGTTCCTACGTAGAGATCCGAGAGTCGAAGGCGCATTGCAAAATTGCGGACCACCCAAATAACGACTGGATCCATGATTCACCGCGGGAATCTGTCATTATGACCATAATGCACATGGAACATTCGACAAGCGACGTAATCCTAGGCGGGAAGAAGCTTAAATCAAAGGGCACAGCACATTTGAAAAATTCCTCCTTATGGTATTTGTTTAACACAATTGTGAAATCGTAAGGGCATTCGGAGGCCATGCTATGCTGATTGCATACACAAAAACCCTTTTTCTTTTTCGAACGCCAGAGCCACCGTCTTGACTCATGGCGGTCTTTTTTCGAATTCCGATCGTCCTCCTCATTGACAGGAAAGACTTTGATCCTCCACAAGACCGTTGCCCCGATTCACCCGCTTTCTCCAAAGAAAACACCGAATCAACGCTTATGCGACCAGCTCAACAACACCACCAGCCTCCTTGATCTTCTGCTCGGCATCACGGCTGAAGTAGCGGGCACGGACGACGACGGGGATCTGGGGAAGGCGGCCCTTGCCGAGGACCTTGGAGTAACCGAGGGGCAGGAGGTCAATGACGGGAGCGGTATCGGTCTTGGAGCCGCTCATGTAGGCATCGCGCTTCTCGGCGGGGACGAGGGACCAAAGCTGTTCAAAGAGAAAATTTCCAGTCAGTCCAACCGTCCATTTCGATACCAATTTCAATTCCCGTTGAATTCGGTCGCAATCACGTCGCAGGTTTCATTTCCGTTGTCTTCCTTCCGATACACACAGACAAGAGATCCTGCTTCGCTTGCTTCCTTCGGGGTCGATCGATTCGTTCGGAGGTAACGTACCTTGTCCAGGTTGATGGTGGGCTTCCAGAACTGCTGCTTGGTCTTGTGGAAGTAGCGCATACCGACCTTACCGAAGTAACCGGGGTGGTACTTGTCGATGTTGGTGCGGTGGTGGTGCTGACCACCGGCCATACCACGACCACCGGGGCTCTTGCGGTGCTTGCCGATACGACCGTAACCGGCAGACACGTGGCCGCGGCTAGGAGGAAAGAAACATGTTAGTTATAGGCGATTCAAGACGGTTGGAGAGAAGTGCGCCGGCGATGTCGAAATTGTCGCGCCGATCGCAGGAAAATTCGGGGAATGGCGAAAAGGGGTCGACTCACGACTTCCGCGTCTTCGAGAAACGGGTAGGCATCTTGTCGTTGGTGGTGTGCTCGACAAGACCGGTCTGAAGTTGGGCGTTGAAGGGGGAAGGGTCGTGGATACTTCCGACTCAGATGTTGAAATCCACGCTTGCGCCGGCTAGAGTGTGCGCTAGGCCCTTCGCTTGTCCCGTGATAGGGTCAAACCCTGCTCTGGGGCTGGTCCTTACCACGTGATATTGTCCTGTCACACCGCCTTCTGTGGTGGAGCAATGCCATCATTCTGCCACTGCCGAGTCCTTTCCACATACTTTGTATACAAAAGCTAATCAGTTACTCTATCGGTATTCCGTAATGCTTTTCATGATAGAACTTCTAATTAATAAGCCTTAAGATACCTGAGCCCTTTCAGCGAAAAAGCTGGAAAGACGTTGGACAGTCGCGTGGGCCGGCCGCGCAGACGAGGTAGGCACTAGGCTCCCTCGAATCCAGCCAGGCAACTTGCCTTGAATGCGTGGCGTCTCATAGCGTCGATCGATCATCACGATCGCTGCGTAGTCATTTACATGACGAATAGCTCGACCAATGCATTGGTTCACAGCTCGCATACAGGAATTCTCATAGAAATCTCTCCCGGCTGCGCTGGCGCGTGCCCTTTTCTCAGTTTCCGTTCCCAGCCCTTGCTTGTAGGCCTTGTCTTCAATATACTTGATCTTAGCTTGCCACACAGCGCTGCGAATGTTGGGGAAAGGGAGGCCTATGATAAAAACACCTCTTCCGAGCCTGTCCGAGAAGTTGATTCCCTCTGAAAGCTTACCACCAACCACAGACAAGAGCAATGCTCCCGGTCCTGATTCGACGTTTTCGGTATACTCTTGAAGCAGTGAATCCGTTGTTGTCGCTGTCGGCGCCTCGCGGGCTTCGTATAGTATCTTTTTCTTTTTCTCAATGAGACCGAATGTGGTTTGGCCATTCCCATTGGGGATCGGCTTCTTCCATACATTGATGACCTGGCTCAAGTAATCGTAGCTGGAGAAAAAGGCAACAACGCCATCTGGGATGACTTGGCACAAAGTTGCCATAGTCCGTCCAAGATCAATGATCTGTAGGCCAAATGTCAGTTTATTCGTCAAAGATGAGAATAGGGCTGGAAAACCGAAACGACTCACCATTTTCTCGGAACCCCGAGCCTCATAAGTGAAGTCGAACTCCGACCCCAGAAGGCCCTTGGTGAGCGGTTGAGCAACAAGATTTGTCGATGGAATGACGTGGCCGTAGCTGAAGGTGCCCAAGCGCTCAGGTGATACATAGGAGAACAGGTGATTCACGTAATCGGTCATCTATGCAATCATTTAGCAGACTGGAACCAGGACGGACGGAGTGAAACTAACAGGGGACATTGTTCCACCGGCCAGAATCACGGCTCGAGCATCTTCAACAATCTCGCGGAAGTGATTGGTTGGATCAAGGAGAATGTATTTCAGCAACACATCATCCTGATTCTTTTGGTAAAAGAGCCTGCCCTCCTCTGATGGGTTCATCAAAGGTAATAGAAAGCTCTGGATGTGAAATAGAATGGGCACTGTATTTCTGTCCCGGACTCGACTTGCCTGGGGTTCTTGAGATGACTCAACGTACCCATCGACTTTGCGAGCCAGCTTACTTTCCTGTAAATACCGGGAAAGTTTGTAGGGATTGATTTGATCCACCCCCTTTCCAGCCATGAGATCCGAAGATTGCACCGGGCCTTCCGGTGGCCCTTTTTGTTTAGAGATACCTCTCAGATGGTCGGCAATAGAGCTCACCAACCGGATGATCTGAGCAAGATAGCTTCGGTTCTTTCCTTTTAGCCGAGTTTGGAACTTGCGCGCATATGTAGTCAACTGGGAAATGGCGGTTTGCAGTTGGGACAACGAGACAGACACGGAATGGATGCCGGCAATTGCGTCCATGAGGTTGTGAGCCTCGTCAATTATGACCACATGATCCTTGACAGACAAACCAAGAGCCTCCCGAGCTGACCGCTGAAGTAGCAATGGATATGGCAGCGTGATGATCTGAATCCTTTTGTGTTAGCAATCCCTATTTCGTCAGTAGAGAGGATTCCGTCACTCACCTCACTGTGCTTGATGACCGGGCGCGATGCATAGTATGGACAGATTCCAATCTGTTTCCCAACCTTGCCAATGTCCTCAATGTCTTTCACCGTTGCCAGAGCATGGTCACGAAACCGAAGGATCAGTGCTTCATCGTCTTTTGACGGGAGATAAGAGCATTTATTGTCGGCAGCAATGCCCGACTGTTGTAGATCCAGGCACCGCTCATTGATTGCCGTACTATTTTCAAGGGCCCGGACTTTTGGGTTAATGCAAAGATTCTTGCGAGATCCTAGAGAGAGATGCTTGATCCGCTCTTCCAGTTTTGCGATGTCGTCTTTGTCCTCTGCCTCATGGTCGCTGGGTATGCTGGATGGGAAGTTAACTCGGCGCAGCTCTCCTGCGAACTGGCTGAGCTGCGAGTGTGTTCTTGAACAATAGAAGATTTTAATCGAGTCATCTTCATCATCTTGATCGGGCTTTTGTGAGGTAAATTGCCCCTTGAACTTCTCCAGCAGAGCTAGAGTACTGGCGGACAAGCCATCGACTCCGACAGATTGACTTGTTTTTTGTCTCTCATCCGCTTCACTATCATAGTCGTCCAGCACAAACTGGTTATCATCGTCCGGGCCAGGCTCCGATACAGGCTCATCAACTCGCTAATCCGGGATTAGTTGCTCGAGAGCTCTTCTGTACATTTCCTGGGGTCTCCCGTACCTGCTTCTTACGTGGCCGCTCTTGGCTTTCCTGGGCCAGCTTTAGCCGCTCTTCGTCTTGTTTGATCTTCGCCAATCGCAACTCGAACTCTTGTCTCTTCTCCGCAATGGCTCGTCGCGAATCGCGCTTGGCAAATTCGACCATCCATTCGGGCTCGTCATCGTCACCTGCACTCAATGTGAGACATGACGCAATAGGGGGTAGCTACAAACTTGACCGCAGAATGTTATTGCACATACATGCTGCCTGGTCCAACGTTTCCTGAAAAGCCTTGCGTTTGTGATCCCGGAGCCAGGTCAGGGAACCACAGATCAAGCTCAACGATTTCCCCTGTAAACAAGAGTCAATACAGTCGCGTACTCCCACCAGCCCAACCTTCGACTCGTATCGCCCAGCGCGGCAGACAATCCGAGTCTCTTTGGGTATGGATTTGCCTGGTGGGGGCCACTTACGGTACCTGCGCCCGCTGTCAGATCGGAGCAAACATCAGGGGTAGAGAGGGGACACATGGGTTAGCGCCCTTACCAGTGGGTGACTCGAATACGGCGACTTTACCATCTTCGAGACATCCGTACAACGCCTGCATAAACTGCAGCTGGATCTCGTACGGCGTAAACGGATGGTGGAAATCCTGCAGCAGCTCCATGGCGCAGGGCTGTTTCCACACGGAGATCAGCGCAAGTTTCTGGAAGTTCGACGATAAAAATAAACCGGCGCCGTTGAGTGGAGCCGGTCAGGTCCAGGAGAGACATGCTCCAGTGCCGGTGCAACCTCAGGGGTGGGAAATAATTTGCGGGTCTTGGGGTTCGGAGGGCGGCCTGAGTTGTGGGAAAGTCCAGCAGGGCTGGCAGATTGATGTGCCTCTCCGGCTGTGTGTATACAGTCAGCGCACCGGTTTATTTATACACACACTCATATACAGCAGACAAGACACACCAAGTCAGCTCGATTGCAGATCAGCACCAGCCGCAGCGCGCATGTCAGCCGGCCAAACAAAGCTCAGGCAATCTCCCGCAGGAGGAGGGGTTCATCGCGAGGCAGCGTCTGGCGTACATATTTATTAGGCCAAAGTGGGCTGTGGGTGGCTCTTGGCGGGCGAACTATTCTTTCCTGCCTTTCGCCCCGTGTCCATACATCAACCCCTCCACGCGGATGCTTGCTCCCAAGAGCCTCCCCAGGCGCTCTTCTTCAATAACCTGAAACTTACGAATTACACGGGATGAACAGGCCGCCGCAGGGCCGTGGTCCGCCTCGCACAGGAGCGACTTGGTATCCAGGGGGCCAGGATGACTTCTACATGCCAGAGGTCATCTCCCCCTCCCCCCAAAGGTACGTGCTATGATTCCGCTCTTCACGTTCATCAGAAGCCCTCAGAATGCCTCGGGTTCGAGTACTAATTCATCCCGGCAGGGTAATGCCTGAAGTCCCCGAAAACATGCAGGACAATATCGCTCAGATGGAGCATCACGCTCGCGACCCCCGCCGCGCCCAGCAACAGCCGCCCGCGCAATATCGCGCCCAGTTCCCCGAACGAACCTCCTCCGCCGTCCAGGGTCAAGCGCAGCAGGCCCAGGCCTACGACCATGGCGCCTACGCGCAGTCCGCAACCTACGACAGTATGGACCACCCCAACTTTTCACCGTTCCCCGTCCTGCGGAATCCGCCCCCGAATGTCCCTCCGACCGATGAGCAGCGAGAAGCCAATCTGGAGCGTCATCGTTCGGCGATTCTTTCAACAACCGACCCCGAAGTGCAGCTGTCATGGGCCCAGGATACGCTGGCCTTTGTGGAAGTCGCCGCGCAGAATGAAGCCCGCCTGTCTCTCACCCAACCCCCGCGGCCTCATACTCCTCAGGTGGAACGGCAGCTGAGAACTGACGCAATGAATATCGTCAGCTTCCTGGCTGAGCAGCACCACCCGCACGCCGAGTTCATCAAGGGCATGTGGTTGGAGTTTGGCAAGTTCGGTTTCCGGGTCGACCGGAAGGAGGCTTTCCGATGCTATTCCCGAGCTGCGGAGAAGGGATATGCTCGTGCAGAGTACCGCATCGGTATGCAATTTGAGAGCTCCGGCGAGCCGGAAAAGGCGATTCGACACTATGAGCGAGGTGTGGCCATGTCTGACTCGGCCTCATACTACGTATGTTCCGCTTGAGCTCTCTTTGGGTAATTTGAATGTGCTAACCAATTTGTTTCTTAGCGCCTGGGAATGATGATTCTTCTTGGACAACACGGTCAGCGCCAGGACTACCAGCGAGGATTGGAATACATCCGCCTGGCTGCGCAGTCTTGTGACCAGAATGCACCGCAGGGCGCCTACGTAAGTTTCGGTCTGTGCTTTCTTGAAATATACCGTACTAATATGACCATATAACAGGTTTACGGTATGCTCTGTGCCCGCGAGCTTCCTCAGGTCAGTGTTCCAGAGGCTTTTTTGCCCCCCGACCTCAACACTGCGCGACTCAACATCGAGAAAGCCGCATTCAATGGATTTGCAAAGGCACAAGTGAAGATGGGTGCCGCATATGAGCTTTGCCAACTTGGCTGCGATTTCAACCCTGCACTCTCGTTGCATTACAATGCGCTGGCCGCGCGCCAAGGTGAGCCTGAGGCGGAGATGGCCATCAGTAAATGGTTCCTTTGCGGTCACGAAGGCGTTTTTGAAAAGAATGACGAATTGGCATTCACATACGCACAGCGCGCGGCTCAGAGTGGTCTCCCCACAGCAGAGTTCGCCCTGGGATATTTCTATGAAGTTGGTATCTTCGTACCCGTGGATATCAAAGAAGCTCGAAGCTGGTATGCCAAAGCTGCTGCTAGCGGAAATAAAGACGCCTCTGGCCGAATCGACAGTATCTCTCGCTCCAAGACTCTTTCCCGGAAAGACCACGAGAAGGTCGCGATTTCGCGCATCAAATCAACACGCTATGTCGCTCACCAACGCGGGGGCTCCTTGGAAGCCACACCGGAAAACATCGAGATGCCTGATCCTTCTCGTATGACCTTGTCTGATCCACCCCCTTCTGCTGCTCCGTATCCTGATCGGCCGATGTCTCGCCCTCGCCAACCGGGTCAGCCTAACTACCAAATGCCCGACCCTCGACCCAGCTCGGCATTTGGTGTTAACCCCAACTTGCGGTCGAATGGACCTCAAGGCTATGGCGGCCCGCCTGGTCCCGGGTCTCGAGCTGTATCGTACGGCCAGGGACCGATGGGCTATCGCCAACCTGGCCCCGGTACACCAATGAGCGCACCCGCTGGACCAACCAGTCCACAGGCTGCCAACATGATCAGCCCCAGTGGCACACCTCGATTGGACATTGGATACTCCGCACCGGCTCCGCCGCCCGGCGACCGACGACGGCCTCCACAGCTCAATAATGCGGTAGGCCCTGACCGCAAGCCAGTGCGAACCCCCGTCTCCGCTCACGGTGGTCCTCTTCCTTCGCCTCGTCCGCCAGCGTCTCCTCGGTCGACGGGCTCCCCGTCTTCCGGCTCCTTCCCTCCTCCCCGTGCAGAGTCTCGCCAGCCATCCAGAGGATCAGCATCTTCTACGCCCCAGCCGCAATCGGTTCCACCGAGCCAGAAACCTGCCGCTCAGCCGGCGAAGCCTGCTGGCCAGCAGCCTAGCAAAGGCCCCAAGACTTTCGAAGAAATGGGAGTCCCAAGCGCTAACAAAGACAGCGATTGCGTACGTTTCCCCATACCTCATTGTTGGCTTTAATTATCTTCAAACTAACCAAATCTGCAGATTGTGATGTGATACCCTGGGTGAGGTTCTGGTCTGGATTTGTGGGCGTTCTCGTCTTGCATTTTAAATGTTGTAATCCTGGGTTATCTCAAAAACAAAGGTGATCGCCGTCCGGGAGGCGATTTTTGTTGATGTGCTGTCTTCGCTGTTGTTTCCCACATACTTGCATTTACGCTCAGGATTTCATCGCTGCCTGGGGCCTTTGGACATATGGTTGATCGGCTATCTTGATTTTCTAGACATGCGGCGTAAATCATTATGAACTTCATTTGACCGTATCTATCTGTCGTGGTATTTGTAGTGCGTGAATGCCACGTGGGTGTCGTTCGTCCCGCCCGACATCTTCCCGTGTCTATTTCCAACCTGTCTCCGCCCCGACACCAGACCTCGGTGGATTCGTTCGTCACCATGGCTCCTCGCAAGGGGAAGAGTGATGGGATGGCGTCCGGCATGGATGGTTGGTCTTCACCGCAATTAGAATTGACACTCAGATTCGAATGCTCGGATGGCTGACATCGAGAAGATACTACGATGATTCTCAACTACTTACGTGAGTCTTCGCTTTATGCCTAAAGTCCGCTTCGAGAGTCTGTTCCATCTGACACTGCCCTTCCAGGCGAACAAAAGTAGGTCATTACCACCTTACAGAGGGGGCAGTTAGTTGATAGTTAGGGGAATTTAGTCGTCCCTACTCGGTACGTACTCCTGCCAAAACGAGAAATGGGAGGCAGTGGCGAAGCAGTGAGCATGCTTACCTTGAGAGAACATCATGTAGGCAACCGACATATCGGCAAACTTGCACAACAAAGTCTCCAAAGGTGGGCTTAAGGTGTCATTCTTCTACAGAGTCCACACTGACAATGCTTTCTAGGACAAGCTGCAAAGATCCTACAGAAGTTGCACCAGAATGGCGAGATTGAGGAACGAACTGCAGGTGTGTCGATCTTCAAGCCCGTTATATGCAGCCCACTAAATGACGTGGGTGTATACAGGGAAGCAAGTCGTCTACCATGCTCGACAACAGATATCAGATGATACCAGCCCCAAGGGCCTTGCCGCCATGAACCGGGAAATTGATACGCTCCAGGATGAACTATCGACCATCAAAACTGATGAGAAAAAGGCCCGTGCCGCTCTGTTGGCCTTGGAAGCTAAACCTCGACTGTCCGAGCTGCAGCGGGATATCCAGCGGCTGAAGAGTGAGCAAGATGATATTCAAGCGCGCTTGGCGAGAATACAGAAAACCGAAGCCATTCAAGTTTCCTCCGAGGAGCGATCAAAGCTGGAGCACGAATGGAAAACATGGCAACGACAGGCTGTGATTCGTCGACGGATTTGTCGTGATCTGTGGGGACGATGCACAGAAGTGTTGCCCGAGAACACGACTGCGGCAGAGCTCTGGGTGAATACATCCTTCTTCCTTACCACACGGGCTTCTTCTTGGGTCGTGCCGGTGCTAACGTGGCTGACAGGAGTCCTTGGGGCTTGAAGGGACGCTCCAATGAGAGATGGTCGGGCACGGAGGCTACAGTTGGCGATCCCCTCGTCTCCACCCGACCACATCATTTGTCAAGCATGATTTGCGGCTCAGTCTGAGCTCCGCTCCGCTCGGAGCTCCCGCTAACTTACAGTGGTTACTTTTATCGCTCACGGTCATATTGCGCGAGTGCGGGAGGCTGGAGCGGGTTTATTGAAGACTGAGGCAGAGGGTGTCGCTTACCGTATGGATATGCTTATGAGAAGCCATGTTTTGTATACGGAGTATGATATCGGAGAGTGTATATCATACCTGCTTGTATGTGGATCTACATTTTTCTAGTACCGTTGGGCATCCGTTGAAATCACGTCAAATTTCCGGCTATGCTAGGCTTGCTGCTCGCTCATGCCCTTAGAGTGGGATGCTTGTTTCAGGTCTGCATTGATAGGAAAATATTGTCAATTATATCACTCGCGGCCTGCCAGACGAGTATAGGGAATACCTCCCAAAGAGGCAATTGAACGTATGATCACGCCCTACCAGTCGTAGTTGCAATCGAATGTATAATTATCATAGTATGAACTCGAGGAATATTCTCTAGGAAGACTTTTGTAATTTGGATTGAAGCCCCAGCAGATACCAGGCCACCCAGGCGTGCATTTTGCCTTGGCCGGCCAGGAATGGAGGCAACCGGGGCGAACCGAGACCGCAAAGCATCAGATGGACAGTGCAGATGGCCTGGTCGAGGACCAACGAGCGAGCCTGACGAGACTCGCTGGCCGCCGCCCGTCTGCCCTGGGCCTTCGCATCGCCTCCTGCCTGTCATCTGCCCTCCTCATCCGGGCGCTTCATGGAACTCAAGTCATCGACGTCGCGGTGGAACTGACTGTCCGCAGATCGCATTTGATTCACCGCCCGCTAGCTTCTCTTCCCCTCTCTGCTCCGATAAACCCCTCCACCCTCCACTTTCCTTCCCCATCGACTAGGCGATGCTGTCGGCCTCTCGCCCTCCTTCATCTCGCCCCAATCGTTCCGACATGAGAGGTCGCGCGCCCCTTCCGGTGCCCTCGGGGCTCCAGAATGGCCACTCCCGCAACCCGTCCAGCCTGGACATGGCTCGCAGCCCGCCAAACCCGAGCAACAAGAGTGAGTTTCCCCTCATGACCGTCGGGGGTTCCCGCCGTCGTCGTAACACCTTGGCTCATGTTTCCGCTTGTCGACGTCCAGATACCAAACATGTCCCCTGCAAATTCTTCCGTCAGGGTGCCTGCCAGGCCGGCCCCGCTTGTCCGTTTCTGCACTCTACTGACACCGCCGTCGACTTCGCTCCCTGCAAATACTTCTCCAAGGTAGGTGATGTCGAGAGCTATCCTCATACATATGGCTAGTCTTTTCAAGTTGCTTAGGTACTGACTGAGTCTGTTCTGCTCACTCCAGGGAAACTGCAAGTTCGGCGCCAAATGCGCTCTCGCTCACATCCTCCCGGACGGACGACGAGTAAACCGACCCAATGGCAGTAGCATAGGTATGGGCAGTGGTAGCCATTTGAATCTGGGTGGCCGGGTCAATCCGCAAGCATATGTCAACCAAGATTCCGCCTTGACCAACTCGGTGCTTTCGCAGCAGCGAAACAGCGGCCAAGAGCCACGATATGCCTCCCAGCTTCCCCAACAGGAGGAATACACCACCATGCCTGGCCAGCAGCAGCAGCCTGTTTATGACTCTATCCCCACTATTGATGCAGGATTGGCCTCCGATGCTGGCTCAAACTATGGATCCCCCATCGACGATGTGCGATTCCCCATGTCGCCTAGCGGCCGCCATCTCACAGCCCTCGATGCTCCACTCCCGGCTTCGTTCGATAGCCAAGGTATCTCTCATGTCGCCAGATACGGGCCTGTGGCTGCATCCATGCCTTCGAAATTTGGTCTGGAATCCCCGCCGGCGCAGAGACCGGGTCCTCCCGACGCATTCCGAAACCTACGCGACGTCGGTTACACCTCGGGTTTGAGTTCTGGATTGCGGAAACCGTCTTCTAATATCGGATCGTCTCCCCCGGCACCGGAAGATTCTGTTGGTCCCCGGTTTTTACATTCCTCTCGCCCCGTCAAGCCGCGTATGCTATCGAGCAGCGCCAGTGTTCCTCGGCCCAGCGCTCTCGATGACTGGGATGAGAATTTCCCGATGGAGGAAGACTACCTGCCAATGAACCTGCATGATGATGTTTTGACCCCTCAAGAAAAGTTGCGTCGGCTCTCTCGGACAGACCATGATATCAGTTCTAGCCACCGTGATATTAGTGGACTAGGCATGACGAGCTCCAGTTTCTCGAAAACCGGTTCCCCTCTGGCTTCTAGTCCTTCTCGATTCGGTGCCTTGTTCGCTAAGCAACGACAGAAAAAGGAAGACGAATCTGTTGGATCTTCTTTCCCTCATATTGGCTCTCCGCTTCGTGAATCGTCCCTGAATCCAGCCGCTAGCCCGAGCCTGGGCCCTATTGGCAGCCGCACCTCACACGATGGTTCCTCATTTGTCTCCAGCCCTGGTAGACAATCGTCCATGTCCATGATCTCTGAACAGCTCAGCGGAATGTCTCTGCACCCAGGTTCTGCTCGCCACTCCTCGGCAGGCCCAGGCCGTCTCGAAAGAAACATATCTTCTCAAATGACGCCCAGCAAGATCGAAGAGGAGGAACAGAGTGATTTAGTCTTCTCCATGGAAGAGGAAGAAGGAAACAAGCGCAACAGCTCCTCCTGGGACTCCGATACCAAGGAGAGCTCCACCGATGCATAATCTGTCTTGCCCTCCATCTACTTCTATCTCCTACCTCTCTACTCTCTTACCCTTCGCTACCATCACGACGACACGGGCCAAACGGCATTCAACCCCTTTGGACATTTTCATATCAAAAAAAAAAAAAAAAAAAAATGAGAACATTGGAGTTTTATCTGGTCACAACAGCATCGGTGCGTCGGTGCGAACCGCCAAAAACAAAAAGACTTTTTTCATCTTTCTCGGAAGTTCCTAAAAAACTCCACCCGGCATCTTCATCCGGCGGAGCTAACAATTCCAGAGGTGCTGGGTGTGATCTAATCGGCATACACCAAAAGAACCTCGATGGCTTTGCTCATCATAGACTGACTTCAGTGCTTTTTTCTTACTCGACTTCGGAATTCTTCACGCTGATGCTTTAAATTATGGCTTTGCCGTTTTTCATGGTTCAGTCGTTTACCTAGATCTTTTCACATTGTTTATCTCCCTTGTTCTGATCTTCTTTTCGTGCCACTGAGCTCGGCCTCTTGTATTAATTCCTTCCACTCTTCGAGATATTATGGTTGAGTGGATCATGTTTCCTATTATTGTCCATCCTTCTTGTCTCTCCTTTTCCCCGGCTATCTTTCCCATCGACTCTTCCGTCGTGCTCGATATTATGAGTCAATGACCCTTGGGTTTTATGGTGTTTCTCACTCGGTGTGTCAACTCTGTTACTTTTTTCGTCCCCGTATCTTGGTCCTGATCACATGTACAAATGGGAGATTTGCAAATAAACAGTTCACAAATACTTTAGAGCACTACAACCGCCTTCGCTGTTTTCGGCCTTATTACTAGTTAATAAGACAAACGGCAACATAACGCAGTCAATTGGGGACACTATGAACCTCCTAATCGTACATGAATATTTCCCTCAAACTCCACCTGGTATCCTGCCAGCACCCAGATGAAACACAGAAAATAGAAAAAGACGCCTCGATCTGGGGGAATGTATTGTGCATGGTCGTCGCGAAAGCAATAAAGTAACAAAAAAGGGTTCACGATCCTATTATGCCTGCGGGGAGTTTCCACCCAGATACATGGCGTCGCCCTTGAGATTCACAAACCCCTGGTTTTTCGACTGTGCTTGGATCTGAGCTGTATGTTCGTGCGTCGCGCGATCGGCAAGAATTCGACTATCACGTGCTTTGTTATCAGCAGCTCGAGCACTGTCTGCCTGGTCCTCGTAAAGCACTCTGTAAAGCTGGTCCGTGCCCTTAGTCATTTCTTTCACCATGTATTCAATGGCTTTAGGAGCAAGGGCGTCGATGCGAGCTGCCAGAGCTGTTTCCTCATCAGCACGCTGTCTTTTGGCTTCCTCGTCGCGCTCTTTTCGCTCCTCTTCGCGCTTTCGCTTGCGTTCTGCAACCTTCTTTCGACGCTCTTCTTTAGAGGCCAAGTACTTGAGGGAGTGGCAGAGGTTTGACTCCATTGGCGGGACGATATCCAGGGGCGGGGTGGAGAAAAAGAGCACATGGCCTTTATCATCACAGTGAAACTGCTCTCGAATATCGGCCGGGATGGCTGCGTTGGCCGCTTCGCTAAGATGATAGACTTCAATTGGGCGCGGCGCGTTGGGGTTTTGCATAGCCCCGGGAGGAACGCGGTTGGCGGGGTAGGGGCCATAGGGGGATGGTTGCGCGGCAGAATATGGATGTGTTGCCGGGGATGCTTGATAGAACCCAGCTGGAGTTTGCGGGGCGAAGTTGCTCGGTCGACGCTGGGTAGCGCCTTGATACATTTGCGGGTTCATCGGGCTTTGATAAGCGGCCGGTGGCATCGGGACAGCTGATGGAGGTGCAACCACTGGGTCTGCGGGAGAGACAGCCTGGAAATGAGGAGGCGGGATATTTCCTGGCCCGCCCATGGCAGCACCTGGAAGGGGATGTTGCATGGACTGCCGAGGTGTAGCAGAAGGCATAGGGGCTGGCGGCAGAGAAGGAGGTGGCGGGGATGGTGTGGGCTCCGGCGGCGGAGATTCCTTTGATGTGTTAGTCGCGGTGATTTTGCCGTCACTGTTCCCTCGGGGACTTACATTCTCATCGCGCGGACGACAGTGAACAGCACCCACAACGGGCGGCGCATTGTCTGCACCCCAGCTCGGTCGTGGGAGATCGTCGGTCTCCTTTGCATCTTCTTTCAAAAGATGCTTGATTGGGCTAGGAACCTTTCTGATCTTTCGAGGCACATCGAAGAGATCCATCTCGTAATCCTTTTCACGGACTTCATCAGGCAAGCAACTAGCCCAAGTCTTGATCTTGTTCAGCTTGTGTTTCTCTTCATTGTATCTTGCCTCGCAAACGTAGATTTCTTTGTCAGGAGCCAGATCTCGAGGACGTCCACGGCTATACCGCGTGAAGAACATAACAAAGCAACGATCAACAATCTCATCAATTCTGTGATCGCGGTATTGGCCAGTCTTCACCACTTCGTTCGGATAGAAGTGCTTTTCGAAGTGATGCACCGTCTGTTCAGGACGATAGTACCAGCAAGCATTGATCCATTTCTCACCCTCGTTATCTTGCCAGGTCCGATAAATTTGCGCAACGATGGGCTTAGACACATCATTCGTGTTTTGAATATGGACCCAGTCTCCAACCTTCCAAAGCTCGCCTCGGTGCAAGATGCCGTCTGGCAGAGGGAATCGGCCATCTTCCATAAGATACTCACTGTCGGGCTTCTTCTTCTCTTGCTCAGCCAGTTTTCGAGATTCGTTTTGCAGATCCACTGCATCTCGATAGATCTGACTATCGGACTGGTTGTACTCCTTGGCATTATTGAACATGAGATCCAAGTCTCGCATGAAGTGGTCCACAGAGTTATACTTCTTGCGCTTCGACTTGCGTTTGATGATATCGATCGCAATTGGATCTTTGATCTCCATATAGTAGTCCGGATAAGCAGCCTTGTCGGGAAGTCTCTCGAAATGGCCGATTTTCAGAAGGCCATCATCGCTCTTGAACTTCCGAATGCCCTTGAGAATGGTTTTGATTCGAGTTTCCATCGGCGTATCGACTCGCGGGGGACGTCCACGTTTCTTTCGGAGGTCGGGTTCATTCTTCTGGGAATCCTTCGGTCCACGCTTAACACCTGGCTTCGGGCCTGGCTTCTTCCTCCGTCGGCCTTCATCGTCAGAATCGTCTTCGTCGTCATCCTCTTCCTCCTCTTCCTCCTCGTCGTCGTCTGGCAGAGGATCCGCCTCTGGAATCTCGCCCAGGTCCGGAAACGCAGCTTCATCTTCGCTGATCACGCCCTTTGCCGCAGCTTTTTTGAGTTCCGACAGAAAGACATCCTTTGAGATGAAACCAAGGTCAGTTACATTCCATCACAAGCTGCATCGGCTGTGGCTTGGAGCGTTTGTGCATACCTTAATCACGAGTGCATCTTCATAAGCTTGCGACTTGGGGCGGTTGTAGGTTTGCGCGTTGTGGGAGATCTAGAGGGTTGCGACAGGTCAGCTTTGGGTACAAGAACAGCATCCAATCTATTGCATACCAAAGCGCAGTCGCGCACAAATTCCGAAAATTGCTTGTACTCGCGCTTGTTGATTCTTTGCTTGAGGATACTAAGCGCCATAGGCTCCTTGATAATGTCATAGTAATCCGGGACGAGGCGCTTGTTGACGCTGCGATGGAACAATCGCGATGGGTCATAACCACTATAATGGCACAGTAAGTTACTGAGCTTCACTTTCATCCGAGGGATTGTAGCTGCACTTACTCCGCCTCTCGATAATCGTAGATCGCGCTGGTGATATCCATCATGGCCTTCCATTGCTCGTCACTGATATCACCTTCGATGGAGTTGACGGGCTCTTCCGGCTGAGGCACCGACTGCTCTCGCTCCGAGTCCATTCTGTGGTTCCGCGACTACGCGCGTACACAGTGATGGGAGAAGATGCGATGGAGTGAAACTTTGGGAAGCCGGTTGCGTGCAGAAGAGAGGGATGGCGCTGTTTTGCGCGATTGCTGAGTCATCCGTATGTTACCATGTCAGTACCGACGTATTGTCACAAGTCAGCCTTAATTTGCAGGCGCAAAACGGTGATGTCGTGGTTTTTACTTCGACAGCGTTTCCAAGAAGACAACTGCAGTCTATGAAATTCAAAACGAAGTCTGGAATACACTAGTGCGTCCTGAATTTTGTCTATCAAGTCTCGGCACGGAGTATAAAGGTAATCTCTAAACACAACCGTGGGGAAAGCACATCCCTGTCGATCGCAGTTTCAAACCGGGTCGCATTCTTGCTGAATTGGCTGATTCAATCTGGCATGTCCAACCCGAGGCTCTTCAAAGACTGCATCTGCCAACTTCTATCTTATTTTCTTGACTACCGGTGAGCTCTGACGAACGTTCTGGCGACTACCCCACACCGGGCCCTAATCGTCATAGCTTCCCTCTTACTTATCGGGACCTGCCAACTCCCAAAGAGCTTGGCTTGCGCCGGAATTCTTTGTCTTCTTCGCATATCACACAGCACATACATATATAACCTTATCTCCAAAGACCCTCTGGTTTGTTTGCTCCTTTATATCACACAACCATGCGCTTTCGAGTACGAGGTCCTTCGGGCCAATCCACCGTCACTTTGGACGAATCGGCCACTGTCCACGACCTGCGACAACAGATTGCGGAGAAAACCAGTCTCACTTCCTACGATGTGAAGTACAACTACCCAGACCTCAAGCCTTTAAATCTCGACCATTTCCAGGCCGACCAACAACTATCCGAACTGGGTGTCAACTTGAACGGGGAACAGCTTATTGTTGCGCGGCGTGAGAGCGCCGCCCCGCAAAACAAGTCCATCTGTGTCCCTGCCAGCTCCACCTCCCAGCAGCCTGTTTCGCCGCCGACAATTTCGAAGAAACCAGAGAACCCCGCAGATGATCCGCCAGAAATTGCCTCGCCCGACCATGCCGGTACTTTCGTTCTTCGTGTCATGCCGGATGACAATTCATGTCTCTTCCGCGCGGTTGGCGCAGCGGTTATGGGTGATATGGACACAATGGTTGAGCTCCGATCTATCATAGCAGGTGCTATCCAGTTCAATCCTTCTGAGTACACTACCGTCGTTCTTGGGAAAAAACCTGACGAATATTGCCAATGGATTATGAATGAAGACTCTTGGGGTGGCGCGATTGAGCTCAAGATTCTCAGCGAGTACTTCAACATTGAGATCTGTTCTATCGATGTGCAAACGCTGCATATGTTTCAGTTTAACGAAGGAGCTCCAACTCGTTGTGTGGTGGTATATTCCGGTGTTCACTACGACGTCCTCGCGCTCTCTCCTTCGGATCCGCCATACACCCATGCCGACCCACTTGCGCAAAATGACACCAAGATCTTTGATGCCGTCGACCCAGTGGTCTTGGACAAAGCGAAGGAAGTGTGCCAGATTCTACAGAGCAGACACTACTATACAGACACCTCGGGGTTCTTAGTCCACTGCAATACATGTGGTCAATCGTTTACTGGGGAAAAGGGGGCAGTCAAGCATGCCACCGAGACTGGTCATTATGATTTCGGAGAGTCCCGTTGAGGTAGACACAAACCGATGGAATATCGAATGGTGAAGCATGCATTAAATTGGCGTATATTAGTGACTTTCGAGGCTCGCGTGAAGATAAGGACGGCATATGGCGCCTCTCAGTAGCCTTCGCTGTTTACAATTCAAAAAAAAGTCTGAGTTGGTGAAAGATATCGTGTAGTCAGAGCTGCATAAAATATCGTACAAATCTTGGTTCTCATAGCATGGCCACCTCATCCGCCTCATCGTCACCATCTTCCTCTTCCTCGCCGGACTCACCACTCTCTTCCGGATGACCTCCCCATTCAACGTCATGATGAACAGGCTGAGTAAAGAACTCATGCTGCAAAGCCTCCTCAGCACTGAAGCGTTTGCTAGGGTCCAGTTCCATAAGTCCAGCCAGGAGACGCGTCGCTTGTTGTTCACTCTCGGTCAAATCTTCAACACAACTGGACCATTTCACAAGCTTTTCCCAACTGTAGCCTTTCTCTCCAATGGTAGGGATATTGGTTTCAAAGATTTGCCCATGCATAGCCGCTGCGGTTTTCATGCGCCGGGTACCAAAGATACTTGACATCTCGATCATGGCGTCGATATCATCCGCCGAGTTGAAGAAAGGGAATCGACGTCCGAGTAGGGTCAGGAGGATGACACCTACTGACCACATGTCAATCTTTGTGGTCTGTGACGTACACTTGAACAGGACTTCAGGTGCACGGAAGCCTCGAGTTCCGGCCCGATTTGCTCGTCGTGAAGAGCGAGAGTCGTTTTTAGGGTACCCATTCGATAACCCTGAGGTTGGTGGGTTTTTAGAATAGTAGCTAGAAAGAATTCTGCTGCGCCGAACATAGGTCTGATGGGCACAAAGACACTGACTGGTGTACTCGGAACCTTCGCGCTGTCGGGTTAAAAGCTGTGTCAGTATAGAACTATCTCGTTGCTGACATAGCTCAGCTTACCTCTGCAAGACCAAAGTCGACCAGCACGCCCTCTTTCAGTTCAGGGTTGTAGAGAAAATTCCTGGGAATCAAGTCAGGTCCCGTATGGAAACAAAGGGAGTTTATTAAGCATACGTTGGCTTGATATCCCTGTGCAAAATATCATGTTCATGGACGGATTGCAACGCAGTCAGGAGTGATCGAAGGTAATGGCGCATGTCTGCCACCATGAAGGTGCGGTATTGAATGCGAAAGTCGGAATGTGGGAAGTAGGGCAAGACTGCAACAACCTGATCTTGATACCGAAATGCCGTAATCAGCGGGCAGACTGATTTGCAGCCCCGTAGATCGTGGAGCAGTTCTAGTTCGTTCTGGATCCGAATTGGACTGCTCGTGACATAGATCTTCTTCAACGCAACATATCGGGGCTGTTTGCGCTGCCCTGGTTCTCCATCAATTCGCCGCTTTTTAGAAGACGGACTTGGCCATGACTCTTGTTGTTGTGCTTGCGCGAAGACATCCCAATCGTTGTGATAATGGTCGTATAGCAAATCCTCTGCTTTATACACGGTTGAAAACGTCCCTTGATCAGACCATCTGTTAGTTCATCGATTAATCGAACGTGAGACAGAGCCAAGAGGTAAAAATACCTTCACCAATCCGATTCACCAAGCGAAATCTGTGGATAATGCCTGGAAATGTGTCTTCAAGCTTGCTCATATCTTCCCGGACTGACTCGTCCACCTCTTCATCGTAATTCTTCTGCCTCCGGGACTGTTCATTGTCATCGATCTCTAGTGCCTCCTCCACTTCCTCAAATCGGTGTTTCGGGTGCTCGGGGACTTGGTATGAACTGCTGCGCTGAAGCTCTAAGACCCCCGCTGGAGCACCGCGAAGGGCTGACATAATATCTGTTCAGCGGACGCGTCAATAACGAAAAATATCGTGTAGTAAGGCCGGTGCAAAAATACCAGTCTATAATTGTATGCGGAACACCAGTGGAGGGCGTAAAGTCCCAAAAGCCAGGAACGGAAACGAGGAATACCTCCATACACGCCCGGAGCCTCCGATTGTTTTTCTCCGGCCGCGTCGATTCTGCCTTTGTTTGTGTTGGGCGGTGGGAGGGCGGTGTCTCAAGAATCGCCCGAAAAGGGCAAAAGCCAAACACCGGGCCGATCAACAACGCCGCCTCTTCCCCTCAAACCCTCTTCCTCCCAACTGCCCACGCCGTCGCCATGGAGGACAGAATACAGTTTGACATCAACGACTCGCTCAAGTATTACTTGAGCGATCCGACTTCCGTCCCCACTCCCGATGTCGACCCCGAACTCCTCGACTGCGAAACAGACCCAGAACAGTTGTCGACCGCGCTGATCGACAATGTATTGAATCCGATTGTGGACGGGGTGGCGGAAAACCCTGAAGGGCTGAACAGGTCGTCATTTTTTGATTCATTGCAATTCTTGTTAAAGTATGGCCCAACCCTGACCCCAATAAAGGCTTTACCCCGCCATGAACCAGCTCTGAACTTCGTGAACTCCTGCAGATACACACCCTTCCTCCCTCCGAAATCCCTTAGCAAAGTTCTTGACCTGATCGTATCCGGTTTGTCAGTGGAGGCAGATATCATCCATGGCGATCTCGAATCCGACGAGCAGGATGCGATCCAGCAACACAAGCAACTACTGGAGATGTACGGCTTCCTTTTGCAGTGGGCTCTGTCCGCTGTGGAAGTGAAGGCCGCAGAAAAGCCAGCCGAAGCGGCGCCTGCTCGACGAGGAGGCACCAAGTCGAAGTCAAAGTCGGCCAAGGATGGCCACTGGGACTGGACGCCGCAGATCCAAATATCCATGGAAACCATGTGCAAGGTGATGAAGCTCAAGCTGGGACGCATTTTCTTGACCACTTCGGACCGAGACACATTCATCAATCTCTTTACGCGAACAATTTATCTCGTTTTGGAGAGCGAACAGCGGGTGAAAAGCATGACTATTCGCATGCATGCCTTCAAAGTTTTATGCATTGCGGTTAAGCACCATGGCCATGCCTTTGGTATGCATTTCAGCCTGTACAGACATTACAAGACTAACGTCTGTTGTAGGTGCCCAAACATCCATTGTACAGAGCTTGACATACTTCGAGCACCTTTCCGAACCCATGGCTGAATTCCTCCACATCTTGGCCGAGCAATACGACTACCCTCAGCTCTCCGATGAAATTTTGAAGTAAATAAGCCAGCCCCTCGGAACCTTGTTCTCTAGCTAACATGACCTAGGGAACTTGGAAACAAAGAATTCAACTCAAATGATACCCGCGGCCCGAAATCGGTCTCCGCATTTATCATCAAGCTGTCTGAACTTGCCCCCAGATTGATCATTAAGCAAATGACTCTTTTGGCCAAGCAGCTCGACAGTGAGGTGAGTTTGATGCTCCTTTCCCAATTGACTTGGGTCTAACCACTGTTTCAGGCCTACACGCTTCGGTGTGCAGTTATTGAGGTTTGCGGAAACCTCATCTCCGATTTGAGCCGGCAGGAAGAGCGCAGCGAAAACTATAAGACACAAATCAATGCCTTCTTCGACGTATTAGAGGAGCGATTCCTTGATATCAACCCTTACTGCCGCTGCCGTGCCATCCAAGTGCTAATGCGGATCTGCGACTTGGAGCAGAAGTTCCCCAAGCGCCGACAGGCCGCGGCTGAGCTTGCCGCGAGAAGCCTCGAGGACAAAAGCAGCAATGTACGACGCAACGCTATCAAACTTCTGTCGAAACTCGTTGCCACTCATCCGTTTAGCGTCATGCACGGTGGACTGCTCTCATACAAAGAATGGAACGAGAGACTCGATGGGGTTGATAGTGAATTGAATGCTCTCCGTCCTCCTGAGACGCCTGGGTTTGATGGCGATCTGACACAAGTTGACCCCGAGCTACTGGACGAAGCGACTCAGCTGCCAGACGACTCACCCTCCAAGGCGCCTCGAATGACCGAGGAGGAAAAGGCCACAGCCGTGAAGAAAGCTGCCGAGCAAGCCGCAACATCTGAGTTGCTGACCCGATTGCAGCTGACGAGGAAGTATTACAATGAGGCCATTCGTTTCATCGAGGTCCTCCATTCGGGATCTACCATTGTGTCGCAGCTGCTCTCCTCTCGAAACAAGAGTGAAGTCATCGAGGCCATGGACTTCTTTGTCGTTCTCGATGCGTACAAGGTCGAAACTGCCCGCACTGGTATCCGTCGCATGCTACGCCTGATCTGGACCAAGGGAAACAGTGACGAGGGCAAGGGTGTCCAATCGCATTTGATTGATTGCTATAAGGGCCTCTTCTTTGATGCGCCAGACTCCTTCAGTCCTAACGACTCTGCGAACTACATCGCCCGCAACATGATCAGTTTAACTTTTGGTTCCACCCCGGCAGAACTCACCTGCCTTGAGCAACTGTTAAGTACCATGATGAAGGCCGGTCATGTCTCCGAGACAGTGGTCGCCAAACTGTGGCAGGTTTACAGTGTCCAGAAAAAGGAGATTTCCAAAACGCAGCGTCGAGGTGCAATCATTGTTCTTGGCATGCTCGCCTTGGCAGACCCCGAGGTGGTGATCAAGGAAATTGAAGCCATGCTACGTATTGGCCTTGGTGGACATGGGAGGTCTGATCTTGTTCTCGCCAAGTACACCTGCATTGCCCTGCGACGTATGGTCCCTGGACGACAAGCCAAATCCAAAGAGATCGGAATCCCTAAGCTTGCCAATGATCACTCTGTCCTAACTAAACTTGCCGCCATGCTGGAGATTGTCTCTGAGAGCAAGGAGTGGTATGGCGTTGCCGAACAAGCTATTAGCGCTATCTACACCCTTTCCAAACACCCCGATGTCCTCTGTTCGGATATCCTTCGGCGAAAGACGCGTTTCGTCTTCCAGCCTCACCTGCAACGCCCTTCGTCTTCTCACACTTCCGCTAGTGTTGAAGAGCAGCGCCCTGGAACCGCATCCAGTGATGAGCAGGCCTCAAAGCCTAAGCCGTCTTCCGCGGCGCTCTCGCAACTTTTGTATGTTGTTGGGCACATCGCGATCAAACAAATTGTTCATCTTGAATTGTGTGAACTCGACTTCAAGCGTCGCAAGGCAGAACAAGAAAAGAACAAAGCGGCAGAGTCTGTTGCTCAGAATAACGTGGACAACGCTGAGGATGATGAGCTTGACCTCATCGGTGGTACTACCGAGGACGATTTCACTGATGCTATGGCTCACATCCGTGAGCGTGAGTTGCTTTACGGAGAGAACTCACTTCTTTCCAAGTTTGGCCCTCTTGTCGCTGAAATCTGCGCTAACAACAATGCGTATCCGGATCGTGACCTACAGGCATCGGCCACCTTGTGCCTGGCCAAATTGATGTGTGTCTCTGCCGAATACTGCGAGAAGAACCTACCACTTCTGATCACCATCATGGAACGGTCCAATGATCCTATCGTGCGCAGCAATGCTGTCATTGCTCTGGGTGATATGGCTGTTTCTTTCAATCACTTGATTGATGAGAACACGGATTTCTTGTATCGTCGTCTCAATGATGACGATGCTTCCGTGAAGCGTACCTGTCTTATGACATTGACTTTCCTCATTTTGGCCGGTCAGGTCAAGGTTAAGGGTCAACTTGGTGAAATGGCCAAGTGTCTCGAGGACGATGATAAGAAGATTGCCGATCTCGCTCGCATGTTCTTCACCGAGCTGGCAACAAAGGATAATGCTGTCTACAATCACTTTGTCGATATGTTCAGTCTTCTTAGTGCTGAGCGAAATCTGGAGGAGGCTTCCCTGCGCCGCATCGTCAAATTCTTAATTGGTTTCGTTGAGAAGGTAAACTTATCTGCTCCCTCTCCCTCCCACCCATGTCTACGTTGTGCTCACATTTTGCCTAATAGGAGAAACATGCTCGTCAATTGGCCGACAAGCTGGCTGCTCGTCTGCCCCGCTGCGAGACAGAAAGACAGTGGAACGACGTCGCGTATGCACTTTCACTGCTACCGCATAAGAATGAGGAAATCACGAAGACTGTCACAGCTGGTTTCACCAAGGTTGTAAGCGCAGCTGCTTAATGGCCTTCTCGAAACAGCACAGATGATGTATTAATGTTATTGACGACTTTTCTTTCTTGCCTGATTCCTAGGAATAGGATTGGTGTTGGGTGTCGGGCGGTTGGTGATGGGGTCCTCTGTCATTTATTTTTTCCCGTCTTAAATGAATTTACTATGTGCATTACTTCTGTTTAGGTTGGTCGTATCACCATTCGTCTAGCATAATACGTAGGATTTTCCCGTTGTTCCTGACCTCTGACATTGTGGCTCTTCTGCAGAGACGATATTTTGGTAATCCGGCTCGTAACGTAGTCTCCCGGTGGTGTCTGGTATTGATTACTGGTAGCAGGAATCTGCTCCAAATCGTTCGGAGGGCATTTGGAGTGGATGGCTCCCAAGAAATGACTATGAGAACCTTTCCAAGCGGCCGGAATAGCTTATTGATGAGAGCGGGCTACGATGGGAGATGGAGAAGCCCTTCAGGGATGGGCCACCTCTGTGTGATGGGTTTCTCCATATTTTTTCTGAGATGAAGGAAAGATATGGCAAGTTGTAGGGTAATGTGAAAGTTCATTACTGATGTGACATTGATTTTCTCTGGGCTTGCGATAACTGGAAGTTGAATTCAAAAAATATTGGGACGCAGATTTGCTGTCGGTATCACAACAGGACGTCGCAGAATGACATGTATTAACTGTAGGAAAACGTGGCCATTCACCGACAATTTACATCTACCGCCCCTTGAACGAGGGACATATTTTCCCCCAGCGTAAACTATCTTGTTCGAAATCTAAGTATGTGAAAAGGGGGGAAAGCTTCACAGAATTCCTCGCCGAGTGCTATGTATTTCCGCGTGTAGAAGAAAGGAAAGACGCCGTATTCGATGGTCGATGGTCGCATGCCAGATACGCCATGGATCAATCCACCCCGCAAAAAAGGCAATAAATGAGACCATGATCAAGTCTATGCGCCCTGCACTGTACTTTCTTCTAAGGCAAATTCTCCAGACCGGATGCCTTGGAGGACCTTTTGGCCCTCCTCCGTCAACTCCGGTTTGCCCAATGGAGTCACTGCGCCGGTGAAGAAGCGCGGCTTCCACTCCACTTCCTTCTCCTTGCGCTCGGCGGCTCGCTGGCGCTGACGTTCCTCGATATCCTGCTTGAGCTTGGTCGCCTCGGCGTACTGCTTGTTCAGAATGGCACTTGTCACTTCCGACCAAAACTTCAGAGACTCGTTGGATAGCTGTTGTTCGGTAGGCGGGATGTCTTTCTCGGCCGGGAATAGAGGGGCGATGTCGATGAGCAAGACGGGCTCCTTGCTTCCAACTGGGGTATAGTAAATCTTGCCATGCCAGGACCCGCTGATTCGGGCAAGAACATCACTCTCCCGCACATCCTTGACCTTTGTCACGGTATCGTTGTCGGGGTCGTAGCGGAAGATCACTCCCTCCAGGCGGTTCTGAGATCGCCCAATCCAGCCCTCTTCCATGTACTGCAGGATCGCCTTCATGCGTGTCTTGGGACAGGTCATGTAGCATGCGTCAGACACTGTGATCGACAATGCACCGCGAAGCAAACCTCCAAGGTGTGCGTGCGGGTGGGTCAATTGATATTCTTCGTTATCCCTCTTTTCGATGTTGACAAAAATACCCAAGTTGTGCTGGCCGGGGCTCACTCGAATACTCGTTCCAGTGAATTTGGCGCTGAGCTGGTCAAAACCGCGTGCCGAGACACCGCGTTCCGCGCAGTCGATATAGAAGGCCGACACGGGTGGATGGTGAGAGGTCTGTTCGGTCAAATACGAGATCCTGACTTTTTCATTGCCATCTTCGACGGAGGTACCGTTGCCGTTCGCGCTGACTCCGGGAAGGTTCGCTTCCTCCGGGACGAAGTCCGGTACCTCCCAGCTACACTGTTCAGCCGACAGCAATATCAGTATCTGCCATTTGTCCACGTGGTTATCTCACAATCCCTGACTTACGCGGAAGAATTCGCCCAGCGTCGAATTGTATGGCTTGCATGGCTTTCCCTTTGATGTATTTCTGTCCAACGTTCAGCATAGTTCCGATCGGCGATATTTGATAGTCGAATATACCAGGTCCTTGGTGAACCAAAACCGTAACACCTCGAGCATGCGCCCTAATTCATCATCCGACTTGCCAATGCTGTAGCTCTCGGGTCAGCACATGAGCGACTGCCATTAATGGGCCACGTTGCTGACCTCGCAAAGGTCTCCGGTCGGTCCAGATAGTTCCAGTATTCTTTGGGGCCCTGTATCAGCACTCGTTCCTGTCAAGATTGTCGCATGGGATTCAAGTCCAACGTACCCAGATTCGGTCGCGGCTCTAGGAGTTGAGCCGGCAACGAAAAGCGAACGGAGGCGATATCTGTCACACCCACGAATCTATTTCACGGTTGCATCAGTACTGCATGACAAACCCCGGAGCGAAGGTTTTTCGCCCTCTCGAGTAAGACGACGCGCGGGCCATACTTGCGCAGAATGGACAGAAACGTCTTCAACTTGGAGGAGTCGTCGGGGGTCTTCTCGGCCACGGCGGACGACATGGTTGCTCAGGTGGCGGGATGGGGAGGGGGTTGCGCGGGTAGCAGGTATGCGTTGGGGATAGATCGCCTTGTGCTCCAGGCAGAATGCTGTGCGAAGTGAGGAATGACAGAAACGGGCAGAGTGCCCTTGGAGAGAAGTAACGCGCCCGAAGTCCCAGGAAGATTCCACCAAACCAACAAAGGAGATGTGGAAGCGCCGTTGTCGAAATCCGAGAGCAGGCGGTGACGTGCTGTTTTTTTGCCCGGTGGAGAACAGGGAACAAGCCAGGCGCAAGTGGGAAATTGGAGGGAAACAGGCCCTTTTCCGAAGCAGCTGGGGCCTTCCCAAGAGTTGGATGGGTCGGGTGGGCTGCGCACTGGGCCTGATGACGCCGTGGCGACGGGACGATGCCCGGGGTCTGGTACCGAGTACTTGCTAGAAGTCAGCCAGACGGGCAGTCGGTGAGGTACTCGCTACTTCTCAGGTCCTTAATACACAGCTTCACAGGTTTCGAGTCGGCAGGACGTGCACATCACAATATGTAGATACTAAATTTCATTGCTGCTCATCGAAAGCCCCGCTGCCCTCCAATCCGCTCTCCGGCGATGCTATCAACGTTCGAAGCCCCCACGGTCTTCTTTTGGGTTTGGAAGATCGACTGGGGTAACGGCCAGCCAGGTGTAGGCATGCGAGCACGGGATGCCCTCCCAGCGTCCTGCAGGGCCCCGACGAGAGGTGATATACTCCCACGCTGGCCAATCGCTGCACCACGCTTTCTCTCTCGGCCTGGTGGGGTCATTTCTATAAAGATGTCCTGCTGGAAGTGACAACAGCGATATATTTAAGCATAGTAAACGGTCATCTGCCCTGTCACCGGGCCCGTCATCCAACTTTCAAAGTGCATCACTTGCGTACTACATAGTCACTAAAGTATATTAGGGTTAAACACATAGTATGAGACCGCATTTGAAGCAGAGCAAATCAAAAAAGGGTATTGATTCCAGGCTGGACTGGAATGATGAAAAATAGGAAAAAGAGATAATCATGGAATACAACGCCATCATTTCCAGAACGCCAAGTGAAAGGAGGAGGGTGAAAGGAGCCGACTTGAGTCACTTCAATTGTATCGAGGCAGTAACTCCGCCAGTTGCTGCTTGCGCGCGAGACAGCGCAGCCACGTTCGCACAGCAGGTCCATAGTCATATCGCCGTCCCTTCGCATGCTCGTCATCTGCTTGTTGCATCTGCTGCTCCTCGCGGAGGCGCAACCGCAGGTCGCGTTGTGCGCTACGGAGGGTTTCCTGATGCTGGATGAGAGCTGGCAGCGAGGCTTCTCGATACTGCGACAAGCTGTTGTCTGGGGCGAGTGCGGCATCGATCATCGCGCGGGTGAGACCGAGCGATGTATCGGGCCCAAAGGAGCTCTCAGTCTCCTTCAAGGTCGTCGCCTGTTCTGCCAGATGGCTAACGAGAGGGGAGGGGTGGTTGGTGAGCCGGTCCGTGATGATTTCGAGGCTTCGGATGTTGATAGCCAGCTCCTGCTGCAGGTCCGGGAGCGGATCTCGGACGAGTCCCAAGATCGAGAATTCGATCTGCTCCTGTTCATATGCGGCCATGCGCTTGAGGATGTCGGGCTTGGCCAGCTCCAGCCAGTCTTCCTCGGCGCACTCGCCGAGCGAATGCGGCTGGCGTTCCAAGCCATCAAATTTCCAGACCTGGCCCAAGGCTGGCATAAATGCAATGAAATGGAACGCCGCCTCTGCCTCGCCAAGATCCTGGCTCGAGCTCTTGGAGCTTTTCTTAGGGCTCGCATCCGTCCTCAACTGAAGATCGGCATTCAGGATGTCCATTTTACTAAGCCCGAGTTAGTCAGGGAACAACGTGAACCAGCAATGGGAGATAGGCTAGCTAACCGTGCAAATGAATTGTGTACCCTCTTGACGAATTCGAAATTGTTGATGGCATCGCCTCGCAGTGCGGGCGTGAAGGGCATGGTGAATTCCTTAAAGTGTCGCAGGTTCTCTCCGAGGTCGATGTTGGGAATATTGTTGACAATATTCAACATGGCCACACTTGCGCAAGCATTGCTCGCTGTCTATTAAGCAACATTAGTCACAGTCTCGAAAATGGGGAATCCCAGGGTGGGAGCAAACCTGATTTGCAAACCAGATCCCATCTGGGCAGGTAGCTTCTTGCTTCTTGACATCATCTTCCCTCCAACGGAAGAGAAATATCAGGCCGTAGATAGGCTTGCTGTTTGAATCATGTCAGCTCTGGCGCAATCCCCTCGGCTCCTCAAAGGGCCCCGTAACTCACTTCAGAAAGACCATCATCTCTTCCTCCAACGACACCACCTCTTGGACTTTGACGCCTCGAACGCCAAATTCACGCAGCATAACGTTGAACAGTGCCTGCAATACGAAATCAATACTTGTGACTAGAACTTCGGTATAAGTTCAAAGGAGACTGACAGGTTCCGACTCAATCTCGCAAAATCCATTCCAGCTGGTCTTTTCGAGATGTGTGGCTGATTGACAGATCTCATCGCTGCAATCACCTGCCGGGTCAGCCAGGCGCCGCCGTTTACTCGGTGGTCCCATTGTTGATAAGCGGAACGAACCCCAGCGCAAAGTTGAAAAGCGAGAAAGTAGGAAAGCAGAGAGAGAAAGCAGGGAAAGATGTAGCGAGGGAGAGCAGAAAGAGCATGGCCATGAAAAGTATTGATATATAATAGTATCTGAGTACAGGTGAACACCGACCGCACTGAATACGGCCAAGCGTGCCAACATCCCGATTAGATAATACAGGATGGGCTCATTCACCGCCTTTTGCCATCTTCGCCCATCATTCAGATCATGTTGAAAGATTGGATCTGTTTTGCTCCGCATTTGCATTGAATGGTCGTTTGGGGAATTTGCCGTTGTGCGAGCACCCGGGGATGCTATTTTCTCCACGAACGCCCACAGTAACTTCCAAGAGTGCCTTCTGAGCTTTGTATTTTCTGCCTGTTCCAGATCAATTATGTACCAGACCGCCTGGAGCTCGCAGAAATGCTAGCGGAGCTAAGTCAAAGAAAACCCCGTTGGTGAATCGTAGTTTGAATGGCTCTTTAGACCTCAATATTTATTGCTAGAGCTTAGATTGAGCTGTCAAAAGCTAGAATACTTTTCTTCGCATTGTGGCTCTGCGCGACTTGGAAATTGCTGCCCTATAGTGGCATGTCGGCGGTGGACCGAGCTTCCCCAAACGCGCCTCCCGCGTCTCGGTAACAATCATTTTTGATTCTTGTTTTCCCGCCTTCTACCTCCTCTCAACCACCATCCAATCGCCGCCATCGTGATCTAGCGCACACTCCACTATCTCAGGAGGAATCGTGACTGTTGCGCCCTGCTCCTTTCTCTGCGTGGGAATATCTCTCGACTAAGCTGGACCCTGGCGATCGCAGCATGCCATGAACGGCACTCCCCGCCTTCCGTCTGCATTTCCGCAGACGCCTCAGACTCTTCCACGGAGAAGGAAGCTTTTCGAAACCCCCTCTCGGTCTCAGCCTCGCGATTTGCGCGAAGTGAAGTCGTCTCCCTCCAAGTCGCCTCCGAAGGCGCCGAAACCACCCCAGAGCACCAACCAGCCGCTTGTCCCCATCGAGTTGATTGACGCCCCCTCGCAACGACTTTATGTGGTAGCGTTCTATTTCGCACTCAACGTGTGGCGCGTTTATGAGTCTTTGACGGCATCGGATGAACTGGATTCGACTTGGCTGTTTCTGAAATGGGTCGCTGTCGATCTTGTCTTCCTCTTTGGTCTCCAGGCTTTGCGCATTCCCTGGCTGGAATGGGCGTTTCCAACCACACTTGCGCTGTTCCTGCTGCATGTTGTGGGAAACATTTTTCTGATGTTTCGCATACCGGTAAGTTTGTTGGTCTCTGCTGCGTGGTGGCAGGATAGCTCTCGAATTTCGGGCTAATGAGTCTAGTTACCCTTCGGTGCATGGCTTTCGGGCTTGATCAAAATAGCCTATGACCGTGAGCTGTCGATCTCCGAACGTAAGGTCAAGCCGGGTGACATAATTCACAATGCTTCGTTGATCCTCGGAAAGCAAATCGTACACATCTTGCCTGAAGGGTGAGTTTTTCATTTTGTTTTCCGAGACTGTCTGGAATCTTCTCTCTAACTGTCTTTAGATCTGCCGTTCTTAACCCTGATCGCGACCCTCTCTGCCTTGACTCTCAGAAGACTACCGTAGAGCTTCCCATCCGGGTCAACCAGACAGATCCGATACTCATCGAAATTCTTCGTCTTGATCTCAACACAGGCGAAAATGAAACCTTAACCATTCCATCAAAGCAGCTAAAGCAACTGAAGCGCCAGGCTGACAAAAGACGTGCTGGTCTCGAACAAGGTGCTCATAGAGACCTGTTCGTCCCCGTGCGCAAAACCGGAGTTTATCGCCTGCAAAGGGTCGTGGATGAGTCTCAACTTGATGTTCGAACACGCATCTCTGACGCTTTGGTGGTCTCCTGTCCACGGGCATTGATCAAGAACTCTCACACCAACAAATGCAAGGGCGAACTATCAAACTTGATTCTTGAGGTTGAAGGTACGCCTCCACTGAAGATCAAGTACAGTCGACAGGTCAACGAGCACGACCGTGGTTTCTCCTTTCAAAATATCCAGCCAGATAATCTACGGTCCCCGCTCATGGGCCAGAGATCGACTGGTGCTCTCTTCAGTATCAACCAACCCGATATCTCGTGGGCTCAAAGTCAGAAGATCGACGTTCCGCTAAACGAGTCGCTCAACATTGGTGGAGAATGGCTCTATGCCATCGAGGAAGTTCACGACGCGTCTGGCAATATTGCAAATTACTCCACTCTCTTCGAGGAGGGCGAAAAGCCGTCGTCAAAGTCTCCTTCTCAATGGCACCAGTTCTCAATCCACGAGCGTCCCCGTGTGTCATTGGTGGGCTGCGACGATCAACGTCCACTGGAAGTCGCTCGCGGAGACAGCATCAACCTTCCTACCGCTTTTCAAAGTGTTGGAAATGGGTATGCTGATGATGGCCCTTTTACCCTATCATACACCTTCGGCAACGCCCATGCCTCTGAAAGAGAGGGGGCCGTTTCAGCCGCAAAGTCTATCTCCTTGAAGAGCCTAGACGAGAAGACGCCCATTAAGGAGCCTGGTTGGTATTCTCTCTCATCAGTGGCCAGCCAATACTGCCCCGGAGAAATATTGGAGCCGTCATCTTGCTATTTGCACAACCCTCCCGAGCCCGAGCTGTCTGTCAAGGCGGAGAAGGTGTTTGACCGGTGTGCCAACAATGCCATTGGTCTTTTGGTCGATCTAGACCTGACGGGGTCGCCACCATTCCGTCTCCGTTATAGCATTGAAAGCTCTAAGGGTGCAGCGGTTACAAGGACCCAGAAAATCGACGGGCTTCGGACCCAGTTGGATCTCACGCCACCAGAGGCGGGATTTTATCGATACCGATTCTTGGATATTGAGGATTCTGTTTATTCCCCGCGGTCCCTGAAAGACAAAGTGCCTCTACTTGAGCAGGATGTCAAGCCGCCGGCTTCGGCACATTTCCTTGGCCAAGGAAAGGTTCGCAAGGCCTGCTTTGGCGAATCTGTTTCTGTGGATTTGACATTTTTGGGCGAGGCTCCCTGGACACTGCAGTATGAACTCGTCAACAACGGAAAGAGGACGAAGCATACGCTCGAGTCCGAGACCGAGACGGCGACCATTACAACCGATAAATTGGTGAATGGTGGCGAATATGTGCTGTCATTGACTAGCGTCAAGGACAAGTCGAACTGCAAACGGACTCTTAAAGAAAGTGTCAGGATCGACGCTCGGTCGAAGCCGCCCCATGCTGCCTTCGGTCAGGTCGAAAAGAAGCGAAGCGTTACCGCCTTGCAAGGTGAAAAGATACGAATCCCATTGAGACTCAGTGGCGAGCGACCATGGACGGTGAAATATCAGAACCAGAGGGTCAGCTCTTCCGTCATGGAAATGACATTCTGGGATAGCAACAGCATCCTTGCGGTCGATCGTGAGGGCTTGTGGGAGCTCGTCGAAATTTTTGATAAGTCATGCCCTGGCTCAGTGGACAATACTGCCAACGAATTTGAAGTTTCGTGGATCCCAAGGCCCCGTGTCACCGCCGTCGATAGCTCGCCTCTGGAAAGGGAGGGTCAACTTATTAACCAGTATGTGAAGCCCGAGGTTTGCCAAGGTGATGACGACAGTCTCGAACTTCGTCTCTCTGGCAGCCCCCCATTCGCCATCAAGTATGAGCAGCGACGCAAAACGGATCGCGGGCTGTCCTCTGCCCGTTCTCGCGATCTCAATGCCATCTTGAATGTTGCTACAATGGATATGGACACCTCCGAGCCTGGCCAGTACAGTTACAAGTTCACTCGAGTGGGCGATAATCTGTATGATCATGACCTGCAAAGTGATAACCTGGTTGTTACGCAGAAGGTTAACACACTGCCATCCGCCAAGTTTGATTCTCCTGGCCACATTTACGGCTTTTGCAAAGAAGATGCAACTGGCGAAGAAACTATCCCCATCACTCTGGAAGGTGTGCCGCCTTTCTCTTTGGAGATCACCATCAAGCACCATTCCAATGCCAAGCCGGAAACCGTCACAATCCCCAAAATCAACTCGAATCGCCATAATCTGCCTATTCCTCGGCGTCATCTGGACCTTGGGCAACATGTCGTTAGTATTCACAAAGTTCGCGACTCCCGTGGCTGCCAACGGACCACCGAATTTGATACATCATCTGTTCGGGTAGCCGTTTCGGATGTTCCAACGATTATTCCGCTCGAGTCTAAGGTTGACTACTGTGTCGGTGAACGACTTTCTTTCGCCCTTTCTGGACACGCACCGTTCGAAGTATTTTACACCTTCAACGGCGCGCAGCGGAAGGCCACTTCACAGAACACTGATTTCCGTCGTATCGCAGAGCGCCCTGGTGACTTCACCATCACTGCTGTGGGTGATGGAGCCAGTGGCAAGTGCAAGGCGCACAAAGATATTACCAAGGTCATCCACGAGATGCCTAGTGTACGGATCAGCAAGGGTCAGGTATCCGTGGTTGATATTCACGAAGGTGGAGAAGCTGACCTTCACTTCGAGTTCTGGGGCACACCACCTTTCGAATTCACGTAAGTTTCTTTTCCTTCCCAGAGACTTTTTGATTTATTGGGATATGTTTAATTTCTGACCCTTATTGTGCAGTTATATTCGAAGCTCCAATGCTCAAAAGGGCAAGAAGTCAGAGATCCTGGATATCAAGCACGATATTTCTTACGAGCATTTCAAGACTGTCAAGACTTCCGATGAAGGTACTTACGAGGTTGTGGCGATCAAGGATAAGTTCTGTTCGTTCTCCTCGCAAGTCCCGACAGGCAGGTCAGACCGAGGCTATTCATGAAGAATGTAAAGCGATGTTGATTTAACGCAATTTTCTTGTATGCTGGTGCCGGTTTTGTCTATTTGATATGGTTGCATTGCAGTGGCGCTAGCAGGTAATGTACATTCGCCAATGAAATAAATTTTTAATCAATACCTATATAATACTCGCAAAATCTATGCTCGAACATCCACCTTGCCGGTCTCAATTGTCTCAATGATTCCGTCACCCAGACGTGCGATCTCGTTCAGTATTGCTGGCTGGTTTATTTTGGCGTAATTCTCACTTTCCTTGGAATCAGAAACAGATGCAGGTACCGTCGAATAGGCTATTTTCAAGTTCCAATTGCGTGGCTTCAGTACCTGTGGGTTCCATAGCCCGGCAACGACATTGCAGCTCTCGTTGCCATGAAAAAGCAATACACTTTGGCTGTAGCACGCCTGAACATCACGAACAAATGCCTTGATGATAGCGATCTTGCTTGCACGACCGGGGACCGGGGTCTCTGCCAGATTCTTGAATTTGGATACGGCTGAGTGGTCACCGAGCATCTTTGATCGTAGGTGAATGACAAAGTCATACGGGGCAAGGGAGGTTTGGAAGAGATCGGGCACATCCAGATCGTGCCCTTGTGTGCGTAGTAGACTAATCGCCGCCTTCGCCAGGACGGACATTCGACCGGCTACAACCTTTGAGGGCATCTCATATTGTGTCCAGGTCACGCCTTCAGTGTCGATGTCTGACGCAGCGAAAAGTGCAACAGTGTTCATTGCGGGATCGATGTTGCGCCATGCAGTAAACCGAGTCCGAATGTTTTCAATGACCTCCGAGCTCAGACCTCCGCTCAGATCAAGGATGAAAGGCTCTTGTTGCCAGTCCCAACGAGACAGGAAATGCAGAGTGCGTAGGAACCCAGTCATGATGCTAGAAGGGCTGTTCCAAGGGTATGGTTGGGTAAAGGCTCGAGTTGTCATCAGCTCGATCAGTTCTTCGCAGATCTGCGCAGAAAAGAGGTGGGAGCTGAACCAGAATTTGACTAGGCGAATTGTTGGTGACAACAATGGAAACCGAGTACAGAGACTGCGGAATGCCTGAGTCAAGCGAGGAGCTTGCACGAAATTCTTTTTGTATGCAAATAGGGCATAGGCCGCCTCTTCCCGTTCCCGTGGGCTAATGCTCTTGTCTTTCAAGTGACGCTCAAGCAGTGTCTGCTCACGCTCATGGTGGATTCTTAAACGGAACAGGAAGCCAGAAGTGTGAATAATGTCGAGGTAGGCACTGTTCAGAATCTTACTGGTTTCGTTCTCCAGGCCAACACGGCACGACGATGCAGCCCCCCTGACTGCAGGGAGTCTCCGATCTTCAGTAGGAAAGCTGCCTTCGTCATTTGAATGGCGGCAAAGTCATCAGGCCAGCGTGCTGAACTTTCAAACTGGAGAACGACATCTGCGGGCTCATGAGCCCCACCATGTCCCTGAATTCGAAGAGCAGTGTAACGAAGAAGTGGACTGGCTGGAGCCAGGTGTCTGATTTCCAAAGGTACTTCTTCCATGCTTCGAATGGACTGCTCCAGTTCGCTGAAAGCCTCATTGATAGATTGGAAGGGAGAGCTGGTATAGGCTACGATTCCATCGCCCTCATCATAGAGCAAATCATCGTACTCGTCTCCAGTGAGTAGGAAATCGTCCTCCGGTATCTGAAAATGGCGTTCCAGAATGCACACCAAGATCTGATGCACAATGGAATCTTCTGATGGCTGGTCGGACCACACAAGACTCTCCATAATGCTTCCATCCTTGAATCGCCGAAGTTCGGACTTCTGCCCCCAGAAAGCTCGGAATGACGCTGCCTCTTCTTTCTCTTCGGCCGGAGGACCGTGATCGACGACTCGAGAGACATTTTCAGCGTCAAGTAAAAGCCCCACAGACAGATCATAGCTCGCTTTCTTGGCCGGTGCTTTGGAACGCACTGACCAAGAATCAGCGGAATGGCTTGCTAGAGAAATCAGTTTGACGCGATCCCCGAGAGCCCTAGAGAGAACGGTGTAAAGAGCGTTTTGCTCGCGAAGAGCTCGAAGAGTATCACCGTGGAAAGATTTAGGGAAGGAAATGAGACGATCGAAGCGCAAGGCTGGCTCATCAACCTTAACAATAAACACACGGTCAAAGTTGTCTTCTCGCGATTCGTTAAGCATTTTGAGAGTGAATATGGCTTCATGACGGAGAGCTGCATAAGACCATGGTGTCATCTTATACAGAATATTCAGTCCTCTGCAGCCATCGTATATCACAGGGCCACCATGCGGAACTGAGATATCTGTCGCGGAAAAGAGCAACGGAGTCGTTAGGTCTCGACCAGCCAGGAATTGCATGACAGCCTTGAATATTTGATAGCTGCTGTAAGAACGCATGAGAATCGGTTGACCAGTAGGACCACCGCCCTCAAACAAGAGAGACACGAGTGCGGCCCATTCGAAGCTGCCGAACCCTCCAGTTTGGAATGAAGAGAAAAAGCCTCGTTGCTGCAGCCACGTGCGTCCCAGGATACAAGCATCACGGAACGATTCACATTTTTGGGTTGCAAGATGGAGGTGTTTATGGTAGAGCGAAACAGTGGCTTCGGATCGCAGGCTTGCGTTGTAGAAAGGGGTCGCTTCACCAGTTTTCGAGTGCTCTGTTGTGGAGGCCTGTCGAACGTTGCTTTTTGCCGGTAGGGTCCGGGTGACTGGAAACAGCGTTGGTTCAATTGCAGTGAGGATTCGGATCTGAGAACGCGACTGTATCGAGATGTCATCTTTAGGGGTGGAGCGAGGTTCCAACAGGATTATAGGGCGAAGACTATCGCCGTCTTGGAACCCAAACTTCACCTCCCAGCCAAGATCATTCATGGCATCCTGAATACCGGCTGCAATACAAGCAACGTAGTAGGCTCTCTTGTAAAAATATCGGTAGTTGACATAGTCCTTCTCCTGAAAGACGGAGTTAGGGATGGTTACGGCCAGATCAACTGGGCGCGAGACCAAAGTTTTAGCCCCAGTTCTCAATGCAAAACTTCCGACCACGTTGATATTTGCAGGTTTCGCATAGGACAAGGTGTATTTCGCATCCTTCGCAGGTCGGGGTTCGGGCCAAGGAATGGAGACTCCAGCTGAGAGACTGCGAATCTCCTTCTCCGCATCCGCGACAGGTTTCGGCGGCCGGTCAGGTAGTCTTTCGATGACATCTTTCAATTTGTGCAAGGTATCTTGGAGCTTTGAGATGCGCTTGTCGTAGTTCGGTCTAAGTCCAGATAAGAGCTCATCCATCTGTAGCTTGAAGAAACTGGACTTGTAGAGACCACTGGCCATTGCAAGCTCGGCAGAACGGTCATCCTTGGCCCTGCTACCCGAAGAACCCTTTGCCGGGAGCCCATCTCTGCGGGTAGAGGAGGCTGAACCGGTCTTCCCTTCCTTCGATTCGGTTGCGTTCGCGGCAATCTGGTTTGTCGTCTTAGACTGGCTGGCACCAGTCAGCTCAGGGCTGAGCTTCCTTCGCTTGACTGTGTGCGGCGACATTGCAGCGGGCTTGAAGCAGGTCGGGTAGAGCGCAATGGCGAGCTTGATATCTCGAAATTTTTTTTAGGCGATAACGGACGGGCGGGTCGCCGGACCCGCTCGGTGCTGAGTCATGGCTGCACGGGTTCATGGCCGAAGTCGCATCTACAGTAGTGACTCGATCTTTTCACTCTTCACCTTGTCTCTTCTTTTTGCTCTTGCCATTGGTGTCGTGCTAAGAAGATCCTGTTTAATTTTTTCTCTTTTTTTGCAATGCTCCAAGCTCTTGGAGGGACTGTACCCCCAAACACTGACCATGTACGTCCGCGGACCCCGCGATAGACCCCTCCATGGCTTAAGAAGCGGTCTTCCTTTTCTAGTCGCTACGACACAGATATCGCTGTTTCAATTTGAAACGGATCGCTGATAATTTATTAGGCTGTCAGTGTATCTCTCCCTACATGGAGGTCCAATATTGGCTATGAGGAGGGGGAAGATTGGGTGATTGGCAAAATGGTCTGCGGCTATCCCCGGTTTTTCGTCCATCCCAGCATTCAGAAGCTTGCTCAAGAGATCGTTCGTCGCGTGGGAGATCCGGAAACAGAAACGGCCACACTTTTTGCGTCCATCAAAACCGCTCGCCTATGTCAGTCCTTCATCGCTTCCAAAGTGCCCGCCGAGGAAGCCCGCAAAGTCCGCATCGTGAACTTTATCCCTGCCCCGCATGCCGAAGCCGGAGCGTCGACAATCACATCTTCTCTCTCATGCGTGATATACCCAAAGGAATGGGCTCCTCATGCCAAGCCGGTGTGGCAACATTCTGGCAATGGTATTTCGAGCCGACGGGGCGAGTTTTGCATGCGAGCCCTGGAGGATGGGTTCCTTGTCGAAGATAAGGGTTCCGCAACTGCCGACTCCATGTCGCAACGTCCATGCAAAGGACCCAGAAGGTACCAGGGAAGAGGATCTATCAATGGAATTACGCGAAGCCCCCCAAAAGACGCTGTGTCTCCCGTCAATGGCGCAGAGGATGGCCGGGATTATGCTCAGTTCATTGAGGAGCGATTTGGTCGTAACCTCAGTACAATGCTTGCAGACCAGGCCAAGCTTGCCGTGAGGAAGCGTATAGCAGGTGTTCTGACTGCCGATTCTGAGCTTCCGGAGGCTCTTGAAACAACATCGGCTGAAGGTCGAGTGGCTGGGATCTCGGAAAATGATGTTTTCCTCTATCCTTCAGGAATGAGTGCCATATTCAATTCACATCAGATTTTGATGAATTCTCGTGGATCTCTGAAGAGCATCTGCTTTGGATTCCCGTATACCGACACCTTGAAAATCCTACAGAAGTGGGGGCCAGGTTGCTTGTTCTATGGACACGGTTCATCGGAAGATCTGGATGATCTGGAAGCTCGGCTCAAGAATGGTGAACGTTTCCTCGGACTCTTCACTGAAGCTCCCGGAAATCCTCTTCTGAGGACGCCCGACCTTGTGCGAATTCACAAGCTGGCTGACCAGTACGATTTTGCTGTCGTGGTCGATGAGACTATCAGCAACTTCCTCAACATCAATGTTCTGCAGTATGCAGACATTGTTGCCAGCAGTCTCACAAAAATCTTCAGCGGAGACAGCAATGTTATGGGTGGAAGTGCTGTACTTAACCCAAAGGGTCGCTTCTATAAGCTTCTGAAGGAAACATTTGACCGGGAATTCGAAGACATCTACTGGGCCGAAGATGCCGTCTTCTTGGAGCGCAACAGCCGAGACTTTGTGTCAAGAATTGAAAAAATCAACTCCACCTCCGACAATATTACGGCCATGCTAAAGGCTTCTCCACTAGGTATGTTTTCCAGGTCCTTATTGGTTTTTTTTTTTTTGTGACTGTGTATATCATGTTCTGACAATATCTCTCCGATAACAGTGAAAGATGTCCACTATCCGAAGTACAGCCCCACAAGGCCGATGTACGATGGCCTTCGCAACCCCAACGGCGGCTACGGCGGTCTTTTCTCGGTCACTTTCCACTCGAATGCGGAAGCAATTGCATTCTACGATACGCTGGAGGTCTTGAAGGGACCAAGTCTTGGCACGAACTTCACCCTCGCGTAAGCTAAAACTACACAATGGTCGACCAGATCTCAAGAAGTGCTAATGGCGTCTCACATGCAGTTCTCCTTATGTTCTTCTCGCCCATTATGGCGAATTAGATTGGGTATGTACCCTATAGCCCCTTCCCTTCGAGTTATCTCGATCTTTGGTATATGTTGTATTGATATTAATGAATGCCTTACAGGCAAAATCGTTTAATGTTGATCCTGACCTCGTCAGAATCAGCATCGGTCTTGAGGAAGTGCCCGACTTGCGATCTAGGTTCCAAACTGCTTTGGACGCTGTACAAAAGTCGCGCAAGTAAACTGAACGATGATTGGAGAGTCCCATGCATTCAACAAGCTCGAAAATGATAGTTTCAGACCTTGTATGACTTTCCAAAATTTTTGTTAAATATCCATGTTCAGATATCATCAGCAGGGTTCGTCGCATTCCAGGGGTATATATATACACTAGAGTAAACTATCAACATGACGTACAATAAGCACGTATACTCAAGGATACCCAGATCCGTAAATTGAGTTATGAATGGTCATCAAAGCACAAAAGAACCGTCATCACGCCATATGAAGCTAGAAGTCAAGTATGAAAAGGGTCTCGCAAGGTCGCATTGCCCATAAAGAACTGAATGTGAGGTCTTCAATCTCCACAATGACAATAGTTTGAAACATCCACCTTCTGTCAATCATAACGCCTATTGCAGCAGCAAGAAATACCACTATGTCATGTATACAGAGATCAGAACGGACGGTCCAGCACTTCGTCATTCCCAATGGCACTGGCAGTCTGGCTCGCCGACCCCCCTAAATCACCACTTCCTGTTCTCCTCAAAGCCTGCCGCATAGTTTCCACATTCAATTCTCCGCCGAAGCTAGAGGAAACCGGGCTTTGAGCTAGTGGCAGCGGGCTTCCAGCGCCGCGCGTTCCATTAATTGGTGACATTTCGAGGCCCTTATGCGAAGTAGCAATGCTTGTAGGAGAAGTTCCAAGCCCATGAGTAGAAGCGGGTGATCGTAAAGGCGATGGAGAGCGATTATGAGAGCTTGCGGTTATGGGGTTTGCTGAGCTAACCGCGCCTTGCGAAGGATCTCGGCTATACGCCGATTCCCCGGTTTCTGCATGCTCCGCATTGACGACATCCGCGAACGAAATGAAGCTCAGACGTCTAACGTCACTTGTGTCCAAAGCGCCATAGGAAGAAGAAATATCGTCAACATCAGTAGAATGCGCCCCGGTGGGCTCAACAATACCGGAAGACGCCAGAGACTGCTCCGCAGTTGAGGTGGTGGCAACACCCGTGGCAGGCTGATGCAGACTATGCGTGACAATCTCAACAGAGTCTGGATCCAGTTGCTCGTCGGTGATAGCGACAGAAGACGCCTCCAAAACTGGTGGTATATAGTTCTCCGTGCGAATGTGCGCCGGGATCGACGGCGAAGCTTGAACCGGTAGGATATCCTCCTGAACGCTGCGCTCAAATATTTGAGAAGCAGGGGAGTGAATTCGAGGAGGCAATTGCGAAGAGGCTCCAGGAGACGGAGGATGCTGGTACGAGTGTTTATGTCGCTCGAGTCCACTGGGGGTTCGCAGAGCTTCGTATGAGCTGATTGGCGAGATGGGAGACACCGGACCGCTATGGGAGGCCATAGACCTTGAAGTGTCGCACTCTCCAGATGGGGACGTCTCGACATTTTGTATCTGGGCCCAGGTTAAGCCGGCTGGCCTGGGAGCTCGTACATTCGTAGCTGGTTTTCCGACCAGGGGCACATCTTGATCTGCTGGTCTTGAGGGTTTCTCCTGGGTATGGGGTAGGTAGGAACGCGATGGTAATGTCTGTCCACCCGAGGAATCAGGCAGAATCCCATAAGAGTCTGACATGACGAAGACAAGCGGCACAGAAGAGATGTTATCACTTTGAGGGGTGGGATCACCGAGTGGTTGAAGCTGTGGGAACCGCGGTCCAAGGTTCTAAAAGACGTTGGCCATGACCATGAATCGGTCGTGGACGATTCAGACGTAGCCTTTAAATTTCACAACAAGAAAATTGAGTGTGGTGAGGGGGTCTTGAGAATAAGGGGGGTTATGATCTTCTGGCAGAAAGTAAGATGATGACATCCTACAATAGGCCAGGTGATCAACGGGGATGCCGCGGCCGGTACTGGGTACATTAGAATCCGCCGGCTACTCTGCCATTTATAAGTACCGAATACTTCTTCCTCTATCAACCGTGACGCCATACCCGATTTGGTCAAAAACCGAGATCACGTGCCAATTTGGGAAAAGTTCGGCCTCGACACGTCCTCCTTTTGGAGGGTGCATCGGTCAACCAGTCGTTTCTTCCCTCCGCTTTCTCGATTCTTGTACGTCTTTCTCCGCTGGGCACCTTTTCTGACGTCGCCCAATTCTGATATCCACGTCCTCTCTGTCAGATCTCCAATTGGCGCAGTCTCGAGAGCATGGCGGCCTCAATCGCAGCTCCGAAGCGACCGTTCTTAACGCTGCCATTCCTGCTTCCCTCTTGGACAGACTCCCTCTCCCTCGGTGCCAAACGTCATCAGTCATCATACCGTCGTACCAAGCAACGGCTACGTGTCAAGCCGGATGCGTCTTTTGGACCGTCCCAGCAAGGCCGTGACCAGATCATCTACAACCCGCCCTCCAGTGCTCCTTCGGTTTATCACACACCGAGCAAATTCCTACCTATCAATGATGTTCGCCGTGCCATGCGCGCCGATACCCCATCCGGCCCTAATGTCAACGAACTTCCGAGTGTGCACAAGACCGAAGCGGAGAGGAAATACCACTTAACGCCCGCCGATATTGAAGAAATCCGGAAGCTCCGACTGAACGACCCAATGACCTGGAGCCGGCATAAGCTGGCTAAGCGATTCGAGTGTTCGCCGATCTTTATTGCCATGGTCTGTGAAGCTAGCCCCGAAAAGAAGCAGATCCAGAAACAGGTGTTGGAGGCCGTGCAATCACGGTGGGGACCGAAGCGACGGATGGCCAGGGAAGACCGGAAGTTGCGCCGGGAGGCCTGGGGACGCGACGAGTAAACTGCATACTCTATCAGGTTGGTTGCTATTGGATCATCGGGGATAAGGAGTTGAATATGGTCCCCAAGGGAGGTGTCATGGGGACTTGGTGTGCGTGGATACTCTCACGTCACCCCTATGTAAAAACGACATGTATTCTAAGCTAGCATCTGTTCTATTCCCATATTCATTCATCATATATCATTCTCCCAATGAGTACCTCGACTGGTTCAAAGAGCAAGCAAAAATAATTCGACGCACAAGCCCAAGTGGGTCAGCCTATCAGCAGTATTAATGACAGCTGCGCGGTCTACCGAAGGACAGTTCAAACAAAGGGAATCCCATGGTCACCCTGCATTGAGTGACAAATGTTGACCCTGTCCAAAGATTTTTATGCACGCTCACATCTATGAAGGACCCGTATAGAGTCCCAAAACCAAGCATTCCTAGGCTGGAGAAGGCGTTGCATGGACCAAGCGGGAAAAAAGGACCGCCCGCGACAATGGAACCTTGGATTCACCCAGCTGTGATAGGCGGCTACAGCCGGCACGCCAACGCCGCAGGGCTAATTACGTGATAAGACTCTTCTCGGTGCGACAGGTGCCTCTTGTGGTCTGCAATGCCCCTCCTTCCCCTCCGTCGTATCCCCTCGCTTGTCAAGCCCGGGCAGTCTCTTTTCTCTCGGTTTTCTCACCGTCCATTCCTCTCTCGTCGCTCCTTTTACGGATACATCAGTGACACCAAAATGGCGCCGCAGCTGGAACCTTTTTTCAAGCAGTAAGTTTGCTTTGAATTCCCAGGCAAGGACGAAACTAACATCGCTCTGTTTCTAAGGGTCGACGATTCCTCGGAGTCCTTCATCGATCGTGCGTATCATCAAATTATCTGGGCCTGTGGCGGGGTTCGACACAAAGCTCGTCGAAGCTAGTTTGACGACCATGAATAGCTGATCAAATCGTTCAAAAGGTCTCCGAAAGGCGGTTGCGATCCCGTCGGTCTCGGCGCAAGATGAGAACCGTAAAGACGTGTTCCGCGTGAGTAATTCAACCTCTCGTGTTCGCCGCGCAGCGCAAGGCTGACTTATGATTCTTCCCTCCAGATGGCCCAGTTCCTTGCTTCCGAGCTCGAGGCCCTGGGAGCCGAGGTGCACCAGAGGCCTTTGGGCAAGCAGCCCGGCAAAGAGCACCTCGACCTGCCCCCCGTCGTAATTGCGCGCTACGGCAACGACCCCAACAAGCGCACCATCTTGGTCTACGGACATTACGATGTGCAGCCGGCCCTGAAGGAGGATGGCTGGGCTACGGAGCCCTTCGAACTGACTATTGATTCCAAGGACCGCATGTATGGACGTGGATCTACTGATGACAAGGGTCCAGTTCTCGGCTGGCTCAATGTTATTGAAGCTCACAAGAAGGCGGGCGTTGAGTTCCCGGTCAACCTGCTTTGCTGCTTCGAGGGAATGGAAGAATATGGCTCAGAGGGCTTAGATGATTTTATCCAGGCTGAGAGCAAGAAGTTCTTCAAGGATGCCGACGCCGTCTGCATTTCCGATAACTATTGGCTCGGTACTGAGAAGCCCTGCTTGACATACGGCTTGCGCGGTTGCAACTACTACTCGATCAGTGTCTCGGGCCCTGCTCAGGATCTTCACAGCGGTGTTTTCGGTGGCTCCGCTCACGAGCCCATGACTGATCTTGTGAACGTTCTGTCGAAGCTGGTTGATCCTCAGGGTAACATCCTCATCCCGGGTATCATGGATCTTGTCGAGCCCGTCACGGAAGAGGAGAAGTCCTTGTACGGAAACATCAGTTATACTATGGACAACCTCCACGAGTCCCTGGGCGCTGAGACCGGCATTCACCCGTCCAAGGAAAGAACTCTCATGGCCCGTTGGAGATTCCCCTCTTTGTCAATCCACGGTATTGAGGGTGCCTACTCTGCGCCGGGAGCCAAGACAGTCATTCCGGCCAAGGTCATTGGCAAATTTTCCATCCGAACTGTTCCCAACATGGAGAGCCCCGATGTCAATAAGCTAGTTTTTGACTACATCAAGGCCGAGTTCGCCAAGCTCAACAGCAAGAACACACTCGATGTGTGGCTGCAGCATGATGGCAAGTGGTGGGTCGCGAGTCCCAAGCACTGGAACTTCAGTGCTGCCAGCAAGGCCGTGCAGCAAGTCTTCGGTGTTGAGCCCGATATGACCCGCGAAGGAGGAAGGTACGTTTTTTTTATCTCCCAAGGTAATGAATAATATATGCTGACTGAATTAATAGTATTCCCGTGACTTTGACATTCGAGCAAGCCACTGGAAAGAACGTTCTCCTTCTTCCCATGGGAAGCTCCACTGATGCTGCCCACTCGGTCAACGAGAAACTGGACCGTAGGAATTACATTGAGGGAACAAAGCTCCTTGGAGCTTATCTGCACTATGTGGCCGAAGAGCCCACAGCCTAAGTGATGCTCTGATGGTAAACGACTGAAGTCATCCATACAGTAGCGCGAAATCCACATTTGAAGTTAGCCCTGAAATATATCAACAGTATCAAGCCCTGATCTTTTCTTCATCGGTATCAACGAGATTAAAGAGGCTGTTCTATGTAGGGATAATCTAAAAACCTAGAAGTGGAATGTAATGTTGATTCCCAGTAGAGTAGCCTTCATTATCGAGATGATTGTGACCATACCGATCATGGCATCTCCTCATATGGTAAGTCACCGAACAAGGACCTCGGGCAACCATGCTACACTGGATCCTCATTTAGTCATTTGACCACAATACGTGATCAGCTGTCCAGTCACCTCCTGTCCACTGATTCCTCAGTGCAGGACCAAGGATGGGGCGTATAACTAGATTGTTTACTTTTAGGGCAAATGGTCCCCCCTTACCTATGGAATTATAATGCTCAGTCAGAAGCACAGCTAGATATCTTAAACTCGGGGAAGGATGCGGTCTAAGGGAAAAATGCAGATACAGTAATCTCCGAATAGGACCCCGCCTTAACGTAGTTCCCAAGCGAGCCGGCCACCCCAAAACACATAGTAAATGCGATAAATTCCCACTTCATATCTCAACAACCATAGACTAAAACTTTATTTTAATATTGAAAGATAGGCTTTACTTAGCATAGGGATTAATATATCCTAGTTTTAAATATTGTAGATGATTTCCTTACAACGTTACAAAAAAATACACTGTAATTTTTGTATTCTATAATATATGTATGTCTCTCTTCCTATTAGTTTTTTGTTATGTCAAAATCACGCCAGTGGGCTGATGACGCTATCTAGACCATCATGTCTAAATATAATATCCTAAATCGACGTTTTTATTGAGATATGTAATGGTAATTTATCGCATTTACTATGTGTTTTGGGGTGGCCGGCTCGCCTGGGAACTACGTTCGCTGATTGCCTGACAACTATCCCGCTTATTAAGCTGCTGCTGACGCGAAAATGCGCGCCAACGCGATTGTCCAGGCCGTCTCCCGATTTTCCATCATTAAACCACAGAGCGATATTTTTTGCTATGTGTCTTCTTTCCTGCCACTACTGATGTCATCATCAGCTCGCGATGCCGTCTCTTAAGCGTGATCAGCCGTCCTCGGACGCCGAAGACTCGAGCGAAGAAGGATCCCAGAATGTCGCATCCTCCCCTCTCCCGTCGGTACGTCTTCTACCGAAGAAAACTAGGGAATAAACTAATATTTGATGACTGAGAAAACAGAGAAAAAGAACCCGTACATCAGCTTCGCTATCCTCCAACGACTCTAGTGCTTCGAACAGTGAAAGAGATCCCACTCTGGACGATGAGGTTCTAGAAGACGAAGACGAGTTGGAACTGCGCCAGACCCAGATAATCCAAGAAAAATATGCGCACCTTCTCGACGAATCTAATGTCCCCGCTGAACATGGAATTCTGGAACGGGTTGACTGCTACAACTTCATGTGTCACGACCACTTTTCCGTCGAGTTGGGGCCATTGATCAACTTTATTATCGGAAAGAATGGCAGCGGCAAAAGCGCGATTCTGACGGCAATCACCCTCTGCTTGGGAGGCAAAGCGTCTGCCACCAACCGCGGGCAAAGCCTCAAGAACTTCATCAAAGAAGGGAGAGATCAGGCGACGATCATCGTGCGGATCAAAAACCAAGGAGATGGCGCGTACATGTCGGATGATTATGGCAAGTCCATTATCGTCGAGCGCATTTTCTCAAAGAGCGGATCCAGCGGTTTCAAGATCAAATCCGAGAATGGTCGTATTATTTCAACCAAGAAAGCAGAATTGGATGCGATCTGCGACTATTTCTCGCTCCAAATCGATAATCCGATGAACGTACTTTCTCAAGATATGGCTCGGCAATTCCTGAGCACTTCGAGCGCAGCAGAGAAGTACAAGTTCTTTGTCAAGGGCGTGCAATTGGAACAGCTGGACCAGGATTATCGTCTGATTGAGGAGTATGTCGACCAGATGGAGGAAAAACTCCGTAATAAATCGGAAGATATTGGAACTCTGGAGAACCGAAGGAACGTCGCTAAGCGCAAGCTTGAAATGTCTGATAAGCACAACCTCCTAAGAGAGCGAAGGAAGAACATTCGACAACAGTTGGCCTGGGCTCAAGTTGAAGACCAAGAAAAGGTTTGTGATTGCATGATCGAGCGTTTGATCCAGATCCAGGCTAACGGGTCTAGATTCGGGACTCCCTTGCCAATGACTTTACACGAGCCGACGAAGGAATAGCGAGATCCGAAGCGGAATTGGTTCAATTTGATAGCGCGCTCCAGGCCGCTGATGTGGAATTAGAAACAGCTACAGAACATGCCTGGCGAGCTGCCTCCGCGCTTGAAAATGGTCAGAATGACAGAAAGGAAATCGAAGAAGAGATCCAAGATTCGATGAACCATCGTTTCCACACCCAGGTCTGTGGTACTTTTTCTATCGCTATTTCTCCGCTAACTGAAAACAGGCAGAGCAAAGAACGATAAGGGAAAAGCTGAAAGCAGCGGAGGGTCGCATCCAGGAAATGCAATCAAAGATTGCTGATGAAAACCGTCGTCTTGCTGAAATCAGCGATGGGAGCTTCGCCCGAAAGCAGCAAGAAAGTGAAGAGGCAGCAAGCAGTGCGTCTGCTGCTCGGGAGAAATGGCAGCAGCATGCTACACGTGAGGCACTACTACGAGAGAGTATCGGAGAAGCCAAGGAGAAAGAACGATCTGCTGTGGATGCCCGGGATACCAAAAAAGCCGATTTCGAAGAAGCCCGAACCTATTTACAAAACCAAATTCGAGAGAGCGGTAGTTCGCGCTACAACTTCCCAGCTACTCTGCCCGCTCTCTTGAAAGCTATCGAACAGGAAGCTTCTTCGTTTACATCACGCCCAATCGGACCGATGGGCTATCATGTCACTTTGCTTCAACCAAAATGGGCATCTATTGTGGAAAACTCAATTGGTGGCACCCTTGCAGGTTTCATTGTGGCGCACAAAAGAGACTCAGACAAACTCGCAGCCATCATGCGCCGAGTCAACTGGTGAGATTTGGATTTCTCGCTCTGACAATCCATGCTTGACAAGTTCTAACGGATGTGCAGTAACTGTCATATTTTCATCAGCAGCGGCGGCGACATTGACACTTCGTCGAACGAGCCGAACGAGAAGTACGATACGGTTTTGAGAATTCTGCGTGTAAGTAGCGCACTCACTAAAAGCATATTTGAACTCAGGCTGACTCCGTTAGATTGACAACCCCAAGGTGCGGCGGCAGCTCATTATCAACCATTCCGTCGAGCAGATGCTGCTGATTGAAAACGTGGAAGAGGCCTCGAGGGAACTATACGATGGCCGACGCCCAAAAAACGTGAGGCGATGCTTCTGCATCGACGCAACGGACAGGCGCCGAGGCATTCATCTTTCGTACAACGCAATGGGCGATCCCAATCAAGCCCCTGTTCCCATGTACAACAATCTGCCGCGGATGAAGTCGGACGTTGCCTCGCAAGTCAGGTGAGAGATCACATTTTAGTACCTGAGTGCGCGATTTTCTAACCGCCTTGTTCTTGTCTTTAGTGCCCAACGTGAAGTGGTGGACGATCTTGAGCGTCAATTGAATGGCCTGGAGAGTGAATTACAATCCGCTCGCTCCTACCGCGAAGCTACTGAGCAAGCCCTCATTCAGCATCGACGAGAATCTGGTAACCTCAAAATCGATTGGCAGAAACTGGAGGATCGTGCCGAAGAAATTCGCACTGAGCTGGAGAAAGAAAACGCAGCGGACGGGATTCTCGATGGCTTGCGGAGTAACCTGCAAGAAGCAGAAAAGGACAAAGAGATCTACGATGCGAGCTACCAAGAAAGTGTCCGGGCCATGGATGAGCAAGTTCAAACTCTGAAAGAAAAACGGCGCAGAAAATCGGCGAAAGATCGAGAACTTGACGAGCTGCTGGCAAAAACTCGTGTCGCCGACGGCGAGAAATCCCGTGTGGAAGGCGAGCGTCGAGAGATTCTCAATGCCAAAAACTCCGCTTTTGCGCAAATTGCGAAAGACAAGGAACGCAGGGATAAACTTCAGGATAAGCTAAACGAAGCAACGAGACGCGTTCTGGAATACACAGAGAAAGCCGCGGCGATTTTCCCGCGCGTTCCGATCGACGAGGGTGAAACGGCGAACAGTCTTGATCAGAAGTTTGCCAAGTTGACCCAAGACTTGAACCGCTTCAGTCAGCGGTATGATTCCCCATCATTCATGTTTCTCCATTCTAATAGTGATCTAGACTTGGGGCATCGCGAGACGAGATTGCTGCGGAAGCTGGCCGAGCTGAGGCAGCTTATCAGGGAGCGCTAACACACGTCAAAGAGTTGGCCACACTCACCCATGTATGTCCCTACCATACCCCTGAAGCCATAAAAACGTGTCTGACCATTTGAAGAACTTCAAGGATACTCTCAACAGTCGTAAGAAGAGATGGGAGATTTTCAGATCCCACATTTCTTCCCGTGCAAAGGCCCAATTCACTTATCTCTTGAGTGAACGAAGTTTCCGTGGTCGGCTTCTTACCAATCACAGCGAAAAGTTGTTGGACTTACAGGTACAGAACACAAAGACTCACATCATCTTTGTACGTCAATGCTAATTCTTTCTGTCTAGGTTGAACCTGACATCACAAAAGATGACAGCACCGGGCGCAATACGAAAACCCTCTCTGGTGGCGAGAAATCCTTTTCCCAAGTTTGTTTATTACTCGCTCTTTGGGAAGCCATGGGATCCCCCATCCGTTGTCTCGATGAGTTGTACGTCGATCCTGGGCATGTTTTGCAGTTGTTCTTCAGCTAACGTTCATAAAAGCGATGTGTACATGGACCATATCAATCGGAAAATGGCCATCGATATGCTGGTAAGTCCCTTCTTCCCTTCGTCACACACAAGTCACCCCCTAACCTATTTTCTCCAAGATGATCGCTGCGCGACGCTCGATTGGGCGTCAATTTATTCTGATCACACCAGGTAGCAAGACAGATATCACTATCGCTCCCGACGTGAGGGTAAAGGAGCTTGCCGAGCCTGAACGTGGTCAGACGACCTTGAGGTTTTCACGTTAACTGATCTTTTTAAACTCCGCCCTGTCGTTTTCTGCATTTAGGTGTTTATCTTGTTAAAGGTCTGAATTGGAATACCCCTCTTATCCTTGTTCTACAGATGTACCCAGGTAGCAGTGGAGAGCCATTGACTTTCCACTGTGATGATTCATCTCCAGCATTTTTCTTGCATGGTCAGATACACTGGCATTTGTTTCGATTTGTAGGCCGTCTAGCTGGGAGTATTGTTTGAATAGCTGCTTCTTATCACAAGCAAATATTACTCTTCCATTGAGGTTGTTTTGTCAGCTACGTATTGTAAGCTTAATTGCAGGTGTAGTTTCTAGCGGCAGAAACTGAATACTAGCTTTATTTGACTACCATACTCATCTGTGATAGCTGGGGAGATAGCTCCCCAGATAGACTATTTCAAATCGTCAGCATTGTTTATCATTGTCCTGCTGGGTCTTTGCTCTCCCCAAACGTATATATTGTATAGATTTAGTACCCTTCTCAAGAAATTAATATATCAAATATATCGTAGATGATGGAGCCACTGCATATACAGCACCATTAGAACATAGAAGACCAAGATATAGCGGCCGTCTTTGTCCTCATACTTTGTGTATATACTATTTGACCTGTAGCTGTGATGTAGATATATCACGTGACCGAGGGGAATCGTGCGGTTTGGCTTCCCACTCAACCTTTGACCTCCCGTGAATCTCTTCTCCCACACCAACCTCACCATTCCCATTACCACACTGTTTCGCCAACACCTTCTCCCAAATACTGCCGTCAAAACTCACTTTCTATCTGATTTTTCTCATCCCCATTGGGCTTACGACTTGACGGCCGTTCTCCAAATCTTCTAAATTTGAATCACTGCGGGACCGCCTATCCACCCACCTATCGCACTTCTCAAACGTGTCCTCCAGAATCATTCGCATTTTCGATCAACATATCCGGTCGAAGCTTCACTATCTCAACCACGTGATTCGCCAAACTTCAATCGTGCGAAGCGGCAGTTCTTATCCTCACCCCAACGCACTAGACAAATCCTCCGACCCCCACGACATACTCACACTCGCCCCCTCGTACGTGTGCTCTTCACACTTTGGTCCGAGTTATCTCCGCTGCTTTGATCGCTTTTCGTTTCCGTGATACCCTTTGTCCACCACCATGGCCGACGCCCTTGCTTCACAACTTAGCAACGCCAAGCTCAGGTAAGTACTCACCCTTATCGAATGGGGATAGCATATTCTAATCTTGTTATCAGCGAGGGCAGCGTAGAGCAAAGACTACAGGATTCCTTGAAACTGCCTCCAAAAGATGCCCGCCCACAGACAGAGGTCAGTGCATCTCGACCCCCTGGCCTCTTTTCTACAAGATTAGCACTGACGGGATTTACAGGATGTCACTGCCACCAAAGGCCTCGAATTTGAAGATTTCTACATCAAGCGGGAGCTTATGATGGGCATCTTTGAAGCTGGATTTGAAAAGCCTTCTCCGATTCAAGAAGAGACGATTCCTGTTGCCCTTACGGGCAGGGATATTTTGGCCCGAGCAAAGAACGGTACAGGCAAGACAGCTGCATTCGTTATCCCCACCCTCGAACGCATCAACCCAAAGAGCAGCAAGACCCAAGCCCTGATTCTGGTTCCTACCAGAGAGCTTGCCCTCCAAACATCTCAGGTTTGCAAGACTCTCGGAAAGCACCTGGGCATCAATGTCATGGTTACTACTGGTGGAACTGGTTTGATGGATGACATTATTCGCCTAAACGATGCTGTTCACATTTTGGTTGGCACTCCCGGTCGAGTATTGGATCTGGCCAGCAAGGGTGTGGCTGACTTGTCCGAATGTCCCACATTCGTCATGGATGAGGCCGACAAGCTTCTTTCTCCGGAGTTCACTCCTGTCATTGAACAGCTACTCTCATTCCACCCCAAAGACCGTCAGGTAATGCTCTTCAGTGCCACATTTCCCATGATTGTGAAGTCTTTCAAGGACAAGCACATGCGCAACCCTTACGAGATCAATCTCATGGATGAACTCACACTGCGGGGTATCACTCAATTCTATGCTTTCGTGGAAGAGAAGCAGAAAGTTCACTGCCTGAACACTCTTTTCTCCAAGCTTCAGATCAACCAGTCGATCATTTTCTGCAATTCTACTAACCGCGTGGAACTACTTGCCAAGAAGATCACTGAGCTTGGTTACTCCTGCTTTTACTCGCACGCCCGGATGCTTCAGCAGCACCGCAACCGCGTGTTCCATGATTTCCGCAACGGCGTTTGTCGCAACCTCGTGTGCTCGGATTTGTTGACCCGAGGCATCGATATTCAAGCAGTCAATGTCGTGATCAACTTTGATTTCCCCAAAAATGCTGAGACCTACCTGCATCGTATCGGTCGTTCGGGTCGTTTCGGACACCTGGGACTTGCTATTAATCTGATCAACTGGGAAGATCGCTTCAATCTGTACAAGATCGAGCAGGAATTGGGCACTGAAATTCAACCTATCCCTCAGAACATCGACAAGAAGCTCTACGTTTACGACTCTCCTGAGAACATCCCGCGCCCTATTTCTCACCCTCAAGCCCAGCCTGGTGGCTCGCACCCTAACAATGGTGACCGCCAACCCCGGCGCCAGATCCACCACCCGAATGGTGGTCAATATTATAACAACAACCGCGGTCGGGGTTCTTACCGTGGTCGTGGACAGGGCCCGCGCCGTGGTGGCTCAAGTGATCCGAACAAGGCCGCCCTTGCTCCTAGCCAGATTGGACCCAAGCCGCCGGCACCGGCCTCCTAAACCGTCCTCCAAGCCTCCTTCATTTGAGATTATCGGCGCCCACATGATTCCCTAGAACACTGAATGACAACACATCGCCCTTAGTGATTCTCGACATCCCTACCACGCCTACGTCTTGATCTCGTCACTTTCAATTCGTTGCCTTGTTATGTTCTGTTCCCAACTATGGCTTTCTCAAGAGAGTCGTTACCCTTCCCCTCCCACCTTGCTATTCTCTCTCTTGCTTCCTCCATCGTGGAGTCTCTTCTGGCTTCTGCTATCTATCTACACTATTCACGATGATATGGGTACTTGTGCGACATATGTATCATAGTTCTCCTATTCTGTTCCTCGTGGTTTCCTTCGATCCGTTAACCATGCAGTCGCGCTAGGAGTCCTGTTCTCCTGGAAATGGTGCATTTTTCGGTGTCGTGTGAGGTCTGCACTTGTCGTTTCATGCTGTGAAAGGTGTACATATGTTCAACGGTTGCGATTTCTTTTTTTTCCTCGGTTTCTTGGAATGGTTGCAAAGCACGTGGCGTTTTTGGGGTCTTTTCGGCGGGGTTGAGGCGTTCCAGTGGAGTCGACAAAACTCCAGTTGCTGCGGCTTTCGGAATGATTTCTTTTACCTCACTTCTCGACGGGGCACCGATGTCCCTTTTCTCCGACACGCGAAGCTTCTGGTCATACTATTGCCCTCTACCCCCTGCTTCTCACCTACGATTCCGAATTGGGCAATTTCCTGTGCCTTTGACCGAGTTTTCCGCTTCAATTCCCTTTCTAGCCATTGATGACCTGAACAGGGATTGGTACGCAAGTTAAAAAAAAAAGAAGCAAAACGAAAATTAAAAAAAAAAACGGAAAAAAAAAAATTTGGAGGAGCACAGGGTGCTACGAATTAGCAATAGCTTTCTGTGAATTAACAAAGAGTCCCTCCAATATATCCGGACTTTGTGAAGTTCGTAGAATTCTAGTTAATTGTCCGAGGTCGGAGTAAACTTGAGCGACCTGCGCACAGTGGGTCTGCGGAAGACCGTAAATGCGTGATCTACGAGACCCGAGGTTCAACTGGCTCTCTTTAATTTCCCACATCCCTCCCAAGATGACCACGGCAAGCAAGGATAAGAAGACGAAGGTCGGTCCCTCCGAAGATCCTGGCAAGTCACTTGAAGCTAATCAATACACAGCCTAGCGCCTTGCGCTCCATCATCGCGGGCTCCTCTGCCGGAGCCGTTGAGATCAGTAAGGATCCCACGCGCATGTGTCCATGCCGACATCCATGAGCTAACAACCAGTGTCCTCCCAGCTATCACCTATCCCGCCGAATGTATGAAGTTTTACTTGCCCTTGTCATGTCCACTCCGACTGATTGCCACCACTAGTTGCGAAGACCCGCACACAACTCAATCGCCGCTTGGCCGCGGGCCAGAAACTCCCTTGGCCGCCCTTTGGCAAGCAATGGTACGCAGGGTGTACAACACTGATCATTGGAAACTCTTTGAAAGCTGGAATCCGTACGTCAGCCATTGTTCTACTGTCGAGCTTTTGCGCTGACTTAGAAACCCACGCAGGATTCGTCGCGTTCGATGCTATCAAAGCCGCCCTTCAGGATGAGAATGGCAAGATCTCAGGCCCCAGAACAGTCGTTGCTGGATTCGGTGCAGGTTTTACCGAATCTCTGCTTGCAGTCACTCCATTCGAATCTATAAAGACCCAGCTGTTCGTGGATTCCTACATGCCATCCATCCCCCGATGGCTGACCGCTAACTCTCTCCCGATTCTAGAATTGACGATCGCAAGTCCGAGAAGCCGCGGATGCGTGGCTTCTTGCATGGTAGCAAGATCATTTTCCAAGAAAGAGGCATTCGAGGTTTCTTCCAGGGCTTTGTGCCTACTACGGCGAGACAAGCCGCCAACTCCGCGACCAGGTTTACCGCTTATACCACTTTGAAGCAGATTGCAGAGGGCTATGTTGCTCCAGGCGAAAAATTGGGCACGTTGAGCACTTTTGCGATCGGTGGTATCGCTGGTATTATCACTGTGTAGGCACTTGCCCTGATACTCTCGAAAGATCAACCGCTAACAGCCATCAGTTATGTCACCCAACCATTGGACACGGTGAAAACAAGGTTCGCTTTACAGATTGTGAAATAGAAACTGTTGACTGCTCGCTGATACCCGAACACAGAATGCAATCACTCGAAGCCAGCAAGAACTACAAGAACAGCTTTGTCTGCGCCGCGAGAATCGTCAAAGACGAGGGTGTCTTCACCTTGTGGTCTGGAGCCATGCCCCGCCTAGCCCGTCTAATCATGAGTGGCGGAATTGTGTTTACCATGTATGATTTTCTTTTCCTGCATTTGGCGCCATTGGCTGTTAACGACTTTCAGGTACGAGAAATCGATGGAGATGTTGGATATCATGGATCCGCAGCGGAAGTATCTTTAATTAAATTACTGGTCATTTTAATACATTCCTGGGGATGTGTGATAGAATACATGGTATCATATCTATTGTACAATATTGGCGGGCATTAGTAGCCCGCTTTTATTTCTTCAGTTGCTTCTTTTTCTCTTCTTCTTTGGCCAGGTCCTCAGCCACCATAGCTTCGACCTCACGGTCAGCCATCCAAGTGCGAACGCTTTCCATGACCGTTTCCAGGCCATCACCACCCTCGAGAACATCATCCAAATTGTGAAGAGTGACGCCACTTCTATGGTCTGTGCAGCGGCTCTGGCCAAAATTATATGTTCGGATCTTGTCCCCTCGTCCCATTCTAGCAACACCACCCATGGCTCCGCGCCGTAGTTGAACAAGTTCCTGTTCGCGGGCTTCCTGGCGGGCTTCCGCAATTTTTGCCCGCAGCACTTGCCAGGCTTTGCGACGATTTGCCTGCTGGGATCGTTCGTCTTGCATGGAAACCACTGTGTTAGTCGGTACATGAGTCAATCGAATGGCAGACTCGGTCTTGTTGACATGCTGTCCGCCAGCTCCTCCGGCCCTCATCTTTTCTACCCGCACCTCTTGCGGGTCAATAAAATAGTCACTTGTTGGGTCTTCAAAGTTCAAAGCGTGATCCATGGCACTCCCGCTTTCTGGGAAGCTCGGTAAGACCATCACGCTCACGGCACTCGTGTGGGTGCGGCCCTTTGTTTCCGTGGCCGGGACTCTCTGGACGCGGTGAACTCCTGATTCAGTTCGCATCAGATCGTATGCGCCGTCTGCTTCCACCTCAATCACTGCCTCGCTCAGTCGGTCCTCGGACGGGCCATCTTCCACATCTTGTTTGAGAATCGCAGGTCGAAGACCTCTTCGAGAGCAAAATGCCATATACATGCGCATCATTTCATACGCAAACAAACCGGCCTCATCTCCACCCGCACCAGGGCGAATCTCAACCAGACATGGGAGGTCTGCAAAAGGATGTCGGGGGATCAAGGACTTTTTCAACCGGTCCGATAAGGAGGGTAGAGCTTCGCGACTGGAGTCTAAATCTTCTGTGGCAAGAGATCGGAGTTCTGCATCGGTTTCGGAGTCTTCGAGGAGTGATTTTAGTTCCAGTATAGACTTAACTGGCGGTTAGAAGGGCCACTGTAGAAACGGTAGGGGTAGGTAGGGTGTGCACACCTCATTCGCATTGTCCCATTCGTTCAATATGAACGTCACCGGCGCCAATTCCCCAGCCCGTTTGGCGACCAGAGCATCAAAGGAGTCCGCCAATCGGTCGGAGAGCTTTGCATGCTCGGCTGCAAGTAATCGTGCCCGGGTCAAGAGGACCGGAGACAAGCCGGATTCTGAAGCGGCGCTTGGAGCATGAGTGGAGGGCTCACGAGCAGGGATTTTTCAAGCCGACATACCAGTATGTAAAGTGCGTTGTAGAAACGGCTGAAGGCTAGACCTAAGAGGCTGCCAAATGAACCGGCCACATCGTAGCATCCTCGAGGTGTTGGAGATGCGGTGCTTTTTCCTGCTGGTGGAGGGTGCGCTCGGGACGCTCGTCGGTAATTTATGTAAGATACGCGTAAAGGCCACTCTGCGGCGGCGCATTCCCAACTGCCCGAACTACTTCGGCTTTCCTCCTCATCTTTCCCCAATGCCATGTTCATTCGGCTGCCTTGAAGATGCGTTTGTCGCTTGAATCTCTGACGGCCGCCCTGGCCTGTCTCTCCACTGCATACGCACTCCAGATTCCCCCCGATACTCCGCTCTCCGAATTGATCTCCTCCGCCAAAGCGCAACTGGCCAAGGGCTCACCTCGAGATGCCTTGGTTTACTTCGATGCCGCCGTCGCACGCGATCCGACCAACTACATCACCCTCTATCAAAGAGGCGCCGCACATCTGTCGATTGGCAAGAATTCTCAGGCCTCAGACGACTTCAATCGCGTGTTGGAACTGAAGCCCGATTTCGAGGGCGCTCTTCTACAACTATCTCGTTTGAAGGCACGGTCCGCGCACTGGAAAGAAGCCTTGCATGACCTCGAGCGTGCAGGGAAGAAGTCGTCCCCTGAATACCGAGAACTGGAGGAGGCGCGAGATGCGGCAGGTCAGGCCTTTGAGGCCGAAAAGAAAGGTGACTGGGAAACTTGCATTGCGCAGGCCGGGGTAGCCATCATGAAAGCAAATATGGATCTTTCTCTTCGGCAAACACGAGCACATTGTCGCTTTGAGCGAGGCGACGTGGAAGAAGGCATCAGTGACCTCGCGCATGTCCTACAGATATCCCCGAAATTGGTGGAACCGCATTTGCAAATGTCATCAATGCTGTTCTACGCGCTAGGTGATAGTGATCGAGGCCTGGCACAGATCCGCAAGTGTCTCCACACAGATCCGGATTCAAAGCCTTGCAATCGTCTCTATAAGCGCGAACGACAATTATCGAAGACTTTGGGCAAATTGCATAGCGCCCTGGAGGCGCGTAAGTTCAGCAATGCTGTAAAGCTCATGGTCGGGGACGCTGATGAAAACGGGTTAATCACCAATGTGAAGGACGACGTTGCAGAGGCGAGAGAGTCAGGTCACATCCACCATGCCGCTTCAAACAATCTATATGTCTTCCTAGTTGAGAAGACTTGCGAGGCATACCGCGAGGTACCCTTTTTTTCCATTTTTCGTCTCTTTCTCTCCGTGCACTAACGAGTATTACAGATGCGCATGCTCAAGAAGGCTGGACCTTTTTGTGCTGAATCGATTCAATTGGTTCCGCACTCTCTTCATGGTCTTCTGTACCGCGCCCAGGCTGAACTGGACAAGGATGAATTCGAGGATGCTGTGCGCACGCTGAGCACCGCTAAGGAGCACCACCCGCACTCCCAAGAGGTTCAATCTCTACTTCAGAAAGCCCAGGCTCTTCTCAAACGGTCCAAGCAAAAAGATTACTACAAGGTCCTCGGGGTCAGTCGTGATGCAGATGAGCGAACTCTCAAGCGTGCTTATCGTCAGCTGACCAAGCAACACCACCCGGACAAGGCCAACGCCCAGGGTGTGTCCAAGGAGGATGCAGAGAAGAAGATGGCCGCCATTAATGAGGCTTATGAGGTCCTGTCTGATCCAGAATTACGGACCCGATACGACAATGGCGACGATCCCAACGATCCCGGGTCGCAACAGCGCGGCCATGGATTCCACGGGTCACCTTTTGGTCAGGGCGGCGGGCAGCAATTCTTCTTTCAGCAGGGCGGATCGCAGTTCAAGTTCTCCGGCCAGGGATTCCCTAACTTCGCCGGTGGTGGCTTTCCGTTCCGCTAGGCAGTCAATTATCTTGTGTTACTTTGTATCGTCGTACAACAACCATACCACGGGGTTTTCAGGAGTATCTACGCGGGGACTTTTTGCCGTTGGTGGACGAGATTCCGTGCCGGGCATTTCTCATTTTCACAAGGAATATTTCGGGGGATACATCATTGGCAACAAATGGACACGTCTGCTATAGTCATCAATTCTTTGGTTCTCTCGTCGTTCGTTGTTATCGTACGTCGTTCGTTGTTATCGTACGTCTTTTTTCTTTGCTTTCTGTCGTGGCTTCCACCGGTCCAACTGCTTCGGCTTGTGGTATCAGCGCTGACTTCATCGAAGCGGTGCGACGGCGTAGTCTCGATTATCGTGGGGCGTCTGTCAGGGGCACGTAGCTGACTTGGAAGACCTTCTCCTTATGAACCGAGCCATCCTCCCTCTTGTCCACGACCCAGATATACTGGCCACCCATTCTCCCTAGCATACTTCCATCGCTTTCTGATTCGACTGGGATGAACAGTCTGCCCGGGGCTCGAAGTTGTTCAATTAGGACTGGGTGGAGCGTCTCAGCAGCGGCGCCAACATGAATGGCATCATATGGTGCCCCCTCTTTCCATCCTAAGCGACCGTCTGCCTTGATAAACTTCACCTTTCCGGACTCCAGTAGCTGGCGGCCATCCTGTGATTTTTCCATGTTTGTCTTCGCCAGGTCTACCAGTTCGGTGATGTGGTCAATACCAATGACTTGGCCCTGGTCCGGTGTCCCCGGCCCTGTCACGAGGTTGGCCAGAACATGGGTGAGATAGCCGGATCCAGATCCGATGTCCAGGACCCTAGATCCAGCTCCGAGATAATCAATGAGGTACTCACACGCATGACCGTGCATGTGCGGCGCAGAGATGGTGGCCCCGTGCCCGATGGGCTGCGGTGAGTCCGAGTATGGCCGCGACGGAGAATAGTGAGCTCGATCAACCTACATTAGATAGCACATGTTAGGGGTCAGGTTACTCGCAAAGTAATGCCGGCGTTCCTTACACCTAGCATGGCATCCTTCACTCGCACATCTTTGATCAGGCCGCCCTTGAACAGGTTCTCCACAAGCTCGGTGTTGGTGGACCCGGAGCAATACCACGCCATTGAAAAGGTTCTCGCTCGATGCCAAGCTAGTGATCGGTGAATTCTTGTAAGCCAAAAAGGCATGTATTGTCCTCGTGGGGGAACGGTTCTTATGGCAAGTTTGGTGTAGGTCCGCTCGGGATCAGGACGTCGTGCGTGTGGTAGTCTACACGTCAATGGTGGTAGTTGACTGTCGTGACGCCATGCTCTCCTCATCCCCACGTGACACCGTTTTGGCTTTTCGAGCCTCGCCTCGCCTTTTTTGATACTTACCTGGTATGCGGTATTCGCGGTGTCTACTCTGTTATTGGGTATAGCAGGTTTGGGCGAGTGATATTGCTGTCTAGATAGAAGCCGGATCGTAAGGCTCTTGCATAATACAGGTATGTCTTTTAGTTAAATATATATAGCACTTATAGATACATAGACGCCTACAAGAACGACCACAAGAAAAACAGGTACATATATTAACAGAAATTAGTTAAACCCCTAGCACACAATCAAGAAACCAACAGGAACCGAGAAAACGGACCAAACAAGTGCTAGAAAATAGGATTGTTTCCCCAGGGCCTTCCATCGCCGAAAGCACAATGAAAGCACATTCTCCACCAAAGCGCGGGGCGGCTGAGCTTCTGGGCCCCACCACACCTACACATCGCCGCCCAAGCCGGAAAATCTCCAACACGAGTGAATTGGACCATCTCTGCACACCGACTATGCCACAATCTAGCACAGAGCCTGCTGAAGCCGATCCACACCTTGCAGACGACGTGAACTGTCTGATACTGGACTACCTGGCGTGTCTTGCAATCTCGAAGACTCTGTCCACAGCCGAAAGAGATTACGATGCTGACACGGCAGAAGATGTGGACTGGGCCGTGAGACCCCTGAAAGGTAAACAATACAAATAATTTGATACCACTCTCCCCATCCATATATCGCCACTGACAACGACATAGCCCTCGAGTCCATGATACCGAAAAACGCACTCCCCATAGACCTGAGCATCAAATTGCGCGTGCTGCAAGTAGCGAATGCGATCCAGTCCCACAGACCCCAATCTGGCAAAGAGCCCCAATCATCGCCGTCCTTGGCCAGGATCGGGGTTGATTTCATGGACCTTTGCCTTGCTGCGGTCTCTAAAATTTCCGAGACCAGATGGCTCGAAACTGGCGCCCTGTTTGTGCTCCAAGTCACAATAGAAGAACAGTCCGAAGAAATCGCATCATCGCAAGACCTCATCGACCTCCGCTCATGGTCCGGTAACGACTCGACCTGGAACGAAAGGTGGACACAAACCTGGCGAGCCTATTTAAATGAGCTGCCCCAATCCACTGAGCACAACGACAATGCAAAAGAGGCACTACAGCGACAGTTTTCCTTTCGCCAATTCAAAGCAGTAGTGCTCAAGTTCCTCCTCGACCTCATGACTACTCTTGAACCCCCGATTCTCATCCAGCTCGAGCGCGGGAAGCTCGGAACCTTGAGTCATGCCGAGACCCAAAATTTCCTGGACCGGGTTGGACTATGCTGAATGGCCGGCAACTTCAAGTTCATACAAGCTACTCAATGGCCCATCACATATCCACAAGCAAATCAAATATGCGAAGGATGTTCCTCGCGACACGCTGTTAAGGCTTGAGTTACGCAAAGCCGACCATAAGCAGCACAATGGTTGCGCATATATTATTACCTCAGGGCATCTGCTGGAATAAGCCCACCATCCTCAGTCCCATAACTACTAATCCAAGAGAAAACCGCTTGCGCCATGGATCTCGGACCATGCAAATCTCGAATCAACCAGCCTTGAATGAGTTAGGAACGGTCTGACACCCATGGTCAGCATATACTCAAGAGGACCGACAGCAGTCTAAAAGCATATGCCCCTCAACACCACAAAGACCGCAGAAAAGAGCCAAAAGCAAAGAAAGAGAGAAGCATGCAAAAAAGCAGACATTCGAAATGGCAGTTATATTTTAAACTGGATATTCTACAAGGGGTGCCATTGACAATTCTAAGCACGACCCAACACAGGTCGACCTACAGAGCAGCGGGGACAAGAACACTTATCCGAGGAGCATGCGGCGCGGGTCCTCGATGTATTCCTTGACCTGCGAGGGAGTTAGATTCTGATTTCAAATTCCGACCACTGAGGTTAAATACCTTGACAAGGAAGGTGACAGCTTCGCGACCATCCAGGAGACGGTGGTCGTAAGTGAGAGCGAGGTACATCATCTGCGAAAGTCAGCATGGGTTTTGCGAAGAGCCAGCAGTTGGGTGGGTTCTTACCGGGCGGATTTCGACCTTGCCGTTCACGGCAACAGGCTTGTCCTTGATGGCGTGAAGACCCAAGACAGCTAGATTGAGTAATCAGCGCTCTGTCTAAAAGTGGTCATGCAGAGGGCAGGGGGAAATGAGAAACGTACCGGTTTGGGGCAGGTTGATGATCGGGGTGCCCATCAGGGAGCCAAAGACACCACCCTATGGCCGGGGTTAGTACGTACGGACGTGACGCACCGGCCAAAAAAATAAAAAGACTCACGTTACTGATGGTGAAGGTACCACCGGCCATATCCTCGATGGTTAGCTTGTTGTCGCGAGCCTGTAAACGTTAGTACCTGTTGCGTAATCATGATTGCAGAATGCGTACCTTCTTGCCCAAGTCGGCAATCGACTGCTCAATACCAACAAGGTCCATAGTCTCAGTGTTGCGGACGACGGGGGTGACCAGACCCTTCTCAGTGGCCACGGCAACACTGATATCAACGTAGTCGCGGTAAACGATAGTGTCACCACCGTTGGGGCCCTCGATGGAAGCGTTGACTGCGGGGACATCCTTCATGGCCAGGACGCATGCGCGCGAGAAGGCACTCATGAAACCCAACTTCACACCAGTCTTTTTAAGCACATCATCCTTGTAGAGCTTGCGGAACTCCATCAGCGAGGACATATCAACCTCGTTGAAGGTGGTGAGGGAGGCAGCAGTGTTCTGGGACTGCTTCAGACGCTCCGCAATGCGCAGGCGCATACGGTTCATCTTGACCTGTGGTAGTAGTGATTGTGTCAGCATAGAGCACCGTTACCGCAAAAAGGACAAGTACATACCCGACGCTCCTCACGGCCACCAACGGCAGGCTTCGAGTCCGAGGTCTTGGTGGGCTCCGGCTTGGGGGTCTCCTTGGGCTTCTCCGGCGCAGGCGCAGGCTTCGAGGCCTGGGTCTCCTTGGGCTTCTCGGGCTCAGGAGCGGACTCCTTGGGCTTCTCCGCAGCGGGCTCCTTGGATTGCTCGGGGGCCTCCTTCTTGCCGCCCTCGGGGGCACCTCCCAGCTCCAGTTTGACAAGATCTTGTCCAACGGTGACGGTATCTTCCTCGTTCACAAGAAACTCCTTGATCGTACCCGAATCCGGCGCGTTCACCGACACGTCAATCTAATGCGCGAAGTGTCATTAGAAATTGTCATTTGGATTGGCAATGCAGGGAAGGTAAATACCTTGTCAGTTTCAATGGTTGCAATCTCCTCGTCGCGCTCGACAAAGTCGCCAACCTCTGTGTATTTAGTTAGTAACCAACTGGTGTTTGCTTCTGTAGGGTCTGCAGCATACGCTTAGAAAACTGTTTCAAAGTACCCTCTGTGATCGACTCGGCCATTTGGGGAACCTTGACAATTGAATCGGCTGGTTTCAAAGCCCGTTAGCATGATCAGTTGATTCGAAAACAAAGAATATTGCTTGTAGTACCGTAGGTTCTGATCTGGGAGCCCACGAAGGGGGCGAGGTTGCGCGAAACATTGATACTGTTATTTTCTGTTGTTAACTATGGCGCTTGGTGGCAATTGACGGACTATACACACCCCGAGGAGGCCTGCAGGAGACCGGAAGCCCTCGGCGAAGCGTTTGATCGGGTGACAGTCGAAAGGCACTGGACACCGGACAACCGGCTAACAGCCCGAGTGGCCCGGGTCAAAGTCGTCAGGCGCTGGCCCGAGAGGCGCGCAAGAGGGAGTCGAGCAGCCATTATGTATATGATGTTCGAATCGTAAGCAAACAAAGTCACAAATCGTCCCAAGGGGGGAAGGATCAAGGTGTGAGAGAAAGGGGAAGGGAAAAAAAAAGCCTCACTCTTTCTCGCCCTGTTGCTGTTACGTAGCCGAAGCCAAAAGCTCCCGAAGCCGAGATGCGGAAGACTCCCGGTAAGCGGAGTAATGTTCTTACGCTCTGCCTTGGTGCCTTATTAATGCCTGAGAAAGGGTCCGTTTTGCTCAGTGCGGTCACGCGCAGGAACTACAAGCGCAGTTTGCAACGAATGAGGAAGCCGAGAATAGTCAACCCGCATCACATCTCCAATATCTCGGACTGACGCGGATTGCCGAGGAGACGGTTCGCTCTCAGCTATTTAATTCTTTCCTTCACCTTACTCCCTCCTTATTTGGACTCGAGGGCACATCATGTCCACCTCCGCCGCTCTGTGAGTGTTCCGTAACACTGCCCTCAGAGGCCTCCTCCCATTCCATCATGATCTCCTCTAACTTCATCACAGGTCGCTCTATCGGCGATCCCTGAGGCTGTCCCTCGACTGGGCCGTACACCGGTCAGTGTGGCGCGGACAGGCTGTCTACATTCGCTCGTTGTTTGAAGCCAACAAGAACGTCCGCGACCCTCGCCAGCAACAGGTGCGCGATCAAGCCTACCCTCCCCATTTCCGAGCAATTGAACATTTTACTCACACAGGAGGTCTCCAGGTACTGCTGCGCGAAACAGAGAAACTCCTCGAGTCTTGGAAACACCCCGACCCCTACCGGCACCCGACTGCTCCTGGTGGTACGTCGCTTTTGATACCCGCAATCTGGCGCGCATTTGACTGACATTGGCTACAGGAAATAAATGGGAGCGCAACTTGCCTGCTCGTATTCTCCCCTGTACGTTGACCAATTCGATGTTCCCCGGGACCGTCATACTAATCAAGAACCAGACGCGGAGGCCCCCGGCGCGCACTAAAGAAGACGACGATATTCTTGTGTTTAGGCAGGTTCAAGCAATGAAGCATACATTTTGACTGCGATCGGGACATTTGTAGATATACTGTTGAATTTTGAATTTGGATGATTGTCTAGTCAATTGACTGCGGTTTAGAATGTAAGAGATCCAATCAATCGCAGACTCATCATTTCCTTGGAACAAGCGGAGGCCGTGGGACAATGAAACTACGAATACGGAGAGAATGAGCTATGACTGGTGGACCTAGAATCTTTTCATTGATTCGGGCGCGTACCCGGGCTAGTTATCCGAAAAAAAGCTGAAATCCCATCGAACAGGCTGGAGTTCGTCGGTATCATTCCATGTCCGCAGACATAATGTACAACCTGGAAACTGAAGGAAAAAAGAAAAACGCAGAGCCATAACGTGCCCGTCCCATAACCCCATTATCGTGTCAATGAACCAACCCACGCCAGAAAAAAAGAACAAATCAAACCCGCGAAAGAAACGAGACCCATTACAGCTCCTGGCTGCCCTTGCCGGCCTTGGGGGTCTTCTTGGGAAGAAGGTCTGGAAACGTGTCAGCAGATGGTCGCGGTTGCAAGACGCTGGAAACTTACTCTGGTGGATGTTGGGGAGAACACCACCCTGGGCAATGGTGACATGACCCAGAAGCTTGTTCAGCTCCTCATCGTTGCGGATGGCGAGCTGAAGGTGACGGGGGATGATACGGGTCTTCTTGTTGTCACGGGCGGCGTTACCAGCCAGTTCGAGAATCTCAGCAGCGAGGTACTCGAGAACAGCAGCCAGGTAAACGGGGGCACCGGCACCAACACGCTGAGCGTAGTTGCCCTTGCGGAGCAGACGGTGGACACGGCCGACGGGGAAGGCCAGACCGGCCTTGGAGGAGCGACTACAGAATCGATGTCAGAATGGGTCGTCAAATGTTGTTTGGGGACCGGCACGTTCCGGACGCGATTCAAAACAAAGGAGATGGAAGAAAGGGAAACTCACGACTGCGCGTTCTTGCTGCCGCTAGCCTTGCCACCAGACTTTCCGCCAGTCATTTTGATGGTTGGGTTTTTTAAGTTGGGGTGTTTGAAAAGGTGGGAGAAGTTGGTAATGGGTCGAGATGGTCGAGAGATGTAAAAGAGCAGGTGAAAGGGCGACGGCGAGGAGGCCACGGGGGTTTATAACAACGCGGTGAGGGTGACGTTGGGCTCGCATCAAACAAACCCGCCAGATCACGCCCTCGCTTAGCGGAGTCGGCCAATCATATTGCAGATCACGGCGCCGCGGACATGCCAGATCAGGCAAGGCGGTTGTAATTTACACCATTACAGAGTGTTACGGCCCATCTGTGTGATAGTACCCCGCTTTCCCCGCCGATGGACGCGTCAATCCCCCTTTAATCATACAGATCATACGTAAGTGTGACGGTATTGAAATTCCGCCTCCTTTGCGTTCCCCCGGGATCAACTGGCCTTTGGCGGTCGAGTATAAAGACCGCGTTCCCCTCGTCACCGCGTTTCTCTTACCTTTCCTTTCCATCCATCCTCCCAACCTCACGTCTTCCATCTTCATCACACCCTTTTCAACTCAACCACTCTTCGAGAACTCATTCAAAATGCCCCCCAAGGCTGCTCAGAAGACTCCCTCCACCGGCGGCAAGGCCCCGGTTGCCGGCAAGGCCCCTGCTGAGAAGAAGGAGGCCGGCAAGAAGACTGCCGCCGCCTCTGGCGAGAAGAAGAAGCGCGGCAAGACCCGCAAGGAGACCTACTCCTCCTACATCTACAAGGGTGAGTTTTCCTGATGGTCGTGTTTTGGTGTCTTCGGGCGCGTTCGCGCGACGCGACTTATGCTGATTCTTTTCCCTCTAGTCCTCAAGCAGGTCCACCCCGACACTGGTATCTCCACCCGTGCCATGTCCATTCTGAACTCCTTCGTCAACGGTATGTCTCCACGCGTTTCGTCATCTTTCGCATCGTTCTGACTCTTCACAGACATCTTCGAGCGCGTTGCCACTGAGGCCTCCAAGCTGGCTGCCTATAACAAGAAGTCTACTATCTCCTCTCGGGAGATCCAGACTTCTGTGCGACTGATTCTGCCCGGTGAGCTGGCCAAGCACGCCGTCTCTGAGGGTACCAAGGCTGTCACCAAGTACTCCTCTTCCGCCAAATAAGGGTTTCTTCCGATTTTCGTTTCTTGCGGCTTTGCTCTTTTATTCTGCCTCCTGATCTTTTCCTGGGCTCGGAGGCGGTCGGTTATGGGTGTTTTGCGGGTTTTCTAATGTGTTATGGGATGGTCTCAATTTCTTTTTTTCCCGACGGGCGACTTTTTCTGATGGTTACTACTCGATGTGCGCGCGGTGTAACATAACTCGGGTCTAGGGGCTGGTTGCACGATTTAACCTCCCCTACTAGAACACGAAATTTCAAATGCTTGACTGCATTTCACTACTGGTTTTTCTGTGTCTTCATCGTAGTCTACCTGGCTCGAATTGTGCTGGAGCAGCTCTGGTTACTACTTATTTACTCTGCACTGTCGGAGTCATCCAGCGCTTCCACCTCGTCCAGAGCCTCAAGTCTCTCATGGCTTTGGTCCGTCTGCTTTTCGTCTGCCAGTACGTGAATTATGGGCTTGCCAGGCGAATTCTGGACGCGCTGCTTCCAATCCTCCCAGTCTTCTTGATCTCGAATCAGAAACCCTATCAGCATGCTTGGATCCATGTCCTTAATGTGTATTCGTCGTAACCGCCGAGTGTGGTAGCTATCAAGCTGCTCTGGTGAGAAGACTTTGTTGGTTTGGGGTGCGGGTAGCGCTGGTCTGGTTGTATGCGGGTCGAGAAAGAACATGTGTGAATCCTGGACTCCCACGAAGTAGTGAGATGCTGACGGACGTCCACTATTTGTTTTGCGCGGTTAGCAGATTTGAAGGTTTGAATACGTGCAGGTTTCGGAATTTACCCAGCTATTCCAACCGACTGCGGATACTGTAGCGCGGCGCGCAGTCCATCCCAGTAAACCGATGTGACATGCTCAATTCCCAGCCGGAGGCCAAGGAGAATAAGGACCGGCATTATCTGTCCGGTTTCATCTCGGCCCAGGCCAGCCACTTGCGCTTCGTAGACATCGGATGTATTATTGGTCACATATACCCGTAGCTTGGGGGACTCGCATTCATTCGATAGCATCCTGTCGAGGCAGATGTGAGTTGGGGGTTCTTGGTAATATGGACCTATGGCACGTACTGGATGCAGCGGGCAGTGGCAGATGGACCAAACCATTCTCCCGGGTATTTTCCACATGATTCGGCCCCGCGCTGGACAAATCGGTGTATTGAGAATGGACTATCCGGGTGATCTGCGAACATCGCCAGCAATTTCGATTCTTCCTCAGGCCAGTGACCTCTCCGCCAGTCTAGACCAACAGTTAACATTCTGAGAATTCAGTGGGTCTCATTGTCTGGAGTATTGGTACTATACCTCGCCCGAGTCGTAGGGTCGATAGCGCATTCGCCAGTAAACTCTGTCCGGATCGAATCATGCACCCCCACCCAGTGTCTGATGTGAATCCCTGGGGTTCCATTAGCTGACTACGCAGGCGAACCCCCAGCGTCATTGAGGACGCTGCCTCTGGTGTGTTGTTGCGTGGGATGGGGGTGAAGTGAGAGCGGTATGTCATCCATATCCTCGATTCAAAGTCATCGAGGAACTCCTCTGGCCAGGTGTTTGCGATCCCCTCGTTCGGGCTTTTCGGCCCTTCGATGGTTGTATTTTTTGCTTCTTTCGTGCAGAGGGGAAGAAAACTGTTAGCAGCTCTGCCTTGCGAAGTGGCGATTTGGGACTCACCAGCACTCGGTTCGGTTTCTGGCGGGGTGACCGTGTACTCTCGCCCCAGGCACCAGATCGAGGCCTCTGGTACGGTGTCATTTTTGGGTTCTGGGTCCCAGAAGTACTGTACGATACGCTTGCACTTTTCCAGGTCAACTCCTGCCATGTTGTCCAACAGCTTGAAGGGGTGGTGTCAAAGAGTAGAGGGGAGGTGTGTGAGAGATATATATCTCCCAAGAGAGCGGGGGCCGCTAGGGCAACAAAGTACTGCTACCGCACCAAATAACAGAATGTAGCAACGCCCGAGTATAGAAATATAGCCAAAGCGAACAGGAGTACAGGAGTGATGGGATATCGATTGTTTGGTTTTCGGGTGTTCAGGTGTTTTGGAGAAGAGGAATAATCACGCGCGACGGGACGACGTCACCGGAGATCACGCCCTCCCCCGAGGCGTCGCTAGAGCAGATCCTGTCTAGGTAAATTCCACTAGTAATCTGCTATGGATCTTTGTATATTTAATGGCACTCTCAGCTTTCGATAGATCTCCAATGAGATCTCATTTAATTTTAATTATACACGCTGTATTGCAGAGCGTACCACCCCCCAGGAACCCCAAATAATGACCCAACCGGACGATGCCCCCCCACCGCCCGGGGCCCACCCCGTTGAACGAAATCCTCCTGTCTGAAGAACGACTTTCAACGTCCCATCATCACCACCATCCATGGCCCGACATGGGAAGACCAAGGTCCGGTCGAAACGGGCACCAGCAATGGCCGCACCTAGTGAGTGCCCCTTCCCACCCTTCTAAATACGCTCGCAAAACTCATCTGGCCACAGAAGTATCGCCACATCAATTTACGATGCAACAAGAGGCTCGAAATACCGAGACACATCATCGAATTTGGGCGGCTAGCAATCTCAGGAGCAAGACAGTCCGGTTTGTGAGGGCAGGAGAAATGCAGCGAAGCGACTTTGAGAATGTCGACCAAGATACTCAAGGCCAGCTCCAGAAAGCGACAGGTGGGACCGACGCCCCACCGGAATCGATCGAGGGAGAAGAGCAGAGGCACACCAGAGAGGAGAAAGGAGAAGAGGACCAGCCTCTGTTTTTCATGGACACAATCGGAGAACGCAGACCGGACACGGGACTTTTGGACCCGGTACTGGCCACAGCGACCAGCCACTCGGATGACACCAGCGAAGACGAAGTTGTGTTCACCGGACGAAGGAAAGCCGCCACAAAACCCATTGTGATCGAAACCGACCAAGATGACCTTAACGAAATGTTATATACTCGCAACATGGGCGACATTCCTCAAATGGAGGAACTCACGCTTCAAACCCACCAGTCCTGCCCAACAGGAAGTCGGCGAAATTCCCCCCCGAGGCAGAGATTTCAATGGTCCCCCGACAATGATGATATGCTGGCGGACTACATCGCCAACATGGACCAACACTATCGCATCGAGGACGACGAGGACGACGAGGACGACGAAGACGATAGCAGATTGCAATCAAAGCCCGAGGGTGGCATTGGGATTGATCACAGAGAAGCAGACCCTGGGGTGCCGCCCAACTGTTTTGCTTTCTCAGAGAGACGGGTAAAACAAGTCGCTGCGACCCATGGAGCTAATGTTGGAAACACCGGCGAGGACCAAGTCCAAAGTTCGATAGACGGTGAGTGCCCCAGGCGTTTCAGACTGCAATACCCTCACATACGAGGTCGGCCACCAGTGCGACGGAGAATATGCGTTAACACCGTAACAAACCCAGCCCTGGAATCGGAAAACGAAGATGTCACTTTGGGGACACCTGACTCGTTCGACGTGGACTCCGACGAAGAGCTGGACCTGGACGCAGACCTCCTCGAACAATTGGCCCTCGAGTATTCCGCCAAGAACAAAAAGAAAGGTTCAAAGGGAAAATACACCTTCGCATCAGCGACAGCCTTTGCAGATGCCCTCGAGTCAGACCCATACTATGGGTTCGATATCATGGACTTCAATCGACCAAGCTTGGCGAAACAGAGCAAGGGAAAGAGGTCTCCCGCACTGGACCTGGAACTGTCTGACAGTGATCTTGAAATGCACCTCCAAGAGGTCTGGCTGACTGACCGCAAGAAAAAGAGTACGAAAAAGAAGGAGAGAGAAGAACTACGTTCCCAGGGCCTACTCGGCGGGGACCCCGAATATGCGGACCTGAAAGTCAAGTATTCAAAGGGGATGAACATGGAAGAATTGATGACCGAAATTCGGTCTTTTCTCTTGTCCCAAAAAAACAGGTATATTTTGACACCAGTTATTGTCTCTTTTCTTTTATTGTGCCAAGCTCACTATATACAGTCTTTCTCTACCTCCCATGACAAAGCATCGGCGCAAGACGATTCACGAGCTGGCAAACATATTGCACCTCAAGTCCCAATCCCGAGGAAACGGGCTCATGCGGTTCCCCATCCTCCTCAAAACATCCCGCACACCTGGATATACTCGGAAGACTATTTCAAAGGTCGATTCTTTGCTCTCTGGACGGAAGTTGAATCGCCGCTTGTTCCAATCCTGGGGTCCAGATGGAACCAAGCCAACAAAATCAAAGTCGAAAGGTGTCACTGCTGGTGTTTCATACATGGACGGAGATGTTGTCGGCGCATCTGCTCCCGAAATTGGAGCAGAAAATCGGGGTCGGGCAATGTTGGAAAAAATGGGCTGGAGTAGCGGCACAGCCCTTGGGGCAAGCAACAACAAGGGAATTCTCCAGCCCGTTGCACACGTGGTCAAGAATTCGCGAGCGGGACTAGGATAAGGATGTATCTTTTTGGGCCGTATGAGCTCCCAGTGAAAGATACTCCCCACCATGTACATACTCGATAAGAAATACACAAAATTCGAAGGTCTCATCACGCGATCTGTCACTTGTTGTTTCCGTTTCCCACCTGGTTTTCATGTATCAAATATGGACCGAAGGACAAAGGTAAAAGCAACCAGTGGGTATACTTCACCGTCGTCGGCTCTTTGAAGTCGTCTTTAATTGTGCATGGGTTGGATTTTCTTGGAGGTGGACGAAAAGTTTCGTTTTAGAAGGAAAGATTTCGTGGCATTTGGCGCACGCGATTCCTGCCGCTGCTCCAGGATTCTGTGCTGCTTTCTTTGCTCGTCTCTGTTTGGCTTTGCCAACAGGAGGAGACCGAGGACGTTCATCAAGGCCTGATGAAGAGAGCTGCTCAGTCAACGGTGTGATAGGATCATGGACAAGGTCCAGATCCGAGCGAAGTCTCGTTCCAATTGACTCCCGTGAAGCATAATCTCCATCGTCTACGGAATCAGAAGAATCTTGTTTCGAATCCGGAGGGGTTGAAGAGGTATCCTCATCCGCGCTCAACGTATTACCTCTTTTGTGTTCGACGCAAGGAAGTTCGTCAGTCTCTGCGATATCTATCTCAGGCCCCAGACTGGAAATTCCAGAGATATGTGCATCATCAACTTCCTCGTTATTGCCCTGTTTATCATCATAGGCATCGGGTTCAGTAGTAGGCTTCAAATCGAGTTGTTCATCCTGCAGGCGCATTTCCCGACAGAGCTGCTTGACGGCTTTCAGGTGCTTCTTGCTCTTTTCGTGAGCTTCGAATTGGTTTTGGCTCTTGAAAGACTTGTGGCACGCTACACACTCGAAACTTTCGATCTCGCTTTCAGATGTTTCCTCATCGTCGCTGATGTCGGGCTCATGCGAACGTGCCCATTCCGGAACAACATGTTCGCGCAATTTAGCATTGTTCATGGCCCGTGACCTGGCGGCTTGGGCTGCCACTGACTGGCGCAGGGTCTCTTGGCGCTGAGCCTCATTCTGGGCATTGGCCTTATACCGCGGGTCTCGCTTTTTTACGAACGCCACCAAGGACCGCACAGCATCGTTGAAAGCTCGAATTCCTTCGTCCCGAAGACGTCGGTTTTCCTTCTCCATCAGCCTTCGAACTCGGCGATCAGGGGCCTCAGAATAACGATAGACATCCTTCCAGGCAAACGATTTCTTCGTAGAGAACCCACTCCACACAGCGTAAAACGGGCGCACAACTGTCTCGAATCCCGCATCACGAGAGCCAAATGCAGGATATTCCACCACCTCCAAGTTTTCCCACTCAGATGCCAATCGCTCTTCGAGGGCTAGCTGTGCGAATTGATCCTGAAGACCACCAAAAAACCCAGCTGGCGAGTCAGAAAACTCCATCCGAGGACTAAATCTTGAGAAGACCTTGAGAACATCTTCGGCGGTGGTTATCCGTATGTTATAGGAATGTTGACCACCTTCTGAGCCCTCCGAGCCCTGGGCTGTACCCAAAAATGCGTCGCTATGAGAGTCGTACCAAGCACGTTCCTGAGGATCTGCGAGAACCTCATAAGCCGACTGCACTTCGGCAAAAAGCCGCGTGGCTTCTTCAACATTCCCGTAATTTCGATCTGGGTGCAGTTCAAGAGCTTTTCTGCGGTAGGCTTTTTTGATCCTGTCCAGTGTGAGCTAAGGTCGAGAATGATTGTTATGAAAAGGTTGCTTACTCGTCATCGCTTGCACTCCGGGTGAGATCCAGGAGCTCATAGTAGTCGGTTTTCTGCCCTGAGTCTTGCTCTGGGGTGCTGGGACCCTTTGAGCCTGTCGACTGAGACTGACCCATACTCAGGAATAGAGAAGGCGGGCTTGAAAGGTCAGGTTACACGGAGCTTCAATAGGCCCACCGTCAACCTTCAAGGTCAGGTCCCAGGCGATTTTCAAGGGCCGCTCGCCCATGCGCTTCTGGCGGGTGATGCAAAAGACGTGAGTAAGCGAAGTTCAAGACGCGCACATGCGGAGGGTTCTTCGGGCCTTGGCGCAAGTTCCCCGCTCCGCTTCGCCGCTGGACATCATGAACATTGACACCCCCAGACGATCTAGGTCCAGCGCTGGCGTTGACTTTGCTCTGTCTCCAGGTACCAACTGCGACTTTTGACCTCATCGCCTGTTTTTCCACACTGTTGGGAGCCTCATCATCCAGCAGTGGGGCTCTTTTCTTACTGCCTGTTCCCCTCACGCCCTACACGTTCACAGGCATGCTCTTATCTCTCCAAAACCTGCCGGAAGAGATTCTGCATTACATCCTATGCCATTCGCATCCTCTCTCTGCTGCAGCCCTTCAACAGACCAACAACCGGTTCGGCGATGTGACAACGAGCGCTCTGCTATGGCGGCACTATTGTCAAACGTACTACAAGTCCTGGGACAGAAGGCATGAAATACAGAAGAAGTTTGCTGGCTCTGCGCCATCTGTTGATTGGAAAGCATTGTTTGTTGCGAGATATCAAATTGACGGCTCTGTCACCCGACTTCTCGATAGTATTCTTGCCAGCCAGACTGGACGCATCGAAAAGTTTAGAGCTGTCATTGAATTTGGATATGATGCAAAGGATGCGCTGCTTGAAAATAGTCAAGTTCAGTGGGGTGATGATTATCTTGCAAGAAGGTAAACACCAAGTGATGCCCTACACATTAGGTTGTTCTATTCACTAACTAGCTTCATATGAAGATATTATGCCAGCGCCCTATTAACATGTCTTCACCGGAGTATTGCGATTCCCGAATGGGTCAAATTGAGACGCGGCGAGGCCGTCTCATTCGAAAGAGCATTGGGTGCCTTCGATCTCTTTATCCCAGAGAGCGGGTATGGTGACTTGGATGAGGTAGAGTTATTTATTCCCCTATAATATGTTCTATTTTGCTAAGCAATTACAGATTGAAAACAGCATGGCGCATATTGTTGCCAGATTCGTAGCTTCGCACCCCGACTTTGATTCTTTGAATCCTCGTGAGAAGGCTTTGAGGCTCGCGTCCTGGTTGCGTGCAAATGAATACATCGGTATCGAGCCTGGCCGAGAATACTATTCTCTGGAACATAACTTCTTAGGGATGGCCCTGAATACTCCAGGACACAACTCTTTGCCACTGATTTCCGCTGCGATCTATTGCCATGTCGCTCAAAAGTTGGGACTTGATGCTCATCCCTGCGGGTTTCCATTTCATGTCCATGTCATCATAACACCCCAACCTGGATTCGATATGGACGACCGCCCTGTGCCTGGCACGGAACAAGCTGCTCCAATGTACCTTGATCCATTTAGAGGGGCAAGAGAGACCCTGGTTTCAGAGCTACGGGACCAGTTGATATTCCTTGGTGCCTCAGATTTGGAACAGAGTGAGTTCCTTGGCAAGTCATTTGCCTCAGAGGTCGTCTTGAGGTGCAGCAAAAACATTCTGAATTCCATACACTCCATGTCTCGCCATTCGGATATTCAGGCTAGTTCAGTGGATTTTGTGAGTGCAAAGTATGCAGCTCTATGGTCATCCATGCTTCTCTCATCCAATCTACAGCCAGTGGACCTACGTCACCAGCTACTTTGGTTGATGGAGCTTTTTGCTACGGACTTTCCTTCCGATATATTCTTAGTGGAGCAGTACATCGTGCCTCTGTTCAATGGCCTCTTCGAGCATGACATTTTGAAAAACCTCCATGTCATGAGAGCCGCGGACGAGGTTCCCAAGCAGATACGTCGGCGATCTGACAAAAACAGAAATATCCATTACAAGGTGGGCCAGGTCTTCCAGCACCGTCGTTATCGTTACAGGGCCATTATTACCGGGTGGGACTCTGAATGTGATGCTGGGGAACAATGGATGAGGCGTATGGGGATTGATCGTCTCGAGGCAGGGCGCCATCAGAGCTTCTATCATGTTTTAGTGGAGGACAGGAGCGTTCGATATGTTGCTGAGGAAAATATCGAGCTTATACTGCCTAGTATCAGCGACCTGCCGCGGAGTCTCACAACAATTGCAGGAAAGCATTTTAAGAGGTGGGATGACACAGCACGAGCTTTTGTGAGTAATGTGAGAGATGAGTACCCCGATGATTAGAAAGGTCAACATTGAGTTATTCCTCTAGTATAATCCTAATTGCCCTACGCCTACATACTTATGCTATATTGACTTTGATAATAAAGGGTTTCATATTGATAGTATTAACTAGACTGCGGCAGTATCCGCAATATCCTTGGATATCAAACAAGACAATTATGCCAAGCCTCGTGACTTTATTCGGTCTGCATTATTATGCTGTCATCTTTTGTGTTTTTCAGTAATAGCACTGTAATTCTTTATTCTTAAAAAATGTAGGGTATTCTCAAAAAATCAATCATTTTATTTATTCTATTATACATCAAGTTGAAACCCATCTGGTAATCTTGGTTGCTTCCGAATCCGCCCTGGCCGTGCCTGGGTGCCCTGATGTACTGGCATCTCTGGAAGGTCGTCATCCTCATTATCGAGGACATCAGATGATCTTTTTGTGACTGTTTGCCTTTTCCCTGTCCCCATCGTTCAACAGTCCTATCATCTGAAATCTCATCACAGCCCTCCACCTGCTGTGTATCCTCAATCCCAGGCTCTTGATCCTCTTCCTCATTATCACTGATCGGCTCTAGGGTTTCAAGCTGAGGCATTGATTTCCAAGTTTGATCCAATAGCGCAGCCTCCCCATTAGAAAGATGCTCTTTAAGAACACTGAGCTCATCTTGCCTGACATCAAAGTTGGTTGCGAACTGATGAAGCATTAGTTCCCGGATTGTGTCTGGCTTTAACTGACCGCGGCGATAGTGGCAGATATCACGGGCACAATTGAACAATCGCTCCACACCAGCACCACTGGCAGGGATAGAGAGAATATCCCGTGCCATCCTTGCAAGGATAGGGAATTCATTCTCATGGTCCTTCCAGAAAACTCGGGGCTTCTGTCTCTCAATCCCCCGGGCAAGATATCTTGCGATCTCATCATCTTCAGGCTTTGTGAGCTCCTCGGGTAGCTGGCTCTGGGAAGCACAGGCAGCATCAAGATCACAGTCATTATTATCATCAACAGCCTCACTAAATATATCATCCAATGCTGTAGGATCTGAGTTATGGTGAAGTAGCTCTTTGTATCGATTGAACTCTCGTTTCAGAACTGTTGTGATATGTCGTATCGTTAGGAATTGATTCCGTTAGGATACGACATATCACAACAAGAACTTCATGATAATGTTGCACATAGTCAATTTCGCCTTGCCAATCACTTGATGAAAAGTATCGGAGTTTCTTTGATGGGCAAAGGATTGTTGCAAGAGCATAGATATCACCGTAAGGTTCATGATCAGTGGCAGTATAATACTTCGAGAGCTTCTTTTTTGCAGTCTGGAGAGCCTGGAGCATGCGCTTCTTCCAAACAACCCCTTTATTCTTGAGCTTGGCCTCGGCATCATCAAGGTGCGAGAATGGCTTGTTGTAAATACCATAGATATTATGGGCAGTAATATCTTTACTCTTTGATAACATGCTGGTAAAGTCGAAAAAGGGCTTTGTGAGAAGAAGAAGATATTCAACCCGTCGCCACTCTTCTTGATCAAGCCTGAAATAGAGATACTGATGATCTGCACAATACTGGTCATAGAAAGGCTGTAGGGTTTTGGCACGATTGAGCATCAGGAAGGTAGAGTTCCACCTAGTTTGGACGTCTTGGATAGGGATTAAGGCCGGCTCTTTGGTTTGCAGAGCCATGAATGCCTCCCGGCGTTGTGGACTTGCGTTAATAAAGACTGCAAGACCCCGTATATTTGTTATTTGAATTAGAACAGATCTATAAATATAAGAGTAGGATAGACTTACCTTTTTTAATGTCTCTGTGATATGAACTCGGTTGGAGCCATGCCTTTTGGTCTGAAATGAATGGGTTTTGTCATCAGACCATTCCAACTAAATCTCTTTGTTGGGCGGTGTTGCTTTCAATTTCCCAAGGAGCTCATTCAAGCTGAGCTGGATCACATGCGCAATACATGGAACTCGGAAGACCATGATATCCGACCGATATTGTGACTGAAGGGTATCTTGGATATTCATCATCAAGGTATTTTTATTTGTTGCATTATCAGTGGTCACTGATAATACCCGGTCAGATATTTCATGATCAGCCAGTAGTTGAGTAACAGTCTTGCTGAGGTTTTCACCAGTATGAGATCCATGAAGAGGCTCAAATCCAAGGAGGACTTCACAGTAATTCCAATCTTGATCGAGAAAGTAACCAGTAATAGCCATAAATGCCTGCTGAAATGGAGATGTCCAGCAATAAAGAGCTATTGACAAATTACTTCCGGTCGGAAGTCTTCCAATGACCTCCTTCTGGTTGTTTTGGACTGTCAATTCAAGGCAACGTCGGATACTTCGCGCAGGTGGAATTGTGATCTTGGTTGTGGCTTGCTGAATAACCTCGACTAGTTCATGAAACTGGGTATGCTCGATTATTCGGAACGGGAGATGAGCAGTGGAGATAAAGTTCAGAATAGCTCTTGAGAGGCGTTCTTGGGAGAATGTATGGCTCTGTTGAAACCTGGGCTTTAAGATAATATTTAGATTAGTATTAGTGGTAAGAATCAAGATCATAAGAGTCAATAGTATACCATCTGCTTGATAAGCTGATCAATCCCGGGATTAGGGCTTCGGACACAGGAGCCAGTCTTAATATGCGCAGTCATTGGCGATGATCCTGCACGGCGGAATCTTGGATGACCAAGAGTACAGAGACATGATTTGCACATCACCTTTGGCTTTCCAGTCTTCTCATTTGCAACTTGCTGGAAACTCTCTCAAGCTTTCGATTGGGTTTTTGTCTCCCAACGAATACTCTCTTATATCAGGCTTCGATCCAAACTCAGTAGTAAGCCACCAGTTTACAAACTTCTTTCGGGATTCCTCCATATGGCTGCTGCTAGAATCAACAGGGTAGAGGACCCAATGTTGTTGAAGAGGAAGGCCAACACGGGTGAGGGAGGAAGGTGGGGTCAAGGTTGAAGGTGCAGTTGGAGTTAGATATTGAGATGCAGATATTGATATTATTTCGCTGCCAATAAAATCAGAAATATCGTCACGGTAAAGTCGATCCGAATTCAGACCTAAGTCTGAATCAGTATAGGAGCAGAAGGATTGAGACATTTGTTGTTGGAACATATCTCAATAGTCTATACGTTGTCTGTTGAAGCAGAGATTGGGAGAGACTTGGAGGAAAGCTTGTATACATGGGGCTGGAGAAGAATTTCAGGGGTGTCACAGGCAGAGCACAAACTCACGACTTGAATATGTGTTTGTGGTTAGTGTCCTGATGATTGCCCAATGCTAGATAAACTACTAGTGCGGATATTCTGCGGATATCCCATGGATACTGCGGATATTTTGTGGATAATTTGAGGATATCCGTTGGATATCCGCAGGAGCGGAAGCCATATCGCTAAGTCCCGAGAGTCAAGACTTCCGACTGTGGTTTCTCTAGGTTTTTATAAGCAAATATTTTTTAAAAATTAGTTAAAAAATATTGTAGACCTCGATGAATAATATGGTTTTAAAATTGAACCCGATAGATAATGGCATTATGCTTTTGTTTAAGTATTTTTCGTTTAGCAAAAAGATGGACAGGAGGTATATAGGAAAACACCTGTGAAATATATAATCACTCCGTAACTTACAAAAAAAAAAACCAAACTTTGTTTCTAACCCCAGTACAAGTAATCACTAAATTCAAAGCGACAAAACATAAGAAACTTTTTATCAATTAATAGATACAAGATCATTTCTTAAAATTCCATTAAGCGATGGGATGAGCTGGGTTGTTGTTATGGTTAAGACCAAACATGTATTTCTTTCAACCTAAGCGAGAATATTTTATGCTATCCAAATGCCATGTGACTATCTCTTTTCAGATAATTAAGCGAGTTTTATGCTAGTGCGGATATCTTGCGGATATCCTCAACTTGGATATGGATATGCCGCAGTCTAGTATAGTATTAACCTTTTTAATATTGATATTTTTGGTGCTTTTTCTCTATTATCAATAGATTTCAATTAGAGCATAGCACAACCTATCAGTATTGGAAATGAATCCTTTATATAACATTAGTTTTAAGCTGCTAACTTTGTTAGATGTTTACTATCCGAGTAAAAAGAACAGTATAGAATTATAGAATCTAGAATAATCTGATGACGATGATGAATTCATTTGCCCGATGTAGCTCGCTCTATATATATGCTGCTATGCGGGAGTGCTGTCAGGCCCGCCGACAGCTGGAAAGTGGTCGCTAGCCCACATGACGATCAAAAGAGACTCGCAAACCGAGCCACTGTTTGGTCGCATCGAATGTAAAATTGAAAAAGGACAAAGGAAAACAGATGCGTAGGAGCGTAAAGCACTCGAACCACATGAAGATGAACGTCGCTGGTCCTCACCGCCTTCGCTGGGACCTTTCCTCTTCACCCAAACTCTCTCGCCGTGTCTCCTCATTCCTACTTCAACGCACTTCCTCATCTCTCACGCAACCACCTCAGCGGTCGGCTGCCGCTTGCGCGTACGCTTGGATCAAGGGAGCACAGTTATTACTATCATTATTAACATTATATATAATTGTCTCGATAGGTATATTTATAATTAAAGTATTATCCTACCAAGTGAAGAACATATCAAGTATATATAATAAGATTAATCTCTAGTAATTTCATATTACTTATAAGGTTTAAGTTTCTATTTATTTATATAATAATATCTTACTATAGATTTATTATAAATATAGACGTTAAATAATTAATGTGTCAATATTAATTTTAATATTTTAATATAGATTAAATATCTAGGATTTTGTATTATCTAAAGTAGTTCCTAAGCGAGCCGCCCACCTGACCCACTACTAAATTCTTAAAAGTAGATAAAACCAGCGAAACACTATTAATTCAGAAAACTATAGATTAGGGCACCGGGTAATCGAATGGCCAGTATTATTGCAGCCGCTACATCTCCGGGGTGCATGTTTGGCTGGTGGGGGTGGCAGAAGAGGCGATTCAACTGGTGCGGGCGGAGGCTGTTCACAGGTTCAACTGGCTGCACTAGCGGTGGTAGGTAGGCCCTCTCCAACCGTAACACCCTCTTCACATCGAACTAGGCGATTCGTTCGTGCCCGTTTTTGCCGTTTCTTCTCATTCGCAGCCCGTAAATCAGCAATTTCCTGAGTTTGTAGCACGTTGGTATGCATTGAGACAGTAGCTCTTGATAATCTGATCTAGGACAAGCTTTGATGGGGAAGGAGGGCTTCTTGATCCTTTTTTAAGTAGTTTTTTGAGTGAAGAGAACTGTTTATGTATTTCTTTGACTGTTTTCGGTGTTTTTGGACTGAATTGGCTAGATCGACTGCTTGGGCGGCTGGGTGGTGGCGTTGATGTTCGGAGGGACATATTGAGCTTGAGAGCACACGCTCTGGGTCTAGTGGAATTAGACCTGCAGCAGCAAAACTAGACTGGATAGTCTCTTCTCGTGCCTTAGGATAATTTGCTAGGAAATCTAGCTTATCAATATGATTGAATCCTAGCCGTACCTGATTGGTAATCAGACGACCATAGGCACGCTTAAGAACAGCAAAACATCCAATATCCAGAGGTTAAAGAAGAGGGGATGAATGTGCTGGCATGCAGAGTGGGATAATTAAGTTTTCAGCACAAATTCGGTCGAATTGAGCCGTGAGATGGCTACCATGGCCATCAAGAACCAGAAGGCGATATGTTCCTTTCATCCGAGTTGAGGTGAATGGGATGAATAGATTTTAAAGCCATCTAATGCTTTTCATCCGAGGTCCAGCCATTAGGTGAAACTTCAATTCGCCAGTCTTTTGGAAGCCCGCTTAGCCAACTAATATTGTGGCTTTTGGCCTTAAATATGATGCAGGGAGGAAGAGCAAATCAGCCGCACTGATTGACTCGATAACAGTCACCCATTCACGATTTCCAGGCTGTAGAATTGCCCGACAACCATGGTACTCGGCTCGAGTAACCACCTTTTGTGCTGATATAAGGCCCATCGCAAACCCCCCTATTGTCAAAGTGATAGATATCATCTGATTGGATACCATTCTCATTGATAACAGATTGAACAGTTTTGAACCATTCAGTAAGACCTTCGGATCCTCATTTTTAGCACGTTGGTAATCATATCGTCTTGAAAAACATGTTTGAAGCTCTTCGCGGCGTTTGGTAGGCTTAGTTACCCAATTAATCCCAACAGTCGGTGGGGGGTGTTTCCACGGTCAGCAAGTAGAATATTAGCCATTTCTCTCACAGCAGAGGGCCTAGGCGCTGCACTACGAGAATCCATAGAGAGAATCCACTCACTGTATAAGTGAATCTTCTTCAAATCTAGTCAATTTGTGACTATTTGCACGTGTATCAGCCCGAAATTGGTGGCCGTTGGCGCGGTCTCGTAGTGTCGGAACGCGTTTTCGGCCGAAGCGCGGCTCGCTCGTGAATTAACGTAACCCGTAAGCGAGTGGATCATGTAAGCGAGCGGATCACCCGCCCAATTTCCGACCGCGTTCTGCAACGCGTCCTATTCAACCACATACCATGCCACCAATTCGCACTCAATCTCAACAAAATTCGACTGAGCAGGAAGGCCGAATCCTACTTGCTATACAAGCTCTCAAAAATGACGAAATTACTTCTATTCGCGAAGCAGCGAAGCAATTCGACGTTCCATATACCACACTACAACGCCGTATGAAAGGAGGCGCGTTTCGCTCTACCACACGCGCCAACAACCACAAATTAACCCAATTGGAAGAGGAATCGCTTCAAAAATGGATAATTTCGCTGGATTCACGTGGTGTTGCGCCTAGGCAAGATATGGTGCGAGAAATGGCCAATATACTGCTCTTAAAACGTGGAGAACGCACGCCTCAGTCGGTTGGTAGTAAATGGGTATATAACTATATCCAACGCTGCCCTGAGCTCAAAACACGCTTTTCACGTCGATATGACTACAAACGCGCGTTATGTGAGGATCCGAAGATTATACAAGAGTGGTTTGATCGATTCCGACAGGTCATTATTCAATATGGTATTCATGAGAATGATATCTGGAATTTTGACGAAACTGGCTTCGCAATGGGCCTAGCAAGCACTTCACGTGTAGTCACACGTGCTGAATACTACGGCAAAAGGAAGCTTATGCAGCCAGGTAATCGAGAGTGGGTTACAGCGATCGAGTGTATTAACCGATCTAATGTTCTCCCGCCGACTATTATCTTTAAAGGCAAAAACTTCAACTCAGCGTGGTTTACTACTCCGCCAAGAGACTGGCGCTTTGAAGTTAGTGCAAATGGCTGGACTACGGATCAAATTGGTCTTGCTTGGCTTGAAAAACACTTTATTCCGCATACTACCAACTGTCGACATGGGGTATGGCGGCTATTAGTGATGGATGGCCACGGAAGCCATGTTACACCTCAATTCGACGATATTTGCCAGCAAAACCAGATTATTCCAATCTGTATGCCTCCGCACTCTTCTCATTTACTTCAACCTCTCGATATTGGCTGTTTTGCTGTTTTGAAACGGCTATACGGACAACACGTTCAGGCTAAGATGCGAAATGGCGTTAATCATATTGATAAGCTTGATTTTCTGGCCTCATATCCTCAGACGCGTACAGAGGTATATAAACCAGCTACGATATCAAATAGCTTCGCCGCTGCAGGACTTATACCATATCAGCCACAGCGAGTGCTTAATATTCTTGATATTCAGCTTCGAACACCAACCCCTCCAACCAGCCGTGGTAGTGATAGTAGCCGCGATTTCATACCTCACACGCCAATTCATCCAGTTGATATCCGACGGCAGGCTTCTTCAATCAAAACACTACTACGGCAACGCTCATATACGCCCCCAAGTCCTGCTAAGATTGCGTTACAGCAGCTAATCAAGGGCGCTGAACAAGCAATTCATCAGGTTGCTCTAGTAAGCAATGAGAATGAGCGGTTACGCGCTGAAAATGCCCACCAAAAGCGAAAAAGGGCATTACCAAATCGGCGAATAGCTAATAATGGTGGGATGACTGTTGGTGAGGCTCAGGAGCGTATTGAGAAGGAGGCAAATGGTGTTGAAGCAGAGATCATAGACAATACGGCGGCGGCTGCGGTAGCGAATTCGGCCAATCAGAGAGCGCCGCCGAGGTGTTCAAATTGTTGGAATATAGGGCATAAGAGAACTAGGTGCCCTAATTAGTGTGTGAACAGTGTTAATTGAATATATTGGTTGGTGGTTATTTTATATATATTTTCGTGGCTGGGTAGTTGGGTAAGTGATCCGCTGGCTTACATGATCCACTCGCTTACGGGTTACGTTACGTTAATTTATCAACATGAGTCATCAATTTTATCCATCTAAAACAGGAAAAGTGGCATGTTCTATGCACCCTGGCGGTTCTCGCGGTTCCTTGGCGGTTGAACCGCACGCACCGCGGTGCGCTTCGCGGTTCGCATGTACTGACCCGCGGTGCGGTTCGTGGCGAGGTCTATTTTGTCCTGACATTCTGAACCCTACAATATCATTTGTTATATGATTTTGCCGTCTGTTCTATATTTTGACCATTTATTTTTCCGGGGGTCTTTTATTATAATTTTTAGTATTTAATATACACACTATGTGTATATAGCAGACATGTATAGCTGCATGGTGTTATGGATCCTGCAGGATGAGGGGCTGCGGCTTACTGATGGACAACTCACAACTATTTTCGAAGGAAGCGCGCTTAAACCCCAGAGCAGACCTCGCCATAGCCCATGGGTTATCATAACATCCTGCCCCGCCTGAAGATGGGCTATTTGAAGAGCCCATGATGGGCCGTCTATGGGCCGTAAAAAAAGCAAATATACTCAAAAGCGTGACTTATATTAGTTATGAAGCTTTTTGCTGTATCTTTTAAGATTTCTTTGTATTCTGAGTACAGACCAAGAATGGAAGTAAATGAATAGACTATTGCAGAATAATAGATATCTTGTAAATTCATTTATAGATAATGTCAGCGTCCAGGGTGTATGACTAGATTAGTCATGTGCTAGACCAAGGATGTTGTGGGTTGAGACAAATCACAGACTATTCGCTCGAGGACGGGCTTTGCCTCGAGGGGTCGAGTCTGCGGGTTGAGATTCACCTAGAATTCGCCCGATCATCTAGCTATGATCAGGAGCAGTCTTGAATACACAAATAAGGATGTAGACACAACAGAAGTAACGTATGCAGTAAGCGTACAAGCGGGGTAATTCTGATATATCTCATTTACCTGCGGGATGCTTCTCGGATGAACACGCATTCATCTGACTGCATTAATTTGTGTCGAAATGAGGGATATGGCCAGTTGATCAGGTGATATTGATCGCAGCCTTGGAAGCCAGGTGTTGAACCGGTTTGACTTCCAACAATATCTTATTGATAATACTGATTATACTAATAGATCATTAAAATATATAATTATAAGATTAATATTAGTTATATATTATTTGAACATCTTAAAATATATTAATATAATATAATAAATAGTCTTATTAAAAATATTACTTTGTATATTCTTAATTGAAAAAATAATTATTATATCTTACTGTACATATGGATTATTTAGAATAAAGAGGAATATTTTAAAAAATATACTTTTTTACTAGTGTCACATTATTTTTATAAATTTATAGACAATACGATGTATAAATCCTTTCGTTTTCATGTTATTTATTATACAAAATAGAAAATCATTTGATATTATTTTATTATTTTTTATTTTATAATTTATATAATATTAAAACAATTTTAATATATTAAGATAATTTATATTTAGTCTATATACTAAGTACTAATTTGAAACTATTCTCATAATTAATGTACATATCTGTCGGGAAATCACACGTGATTACCCTTGCGAGTGACGGCCGATAGTTCATCCGAAGTTCTGAATACTGAACCTTCCCTATGAGTGGCGTCCAATATATTGAAGCCACTTTAGATGCATGGCGTTTAATGTATCGAACTACCCCTGTTCGTGCCCCTTTTCACTTGCATATTTTGTTTGCACTATTTGTTCTATTTTCGGTCTATATATCTACTTAGTTACATTGTTAGTTAACCAGACAGTTCTCTCTCTTTGACTGATCTCACTCTTCTTCCACACATTCCTGGTTATATGATATAGCATCAGTCAACTTGCTTTGTCATCGCATACCAGCGAATGCTGACAATATTTTACACTTGTAGAATAATTTTTTCGGATTTACAAGAAACAATTTTACTATTTATTATTATTAGTAAAATATGAACTAATCTTTCGAAATTTATTTAGACTTTTTTCTCTCTTTTTAGATCTAGGCTAGAATAATTTTTATATCTTAGATACTAATAGATAATAACATTTATTTTAAAACGGATGAAGAAAATATTCTATTCTTGACTATGACAGAGATTTTTTAGAGTTCTAACTTCTTTAGATTCTACTAACATTAATATTAAATTTAGAACGAGCAATCCTTTTTAATATTAGTTTAGAGTTTTTGAACAGACTATATCTAAAAAGAATTATAAAATCTTTCACTTTTAATTTGAACTAGTTATAAATATCTTGAAGTAATTAGACACGTAAATTTAGGGTGTTGATACACATACCCCCCCCCCCCCCCCCCCCCCCACCCTTTTTTCTGAGTCATACCTGCCCGACAGCCACCTAGCTGCGCAGAAACAACTAGATTTTCAGGCCTGTTTATAGACCGACCAATAATATCGCTCCATTTACAGGGAAGCTAAACCTTCGAGATCCAGTTCCCCATAGCACTACCCATCTACCACCTCGCCCTGTCGCTCTCTACCATCTTGCCCAACGCTCTACAGCGCCAATATGCTGCCCGGAATCGATTCTTACGCGTCTGATTCATCATATACCAGTGAACCAGCTCCCTCCACAGCTGGCCATCCTACTGCAGACACTGAGTCCTCCGAGCCGTCACCACCACCGATGCCTCTGCCCCCTCACAACCAACGCTTCCCAGACCCCGAATCTGCGATCAATGCTATCAATGAGCTTGCGCAGCCAGCTGGATATGCCGTTATCAAGGGACGCTCCAAGAAGACAAAATCCGGGATGCTAAAGAAGGTTGTTTTGTTCTGCGATCGCCATGGTGAATACAAGCCAGCCTTATCTGATACCTCACGCAAGCGAAAGACTACCTCATATGCCAGTGGATGCAAGTTCCAGGCTACCCTACGTCGTCAGCTATTAGATACCGATACCAATGCCAATACTAATGGCTGGATCCTTACCGTGGAGAATATAGAGCATAATGGGCACGAGCCCTCAGATGCATCTACTCACCAAGTTCATCGAAAACGTGAGATGGCGCAACAGATGGACGCTATCAGATCACAGCTTGATGTTCAGATACCTACACGCCACATAATGACTGCAACTCAGGCAAGGAAGCCAGACTCATGTCTAATAGACTGAGACATTCATAACCTTCGAGCAAAGTTAAATCGAGACTTTTTACAAGGTCGTACACCTATTCAAGCACTTCTTATGGAGCTTCCAACCGATGGCAAATGGCTATTCCGATACACACTTGATCCAGAGCAGCATGTTACTGTTCTTTTCGCTATGCATCAAAAGAGTTTGGAAATGTTGAAGCATAATCCTTGGGTAATCTCAATGGATTGCACCTACAAGACTAATCGTTACAATATGCCACTACTTGATATTGTTGGATTCACCTGTACTGGTGCATCGATCTATCTTGGGTGGGCATTTATTGTTAACGAACGAGAAGAAACATACAAGATTGTTATGGTTTATCTCTTGGAAATGTATGAGCATCTGCATGAAAATGATCGATCCTTTCCATCAGCACCAAGTACTATCCTTACCGATAAGGAACCTGCTCTGATCAATGCTGTTCATGCTATATTCCCTTCTACTAAGACAATCATCTGCATCTGGCATATCAACCTGAACCTAATGAAGAAGGCTCTTCCACTTCTTCGGAAGGCTATTGCTGACGCTCGTGATAATGGACTAATTGAATGGGATGGGTTTTCTCTTCCGTCAAATGACCATCGACTAACAAAGAAGGAATTGGATGAGGAATTAGCCAAGATTCTTGATCAAGGATGGAGGAAGATGATAGCACGATAGAATCGTCTCACCTATTCCTCCTCTCAATCAGAATTCGACATTGCTTGGGAACAGTTTCAAGCTGCTTACAGTGCATCGATCTATACCACCTTGCTTGACTATATATCAACCAGGAATGGATTGAGGACTGCCCTGAGAGTTTCCTTAAACTCCATACAGACCAATATCTCCATCTCGGTGAAGCTTCTACATCACGGACAGAAGCTTCTCATTGGTTGCTTAAACAAGATCTCCATACATTTACAAAGGATCTGCTTGCTATCCTAGAGAATTTTGAGCGTGTTATCGATCGTCAGTACAGGAAGATCAAAGAAGGGATTGCTAATCAGCGAGAGAAGCGACCAACCCGGACCCTTGATCCAATCTATCAGCCATTACTTAAACGTGTATCTTTGCAGGCCATTGGCTATGTCGAAGCAACATATGCTACCTTTCTCCCAGCAGCAGAGGGCAAGCCCCTAATTCCGCCTAATTGCTATTGCAATTCAAGGAATACCTCAGGATATCCTTGCATTCATGTGATTGTGAGAAAGATAGAAGATCGTGAACCGTTCTTGCTTGAGGATTTCCATCCTCAATGGCATCTTTACAGACTCGGAGAGGCGCCTCCAATTGATCCGATTCTCCTGATACACAATCCTCATAGGGTGCGTCAACGTGGAAGGCCAGCCGGCCGTCGGAATAATCTATAGTCTCGGCCTATTCAGCCCTCAGATGTCCGGGTACCAGCAACTCAGATATTACCACGGACCCGGCTTTCTCCTCGATCGTCACCCGACCCTCTTACAGCATTTGAACGTTCTACACAACGCGAACCCTCTGGATTTGAACGTGTATCTGCTGCAACACGCGGTCGTAGCCGTGGACGTGGTGCTCGTGGGGGTCGTGGTGCTTGTGGGAGACGTGGTGCTTGTGGGAGACGTGGTGCTTGTGGGAGACGTGATACTCGTGATAGCCCTCACAATGAGCCAGAAAGTACCCAATCAGAGGGAATACGGACTCGACGGAGGGCACGTATGGAGGTGGAAGACACAGAGATAGTCGCAGAAACGGCTAGCCAGGGGGGACAGCGAGGGCAGTAGCTTAGATGCAGGGGCAGTAATTGACTCAGATGATGGAGAATATGCTGGGTAACTAATGAATGAATTAATGATCTGCTTTTTTATCTCGATATTTTTCCAGTAAATAGAGCAATATGATTGGTTGGATCAGAAATCTTTTCAAAATTCAGGTGTTTCTACTCAGCTGGGCGGCCATTATAGGCGTGCAGGCCGTTGGGCGGACATGACTAAGCAAAAGGTTGGCTTTTTTGGGGGGGGGGGGGGGGGGGGGTATGTGTATCAACACCCTAAATTTAAACTTCAATTGACATAATAACGTGGATCCCGGCGGGTCCGTCACCCCATCAAAACTTCAAATTTTTACCCTTTTTTAAACATCATTTACCCAACCAAAACACCATTAAATTGACAAATTAAATCTTTTGCGAGCATTTAGAAAACCTATGCCCTTTTCCGCCACATTTAGAACACGTAATTTGCCGACGTACAGGGGGCAAAACAGGAAGTGTAGGTTCAACCTGGGGTTCTAGAGCAGGTGTAGTATCAGATATATATATCTTACACCACCACCTCCCTCACCACTAACATTAGTAGTGAGGTCTAAAACCTCTGTTAAACTACCTTTATTAGGTATTCGCTTCTTTGATTTCTTCCTCTTTTTCGTCTGCTTTCTGTTTCCCTCCCGTAAACGCTTTATTTCATCCCGCATTAAGATGTGCTCGTGAACTAGCTTAACCGACATATTGTAAAACTGTTGAAGATCACGTTTTGTAGGCGAAGAGATCTTATTAGCCGCTGAATTTAGACCACAATCGAGCCTAGATTTGCGTTTTTCTAGTTGCTTAGTCGTTTGAGGGATGCCAGTGGAGATATTGCTGCCTGATGTTGAACCTTGTGAAACTGGTCGATCTGGTAGAGGCGGAGATTGAAGACGAATATTGAGCTTTGATAACACCCGATCTGGGTCTAGTGGTACTAAACCAGTAGCTGCGAAGGCACTCTGAATGATAGACTCGTTGAATGAATCATCACGGGCTGCTGGAAAAATATCAAGGAAATCATCTTTCTCGATAGAATCGATGCCTAATCGGGTATATTCTGCAACCCGCGTTCCATAAGAGCGCTTTAATACAGCAAAACAACCAACATCAAGAGGCTGTAAAAGATGAGAGACATGCGGAGGCATACAGACTGGTATGATGTCGTTTTCCTGGCAAATCTTGTCGAATGTTGCTGTAAGATGACTGTCGTGGCCATCGAGGACCAAAAGACGATGTTTCCCTCTCGTCTGACTTGTCGTGTGCGGAATAAAGTGATTTTGGAGCCAATCAACACCAATTTCATTACTTGTCCAGCCTTTTGGACTAACGTTAAGAGCCCAATGTTTTGGAAGGTCGTCAAACCATCGTACCATGAAGTGTTTCCCCTTAAAGATAACGTATGGTGGGAGCGCTCGTCCAGAGGCGCAAATTGATTCGATAACTGTCACCCATTCGCGATTGCCAGCTTGTAAAACGCCCCTCCGACCGGTGTAAAATGACTGCGTAATAACCTTCGTCGTCGCACTAATTCCCATCGCAAACCCCGATTCGTCAAAGTTGTAGATATCATCTGAAGTGATACCATATTGAGCTATCGTTTTTTCGATAAGCTTAAACCACTCGATAATAGTATTTGGGTCTTCCATTAGGGCGCGTTTGTAGTCATATTTGCGAGAGAATCGAGTAGTAAGCTCAGGATGTCGTTTGATATATTGTGTTGGCCAATTTTTGCCAACGGTCTGGAGGGCATTATCTCCGCGGTGTTTAAGCAGTAAATTGGCCATATCTCTCAGCATCGCGATTGTCGCAGCGCCTCTCTGATCCATAGAGATTAACCAATCCTGAATTGATTCCTCTTCCAGTTGCGTGAATTTATGGCCTGTACCTCTTGCTTCATATAGATTAGGAATGCCCTTTATCCGATCAGCAAGAGTTGTGCGGGGGACATCAAAAGAGCGAGCAGCAGCAGCTATCGTGGTCTTTCTGCCATTTTGAATAGCCTTAATAGCAAGCAAGATCCTGCCTTCCTGCTCAATTGATTTTTGGGCTTTTTGACTGCGTTTTGGGGGCATGGTAGGCGTTCAAGAATAGATGGCTGGGTAGGGGCAGAAAATTTGAGGAGAGATGACGGACCGGCAGGGATGACGGACCCGCCGGGATCCACGTTAGATGATATTTAGAAAGTGTGTTTATCTAATATATAAACCTTTTGGGTCTAAAATAGTCATTAAGATATTAATATTAATTTTATTTCATTATTTTAACATATAAATGTTTTATTTACGTTTAATTTTACTTTTTAAATATGTTACTCTAAAATACTCTACCATGAGGTTATAGACTTAGCTTAATTATTCTTTTTAATTTATTAAAATTAATTAATATCTATTACTATAGACTACAGTTACTAACGTAATTTAGTAAGTGGACGGGTCAATCTGCCCACTACTAAAGGTTTAAAAGTAGATAAAACAACTAAAACGCCGTTACATTTTAAAGAAACTAGTTATTAGGGTAACGGGTAATTTTATAGCTAACACGATTACAGCCGCTGTATCTTGGGGGTGCCTATCGGGCCTGGGCGGGGGTAAAACAGGCTGTTTAGCCGATGTAGATAGGGGTGATTTAACATGTTTAACTGGCGGTGGTAGTGGTAGTGGGGGTGGCGATAGGCCCTCACCGACCGTTACACCTTGTTCAGCACGAACTAGGTGATCCGTCGTGCTCGCTTTTGCTTCGCGTTTCTTCTCATTTGCAGCGCGTATATTAGAATTTTCCCGCGCTAATTGTGTAGCATTATGTATTAAGACAGTGTAGCCCTTAATAATCCGATATAGGACAACCTTTAATAGGGCAGGAGGGCTTCTTGATCGTTCTTTAAGTAGTTTTTAGTGAATGAACCTGTTTTTGTAGTTAGATGACTGTGTTTAGTGTTTTTAGGCTGAATTAACTTAATCGTCTAGAAGGTTGGCTAGGTAGGGGTGTCAATGTTCGCAGAGAGATATTGAGCTTTAAGAGTACTCGTTCTAGGTCTAGTGGGACTAGGCCTGCTGCTATGAAACTATTTTAAATAGTCTCTAGTTTAAATATCTCTTAATGTGCTTGAGGATATTCTGTTAGAAAATCTAACCTATCGATGTAGTTAAATCTTAGCTATGCTTAATTGGCAATTAAGCGACTATAGGAGCACTTAAGAACACTAAAATATCTAATATTTAGAGGTTAAAGAAGACAAGATAATAGTATATAGAGTGGGATAATTAAGTTTTTATTCTTAATTTAGTCAAATTTTGAAATGAGATAGCTCCTATAGCTATTAAGAATCAAAAAGTGATATTGTCCCAGGATAAATAGATTTTAAAGCTATTAGATACTGTCTGCATTCGCTGGTATGCGATGACAAAGCAAGTTGACTGATGCTAAATCATATAACCAGGAATGTGTGGAAGAAGAAGAGTGAGATCAGTCAAAGAGATAGAACTGTCTGGTTAACTAACAATGTAACTAAGTATATATATATAGACCGAAAATAGAACAAATAGTGCAAACAAAATATGCAAGTGAAAAGGGGCACGAACAGGGGTAGTTCGATACATTAAACGCCATGCATCTAAAGTGGCTTCAATATATTGGACGCCACTCATAGGGAAGGTTCAGTATTCAGAATTCGGATGAACTATCGGCCGTCACTCTCAAGGGTAGTCACGTGTGATTTCACGACAATGCCTCTCTAGGGCTAGTAGAGGGTATATATTACTTTAGCTTAAGTTATAATCTAGGGCCTTCTATTTTAGTAGTTTCTTGAATAAAGTAGGGTTATTTTTGTCTTATTTTAACTTTATTAGTGCCTTTTAGAGGGAGAATATCACTCTTTAAATAAAAGTAGATATAGGTGGCT